CAAACATTCTAGGCTCGCGGGAAAGTACACGTGTTCATTGACTTGAGTTCAGAGTAAGGATTGCTGGCGAGTACGAAACAATGCGTTTCCCCAGGCATAACATTGTTCAGGGCGAGAGAAATCCTGATATCCTTGTTCATGACTTTTTCTATAGAAGAATGAATGCATCCAGATCGACTTCGGATCGGATCAGCGGACTCACCTGACTTGAAGAGAAACTATGTCCGAATCGCCTTCCGCGTTCCCCGGACCGACATCCCTTGCTTTGCGCCAGCCCAACACATTCGTACTTTCATCCCCCTGGAAGGGGGTCTGTGAGAGCCTCACAGCTAACCGATCCTCCATCTTCGGTCTTTCGTTGGCAAACTCTATACTCGCTACCCTTTTGGGCTTGTGGCAGCTGATGGCTTACAAGATATATCAGGGGAGACACGCCGAAAATGCAGCGGCTACGAGCTGTAATGTTATTCGTGGAGGCAAATCTATGTGATACACGATAAGCCATAACAAAGGGTCTTTGGTTACTCTTGGATGTTTCAATCCCAGGGCGTGCTTTATCTTTTTTAGAATTCGAGAACGCTGACCGCTCCTACCACAAAAGCATTCGAGAGACTGCGAACCTCCCACGTTTCTAGGGCCACACTTGCGCCTTCCAATTTGGTTACTGAATCACAAAAGACGCTGTCCTAGAAGATTGCTAGCAGTCAGGGCTCCGAATCCGATCGTTCCATGGTAACTTTCTGCTATGAGTGTTGGCGCTCCGAGTTTGTCGTAGGACGTACCGCCGGGCGCGCGATGCGATTCTGTAGCGGGGAACAAAGGCATACTAGTAAATGATCATATTGGCTTGGAAATGCATGCCTAGCTCATCTGGGCAGAGTTTGTGGATAGCCACTAGATAATGGTATATCGGATGTGTCTGTGACGACATTTCCATGATGTCCAGGCAGATCCTGCTGGATTAGGTGATAAGGTATGCCAATAGCAATGTCCCAGTAGGTGTACGTATGACTTGCTAAGAGGCGCCGCCGTATTTCCTGGGGAACCAGGGGTATCAAATCGGGCGGCTGCCGGTTTCTCATTGGGCGTGGCTGGCAAGCCATCACAGCGGCTACGCCTCACACAAGCCCTGACGGTGCCACTTACGACGTGAGGATCATACTATGGACATGGGTCCAAATGAAAGAAATACGAGGAATTTCGCCCCTATTAATGCGTCATCGTCACAAGTCTCCCTTACCGAGGACGTTCCTGGCTCATCATGTGACGGTTCTCGTGATCTTGCCACGGCCATTTTGAGAGGGCGCGTCGAATCGAACGGGGGCCATCGATTGCTACTGTGTATGTACTGCGTATGAACTGCGTACCCAGTTGCCTCGTGGTAACCGGGATGTTCCGCATTGCTGAGGTTGTCAACATTAGGCGATCGACGTGAGCCCGAAGCGCGCTCCATGGTCAGCTGTAATGCTATGCCAGCTGTCTTCCGGCGTCTCCTGATCTACCCCTCGGCGTAGTCTGTACATTCATCCGTCACACTTCGGCACTTCAACTGGTCTGCTCAGGTGTTTGACGCCCGAATGCCTAGTCTGTTCTGATTGTCCTGAACGGCTTAATCCACGCGCTCTCATGCTCCTCGGCAAACCCTCCTCCGCCAAACCTCGGTAAAATTAGTTCCATGGAAGCAACGTGACCATCTCCAGATGCGCAAAAATACATTAAGCGCCAAGGGTGCTATGGACGGCGATTGGGCGAATTCTTGGGAAATTGACCCCGGAAAATCATGTAGCTATATCATTGGTAGTCTCCCGGAGTTCCGGAGATCCTTTGAGCCAGATCCGTCCTGTACGGGGTAGGATATATCTCATCACTCCGTACAGCCCTTCCACTCGCCACCTCGGTATTAGTATTACCCGAAAGGGATCAAGTCATACTATCCAAGCTGCTGCGAATATGGTTGTTTTGGATACCTCACGGAGCACCTGCAGGTTTATATGACTTCGTATAATGGCAAAGTCTGTCGTGCAGAGCGGTCAACAGAAGGAGGGCCAGCAGCTCCACGCAGTCCTAATGAGATCTGGATCGAGCTGCACAAGCGGGTCTGGGATATACTTTGTGTACTGTGGGTGATATCGAGGTCATACATAGAGACTCACTGCTGCAAGAAAGAGACCTTCGGCGGATGATCGCAATAGGTCAAAACAGAACCTTCGCTTAGGCTGTTAGATAGCGACGTCTGAATGTTTCCCGACCGGCTATACATGCCTTCCAATATCGGATGCCTCCCCACCAGAGCTCTACTGTATTCGGGATGTATTCCATCAGGCCATCTACTGTTTCCAGATACAATGAGACACGAGACCTTGGGCCTTGCTAACTGGACCAGCGAGTCCCAACTTTTTCCGCGGCAGGTGGAGTCGGTAGTACATTTGCCTCCAGACCGACTGTTTTCTGCATCCCCGCAAATGCCTCGTCCCCACCCTGGTTCCCCCCAGATGATCATCCCCCTCCGGCGAAGCAGAGAATATGCCTCGGAAAGAGAGATTTCGCTTTTCCAGAGGGGTTGTCTTCGATGTTGAATGTTGAGCTGTTCGTCACATGATGGTTGGAGATAATGCATTTTGTGCCCTAGGGGCATTCCCTAGCGACCCGCTTCTCCAGGCCGACCTAGTGGCCTCCTTAAGGCTCAGATGAACTTACGGGTGATCATGGAGGGAGACCCCCAAGTTCAGATGAAAGATAATTCATACAAAGCATGGGAATGGTAACATGCTACATACTGTTCCCGTGAACCGCCGCAACCTCTAGCCCCGGAGAAGTTCCTCTCGCCCGGCCGGGGCCTGTCGCCTTGAATCTTGACCGCCGCGTGCTGATCGCTCCCTCTCCAGTCACCTCTTTGCCTTCGATGCCAGTTGGCAGGCCCGTGACTCTAAGTAGGCTGTGACACCGGCTGCTGCATCCTGTTGGTCATCGACGGGGATGGTTATCTCGGAAGATAAGGATTCAAAGAGCGGTAATGAGCTCTCATAATGTGGCTGATTGTCGGTCCCACCTGATGCTTGTCGCGAATTGGTCTTGCATGTTGAGATCCATTCCCAAGACCTCTGGGGACTTGGAAACAAAACAATGATTACCTGGTTTCATATTGGAACCATAAAATTCATCTCCTGAGACCCAAATTTGGATTCTGGAAGCCTAAGCGCAGGATCGTAGGGCGGATTCTACGCCGGAAGTATCGCGTTGGTTCCCCGGTATGTGGCCGGGCTAGGAATTAATCGATCAACCACCCCTTTCTCCGGGCTCAATAGTCGCTGCGGGCGGAAAACGCTCCATTGTACTCCGTACGGAGTACGATTTCCCTCTGGCATGTCTCCCTACGAAACAGCTGCTTTCCCCCAGGACCTTCGTAAGGAAAGTGTCCAACCCTGGGGGTTCCCGCCCCAAACAAAGCTGTTTGCATTGGTGTAGTCTCGGGAGTCCGCCCCAAGCTCATACGCCCCCATCGGTTGACCACCGACGTGGCTGAAGATCTTGGGGGTAACAATACTAATCCGACAATGAAGATCTAGTGCTCCCTTCCATGCGCCCCCTACAGTTGCACAGAACCCCTACGAGAACGGGAATAGGCTACCCGCGACATCTTTCGCTCAAGTCAGCCGGTAGGCGATCCTGCATCGACGGCCAATAGTCGGCGGTGCGACAATTCATCAGTCAGTCGGCCATCTAGTAGAGGGCAGTGGCGAACGCGTTAAACACGGTGGCGCGAATATGTTTGGGCCAGAATTTTCCCGTAAGCCTCCCTTTAGCCTCTCCGGGTCGGCTGGCAGGTCAGGTTGGACCAGTCCTAGATTCTCGTCTTTTCATCCGTCAACTGCTCAGATCTATGCAATATCCTTTTAACGGGGCACACTGGTCACAGGTCCTGAAAGGCTTGTCCTTCTCAGGGGACTCCCTTGGTTCCCTATCATTCTTGGCCCTTAAATAAGAAAGAATAGTTTTCGCGTTTATACAGATCTATCACCACCCGGAAACAGACCGATTTGTAGTGTATTGTAGAGTAAGGAGGGTTACTGAACAGAGGCATTGGGTACCACACAGAGAACGGAGTACTCCGCTCAGCGCTACACGGGAGACGACCGAGTCTCCGCGAGATTGTACCGATCAAGTAGGAAAGCCCCATCGAGTGTATCAGTCGATACCTGTACCGGTAATAAACGTCCTCGTGATGCCCTGGCTCCACCGACATTTTGCTGTGTGAGCCAGTGTCCGGCTTTTTTTAGCCTGGGATCTGTAATTCCAATACGTGAAATACCCATTTTTTGCGGTTTTTGATTTTTCTGTTCCCGACTTTTTTTTTTCCTTTTTCCCTTGTTTTTGATTTTCGCAATTTTTTGATTTTTGATTTTTCTTTTTCAATAATTTAGATTTTCCCCCTCTTCCACACTCCACTTCACTCACAGTGCCGCCCCCGTCATTCTTATTATCGTTCCGACAGCCTCCCCCAAAACCTTTCCTTTCTCCCTCTCCATCACCACCTCCCATCACCCACTCAAATTCACCTAACCTCACCTCACCACCGACCTGTCCCTGTACGCTGAGGATTCGCGTCAATCTCTCTTTAACGCGTTTCCTGACCAGCTGTTCTAATTCCCGCCCCATTCTCCGCATCCGATTTCGGTGGCACCCCGGTGGGATCTTAAAGAATTCTCAATCTGGAGCAGTGATCTGCAAACTTCACCAACCTGCTCCACGAAACACAAGGACCTTTCGAGAATATCTTTGCAGCTGTGGCGCCGGATTCCTTGGTCACCGACTTGCGATAGAAACTTGCAGGGACACTCGAATTTTCAAGATCCCATTCCACCGCAAGCTACTCTCAAGCATCTAGATCACCAAATCTCAACCGCCGTACGACAACTCTCGGGGAAGACGGCGACCCCGGAACACCATCTCTCAACACTCTCGAACCTGCTTGCCCCAATCAAAATTGTGGCGCCGTGACAATGCCTTTAACCACACCTGTCCTGACCGTGGATGCGGATAATATCCACAAAGTTGATACAGCCAACGCCCAGAGTCTTCATGGCATGTGGATGGGTAAGTTCCTTCCGAGCGCTGAGGACTGATATAGTGAAACTTGTACTGATATACCTTGCAGTCTTCTCAAAATGTGCCGACTACATGGACCAGGGTCGTCGGCTCGAGAATCTGAGCTGGCGCTTGTGGACCCGTGAGACGTTCTGTGTCGAACCTGAGAACTCTTATGACCTCCCCACAATGCAAAAGTTTCGCTCTGAGGCTGGTGATTTGCCGGAACTTTCCGCCAGTGTCGAGTCAGCCGCGTCTGATCAAGCCGAGCGCATCGAAGCCCACATCAAACGCCCCCAATTCTCTGACTATAGGCCGGCCGTGGTCCGGGAGGATTCACTCGCTAGTCTAGGCCGCGGAAAGGAAAAGCACATCACATCATTGGATCTGGAACGTATGGTTCTCAACATCAAAGAGAAGAAGAACCTGGAGCCTCTCACCCCCATGGTTGAACCCGCAGCACCCGTCGTCGACATTACTCCTCGTCCCTCCACACCCACTCCCGTTGCTGCCGCTGTTCCTACTCCTCGACAGATCCCAAATATGTCTCGACCTTCCCCCGTCCATCTCCCAAAGCTCGTGTCTCCACTGAGTCTTGCTCTACCACCGCCCCCGAGGGCAACGAAAGTGATGCCGCCCAACTTCATGCGTCTGACACTAGTGTTTCTTCATCTGGAGTGCTTCCTACTCCTGGCGATTTAAAAAAATCTCCCAGTGTCGTCCGTGGATTTTCGCCTTCAATCATCTCCTCATCGTACCGGTCGCAAGGCAAATTGGCCACTGAACTCAGTCCCTCCCGCGCCACCACTCAATTCAAACCATCTCCTCTCAAGAAGAAGGGCGGTATGTTTACGTTGGGTGGATCTTCTGGTGACGATGATGAAAGCTCCTTTGAGGAACGCATGGTCGCGAAGCCCACCCAGGAGAACGCCTCGGGCGGACTTCTCCGACCAAGCAACCCCAGCCCCTCTAACAAGAAGAAGGTCACTTCATTCAGCGACGAAGTAGCAGTCCGGCCCAAGAGCCCTAGTCATCTTGAGGAAGATGCCATCGAGACTGACGACGAGGTTTCCCAAAGCGCTATTGAGGATGACGAGGACTCTGATTGGGAGGATTCAGTTACTGAGAGCGGGAAATCCAGTGTGGATGAACGCGAGCGGCCGGACATGTTCCAGCGGGTCGACTCTCGTCCTAATCTCGTTTCACGACGGTCGCTTCTTACCATGATGATGCATCAGCCGGCTAGGATGCAAGGAAATGCATTTCGATCCAGTCCCGCCCTGCAGCGTTCCCGCTTAACGTCTCCCAGTGGACCCTCCGTCCCCAGTTCGCCCGCGCCAAACGAGGGTGAGAGCCTTACCATGCGTGGCCCTGATATTTCCCGATCAAAGCCCATTGTCATGAAGCCTCCTTCGTCTCAGTCTATTGCTCATTCGCCTCGCACCACTCGCCGTAATATGCTCGCAACCGAATTGACGGAGTCCCTGCGCCAACATCTCTTGTGGGAGCGACAGCAGAAGAGTACCACCGCCAATGCCTTCAAACGCCGGCACACCACCCACGACATGAAGAACCTCAAAGAATATCCTGGTCCAAAGGGTCAGCAGGAACAAGGCGCCGGTTCCCCTAGTGATGGAAGCGACACACGAGACAAGGACTTTGCCCGCAATGGCTCGTGGACGAACTACACGACCGACTACGGCCCTTGGGAGTACCATGTCAAGGGTTGGTAGTTTGGTACCTTTAGGACCGAAATTTCTTTCCCGACAGCACTTTCGACCTTTTGCGTTTGCCTTTTTTTTTTCGCTCTACAACCCAGAGCGTTCATCTTACGGACACGTACGATCATGATCATGCATTGCATCTCTGGCGCATCTATGGATTTTTTTTTTTTCATTCTGATTTGGGGTCTCGCGACCTTGGGGGTTTCAGGGCGTGTATTTGATACAGCATTCACTGGGCATCGTCCCTTCCTGGATCTTTCCGATCATCTTGAATGATGGCTCATCTTACGACTTTAATATTCGTGTACAGCTCATTTTCCACGTTCTTCCAACTTTCCTACTTTGGGGGTGTTTTCAATGGGTTTTAAAAACTGATACAATCGCTTTTGCCCTACTATGGGAACCATTCGTATGGCTTCACACGACCTTGTTCGAAAAGAAAAAATGGCTTTCTCATCAGCGCTATCTCCCGCAGGCCTGGTTTATGGCTGCAGAAAACTTGCTGGCCTTTTTCCAAACCAAGGGACTGGCTTTTATCCTGTTTTCTTTTTCTTTTCTTTTTCTTTTGCTTTTTTTTTATCTCAACAACCTTTCTCGCTTTTTGATACCACATGCCGCACGACTTCCTGTCTTCCAAGTCCTTGCTACATGTCCGGCCCTTGGTTCCTTGTACGCTACTCTTGAGCTCAAACTCACCCTAAAATAAAAAAAACTGGACATGACAAGAATCATCGAAATATCCAATCTTTGCCTTAGTACATCTGTTCGTAGAAAGGGGCATGCTCATATGGACAGCTGCGTATGAGAGTTTACAATAAGACAGACGCCATGCAGATACATCGGCGGTCTAGATGCATCGCCGCTGGCTACCTATCGTCAAGTTACGGCGGTATTGCTTTATTAAACTCCGGCCTGCGACCCGGAGAGGTTCGCAGAAGTTTTCCAGACCCTAGAATCCCTGCGATAATAGCGCTCATTAATTATCAGGTGAGCCCCCTTTGGCGTTTCATAGACCTGGTGGCGCCGACACGTATGGGTGAGCTAGATTTTGGTACTTAGCCACATAATCACTACTCTGTCATCGTTGATTCATTGTTACATGGCGACAGGATTCGATGTCCGGGACGCTGGGAAGGAACTGCAGTTGGTCTCCATCGATTGACCGGCATTAGGGGTTTGCGCTGACTTAATTGCTTGGATTCCCGGATTGGGTTCTGGGCGAATCCTTCCAATTCTTGAGTGGCGCCCGGATGGATTAATTCAGTGGCTTACACGATGTAAGAGCGGTGGAGTCACCAGCATAGATCCTATTCCCACATGGCACAATTACTTGAGTCTAGCACCTCAGAATCAACATATTCATTGTACCGGACAATCAGCCCAAAATTAAGTCCTAGAGTCCAGGCTTGACCGGGTCCATCCCAGAAAACAGGGGTCGATATCCGACCTTGCTAAGGTTGCGCAAGCCACGATCGAGACCAGCACTAAAAGCAAGAAAGCAATATGTAGCTACTCGTCCGAAAGGAGCAGGTATCAGGTGGCCAAAAAGAAAATTTCAAAAGGAGCAGGGATGATCCAGCGCCCGGAACGGCCTTTTTTCTTTTATGTTGACGCCGATAAGCATCCCACGACAAAAGTACGAAACGCTATCAGGGAGCGCCAGCATCAACGGCCAGCAACGCCTAGGACTAGAAAAAGTTTAATATTCTAGCCGGAAGCATGTTTTTCTTGTTCGCCCATTGTTCCCTGCTGTTTGGCCCGGTAGGTCTGCGATCGAGCCCCCATGCCTCCCCGCTCAGATCGCGTCACGAGCGGACCCATGACATCTAGGATACGCAGCGTACATTAGCCTCTGCGGCCAGAGCTTGCTGGCCAGGTAAAAGCTTTGCGAGGTATCCTGCTGAGGTTGCATACTGAGCGCTCAGTCCTTGCAAGGGGCAAGAGACAGAAGTATGCGCTGGGCAAAAGCTTGGGGCTAGGAATTGGAACAGTACAAGGATTGGCTATTGCTATACTTTGTTATTTGTACCCCCCTCGGAGAAGCCGAGAGACTACCGAGTTTGAGTATCTTCTGCATCTAGACTTGGGGGGGGAATTCTGTTATTAGCTTTAATTCCAGCGATCGCAGCCTCGCTAGGATACGATGCAGCTCTTCACCATGATAGGACTTTTGGTATCAAGCAAGCGGCAGGTACGCGATGAGTCTGGGTCGTTTTTGTTAGTGCAAAGGTACGTACCTAACAAGAGCTTCCCATCGGGGCAGTGACATCAAATCTCCGCTCCCCTGATCCTGGAAATACAGCAATATCAAAGTCAATATAATTCCACATCCGGAGAACCTGCTTGCGGCGTACCTGATGTCATGATGTCATTTCCGGGTCATGTGGCCATGTGAAGGTCACGAGACCAGATCCCGGGGAGGAAAAGTTGAGATCCATCAACTATTGAAGCTTTGTTGAGGCTGGAAATCTTTGATGCCTGCATACCTTCCGCGGGTTTCCGTTGAAAGTCTGCAACCGGGCTCTATTCAGGCTCCCACCCTGAAACTTTGGCGAACCCGCCTCCCACATTCTCTGTACTGCGTAATCCAGACAGAACCGCTGCTAATCTGCCCTAGCGGGAGTGAACTCCAAGGTTCCGCGTCCAGGCCCCAGTGGAACTCTTGAGACCTCTCCACACTTTCCCTCCTAGATTGCCCGATTCTCCTCAACGGGATCCTCTTTCCCCAAGCTAACTCGAGCAATGACTGGACATCTGCCCGGTGATGCCCGACGTGGGTCTTTAATATGAATCAAAAAAAAAAAAAATTGAAGCCTACCTCTGATTATTCTTTGGGGATCCCAAACGCGTCCAAATGCGTGGAAACGCAGCGAAACACGGTCATATCTCACCGACATAGAAGATAAGTTTTGCGGTCCAGATCGGGCTATTCAAGGTGTTTAGGTGGTCAAAGTTACGAAGGCCGAGGCGATTGTCTCAGCCGCTCAAGCTTCATGGCGGTGCGTCTGGGACGCAGGAGACTCCAGCCACATCCAGCCAAAAGGCCCTAGCCCGATGGAGGACTGTGATCCTTTTCACACTCCACAAAATCCATTCCTAATCAAGCATGCCGTGCCCCCATCTCAGCCCTCTCGGTCAAACCCCCTTGGTGGTTGTGGGTCGCCCGGGAATCTGGTACCGGGTCTGATTCGTGCAGATTCCTCCTCTTTTTGGGTTGGCCCCTTCACCGGTACTAACATGTTTTTTTTTGCTGACTCGTATCTTCATGAAACGCCGTTTTTGTTCGTGCCAGGATTACTCCTTTGGGCGTATATTAACCCCGCGCTGGGTGTACTGCGGGCGAGCCGTATTCTCACTGCAGTCGTTCAATGCCATTGGATGAGCGATAAACCGAAGTACCTCCGTGCAAAGAGGCTAGTGTTGAGGTGGATTTCGTTCCATGTCTTGCATTCGGCATGCCGAGGTCGGGCTGTCCATTGTTTGAGTACCTGCTCAGTTTGGAAACTATATACCGTTGGCCATGGGTGCTGGCTGCCAGAGTAGGTAGCTGAATTGAATTTGCATCCGGTGCGGGGAGCTTATTCTTTCCCCCAGTCCTATGGAGCACCCATTTGTTTGATAGGCTTCGCCGCAGCGGGGATCCCACAGCGACGATCACCGTTCCTGCCATTCAAAGCTCTAGGTTTACGCGGAGGGTGCGGACTACCTATCGAAGCATCCTACAGATAACAACTGATTGAGAATGCGGAGTGGACAACTTACAGGGAGTGCGGATACGCATAAAGTATAGCCCAGGAAGGCAACGATCCCCGGCCCCCACGAGTTATTCTTCATCCTTATTCGCGCCTCTATCCATTATTCAGCTGTCAAAGACTTGTATTTTCCCGAGATTCTCCAATTCTACCCCGAGGTTTGGAGGGAAGGAAAGTGGCCCGCGAGGGAGAACCATAATTCATACCATGCCGCCAATCAGCTTGCTTCGAACCTTTCCGACTGTCAAGCTTTTCCACCCTGCCCTGATTACATATGATAACCATCTCCGCGAAATGCTGAATAGAATACGACCATGTGGGTAGCACCCGGCGGAGCTCACCTTAGCTTGATCCCTGCAGCATTAAAAAAAACATCAAACAGGTAAGCCGAGCAGGATCTTCTGCTACCGCCATTCTCGACACGCCTCCACTCGCACGACATGGCAATTGAGAGCGGCATGATTGGCGGTCTCGTTCCGGGGTTTCATCACGTGATTTACACCGAGGAGCTCTGTCCTCCGGCGAATCACTGCCATCTGACAGTAATGCACACCATGCATGGGTAAGTACTCATATCGGATCGCCAATATAATCACTCGTTCCCTTGTCCAATGTCAGCAGTCACTGTCTTTTTGACTTTCACTTGGCTTGAGAGTACGTGCAACTTCCTCGAGGTCGATGTAGCATCGCCGTAGAAGCTCATTTTGGGATCAGCCGGAATTTCCAGAAGCGTTCTGGAAGCGCATTCCGATTGGTGCATTGGGCCATCCAGATTGCGCTTGCCCGTTTAGGATACCCGGCGTGGTATTATACACTAGCCTGATTAGGATTCCGCACTACGCTCGATCGGGACGAATATTACAGAGTGGGGCCAACGATACGCCTCCAGGCCTTTTGTTGCAGATGGGAGATCGCAGTGACGAGGTACGGTATGGAGATATGGCGCTTGTTTATTCTTTGTATTATTGAAGAATATACTTGTGGATCGATTGTCCTGATGACCGAATGTATCTGTGATTTGTGTAGTATCACTTCCACTTTCCGCCACAACGGTTGGAAAATTATGTCCGAGGCTTTGCCCCGGCGCTGGGGAACCCATGCAGCTAGTCAAGCCACCGGACATGGTATTGCCCAGGGTACAAAAGAGCGTGACTGCAACCGGCGCTTTTGATTGAAGCGCATAGCACAAATATCCTGCCATGCCATGCAGCTAGCTACAGCCACCCTTGTTGGCTTTCGAAACCTTAAAACGCGTTGTAGGCGTCCTGTGAGGACTTTTGAGATATCTGGGTTACGACCTTCCGTTATCCCTTATAGAGAGGCAGGGCGGGCTCATCATCTGATCACGAATGTAGCAAACTATATCGGAGCTCGAGAATCCGGGGTAATCGGCCGTCACTTCCGGGGGGGGGGGAGAAATTGATCGTGACCGCAGGCTTGCCAGCTCTATGATCGACCATACTGGATCAATCCTGCCATTCGAGGCTAAGGCGCCCGATGCTTTCTGTCCAAGTTTTCATATGGTGTTGTCAAGCGGAGAGGAACGGTTTCGTAACTCTGAGGTGATGCGGCGTGGGGCTAAATGCATGCTCCGAACTAGCGGTATTGCTCCAGCGGCGCGTGTCGCGGGGTCTTTGGACCGAGTCAATGTGGCGAGGGCTGATCATAGAAGGTTCCAAATTATGTGCATTGCAACCCCTTGCAAGTGATGCGCTGGCGTCTCTGTTGCTTCTCAGATAGCAGCCGTCTGGAGCCAAGACCCAGGCCTGTCGCAGTGAAAGACCAAGTTAGAGCCGAATAAACAAACTATAAGTAGAATAGCGGTATTCCCAAGGTCCCCGGTCCTCTTGGCCTTTTCCTACAGTCCTGATCATGTAGATTCAGACATGAAAGCAGAGATGTTCGATCTGACTTGACTACAATGACCGTCCCTGAGTCATGGACTGTTCATAATGAGGTGCAGTCACGATGTGTGGGTAAAGGCGGGGTGAGTCAGACTGTGTCATTCCCCACGTCGCGATCATCAAAAAAGCGACGCGCGCGGGACTACATTAGATGTATACCAATAGCTTTGTGCGCATCTCTCTTTCAAGAGTAATCCTAGCTTCTACCTGAAACCTCGTACGGGAATCGCTGTCTGTGTTGCAGATCGAGCTCTGGTCCTGTCGATCCCGGGCAAAGTCACCCGATCTCTGCGTTGGCAAGTCCAACGTCACCTCGTCTGGAGACGTCTAGGCCAACCGTGGCCCTCCCCGACCGAAAGACCTTCACCATGGAGAGGTCAGTTGACAGTCCAGCGGGTCCAGATCCCCAGGTCCATCGTGAGTCCTGCCCTATCACTCTTAGCCGCAATACACATGGTGTTGCAGTGGCTCGCCCTAAAAAAAAGAGGCCCCTCTTCGAGACATTCAGTTCGGTTAGATCTTCAGGACTCAAGGCCCAAACCCCTTTGGTATGTAATCTGACCCGCGATTCACAGCCGAGACGTTGCTTGGTCCTATGGAGGGGGAGGGTGAGACTGAGTTCTATAGATTCTCTCCTTCCTGATTCTTGTTGGTGGCACGGCACGGCTGCAGCCTGAACGGCCCGCAAACCTTTCTGATCACACGCTCATTGTGTTTAGCAGGCCCTGAGCAGCCACCGATGGGTGATGAGTTGTCAACTCAATCTTCATCCCAAGGCGTCACGTCCACGCGCGAAACAAAAGCTGCGCGCCAATCAGCGCCCAAGAAGAAGGCCCGATGTCGTTATTTTGGGACTAAGAAAGGTACGTACCGATATCTGCTGTGTTCTTCGGAACGGTCGAGACGATGGGTTTGTGTTTATGTTTCGGAAGACACATCATGGCTCTCAAGCAGTATGGCATACTGGCATGTCTCATGATACTCAAGACATGTCATACGCTAATCTGTCGTGATATGTGAGAAGCATAGCTGGGCCATTCCATCAATCTAGGAGGTTTTTAGGAGGTTCATTTCATGTATCCTTACATGTGCTGAAGATCCTGATGACCAAGCGTCCCTCCACGCGCCCAAGTGGCGCTTATCTTCACTCACCAATGTCACTCTATGGATTGCGAAGCTGACCTCGGCCCAGGATGCCGTGCCGGCGCCGAGTGCCCGTTCGTTCACGATGACCCCGGCACCACAAGTTCAGCAGACCATAGTCCGTCAAACTCCTCAACTAGCACTGCGCAGGACGTAGCATCTCGTGTAGCCACTGGGGTCCAGAGCCTGTCATTGAGCGATAGGACTTCGAAACAAGCCACCAAAGCTCCTCAGGTGGCTCAAATTCAAAGGCCCGTATCGAAGGTCGAGAAGAATGACCCAAGAGAGTTCCAAATAAACCAGTTGCGGAGAAGATTTCGTCCTGAAGAGACAGCAGATGACAATGGCACTATCTTGAGCTTTGGAATGGCCCCTTCGGACCCGGACTTTCCCTTCGAGCTCGACAGCCTTCAGTGCGTCTTGCATGTGCCACGTCTGTATCCCGAAACGGGGCGTCCTTCGTTGAAAGTGACTAACCCGGAAATGGAATCTGCATTTCAGGAAAATGTGGCTAGGGGGGTTTGACGATATAGTCGACTTCGCATTGCGTACGAATGGTCGCGGAACGCTGCTCAGTTGGCTCAATAGCCTAGATCGACAGCTAGAAAAGCTGCTGACGAGTTTGGACAGGGGCCCGAAGCTTACTTTCGTGGCCAATGCTGGCAATCCGGGGCCTGCCAGGCAACCAGCTGCCATTGGAAAGCAAACCCAGACTCAAGTTGTAACGCCCCAGGCAATGGCAGCAGCCCCCCAAGCTACTGTGGCTACACCTTCACCGCAGCCCCTTGTCCGGCAACCCATTTTCACCACCGAGCAAAAAGCACAGGCTGAAAAGCGAAGATCAACAGAGACTAAGCAGCTCGAAGCTCGTCTCGGTAGACTTCCATTGTTTCAAAAGCGCTCAGAAGGCTCGTTCATTATCCCCATACAGCCCGCCAAGCAGGATCGCCTTCCAAAGTCCCTGCAGACACTGAAGACAGTCAAGCTGTCAATCCCTCTGCTATACCCATTACATCAAAGCTACATCGAGATCCAAGGTATCGACAGCCCAGAAGCCAGGTCTGTAGAGACAGGGTTTGCCCAATGGGTTGAGAGAAACTCCCAGTTGAATTTGGTCTCCCAGATAAATTATCTGGCCAGCAATCTTCACAACTTCGCTAAAACCCCCCTCCCGGAAATTGCCGAGCATTCCCAGCATGAGCATACTATGCCACCAGCCCACGATACCCCTTTGCCAGAACCAGAGTCTTCCAAGTCCGCCGATGTAAACCAAGACAAGCCTCATTTGCATGTTATTCCACGTCCGCCCGAGTGGTCTCTGCCCGAACAGAGCGAGAGTGAAGTGACCGACGAATCAAGCTACCACACTTCCGAAGAGGAACCTTCTGACGAGGAATCTGTTGAGGGCGGTGCCCCTGTCCCTGCAATTCTTGACACCCCCGGGCGCGGAGTCGCTCTTTCATTCCCATTCATGGAATTGTACGGGATTGAGCTCTTGGAAGTACTCTTCCTTGCTGTCACGATAAAATGTGAGCGTTGCAAGGAATCGACGGACATCAAGAATGTCCCTCAGATCACCGAACAAAGTCAAACTCTCAAAATCGAGTCGTGCAGGAAATGTGCCAACGCAATGAGCATAGGTGAGTTCGCACATCTCCAGGCTCCACTACTTTGTCGCTTACCGACCAGCAGGATTCCGAAAGCAGCTGATGCACTCTCATGCCAACCGGGCAGGGTATTTGGACCTAGGAGGTTGCATTGTTGGTGATCTCCTACCAAGGTAAAAGAGAAAGAGCATCTGTTCGATGACTGACAATGAGTAACTGACCTGGTTAACAGCAACTTTCTTCCCACGTGCTCTGAATGCTCAACACCGTACCCCTCGCCTGGGGTATCGTCTGTTCGTGGAGAAAGTACCATGGCTATATGTCGCCACTGCCATAGAAAAATGGGTAAGCTCTATATGCCTTATTCTAATACAACCGAACAGCTGATTGAGCCCTGTCTAGTTTTCAAGCTTCCCGAGGTTAAGTTTTTGGTCGTCGATAATGCTACAGGTGATTACTTCTCATCTCTCATCAAAATGGAGCTTTTTTCTAAATCCTTCCAGCTTCTACACGCGCGGGCCTGCCTTTGAAAAAGAAGGTGAGTCGGAACACCAAGTCTATGCGCTATCTATACCGGCCGATTAACGTTCCTTAGCCGAGAGAGGCCCTCGGAATTGTCGCCGGTCAAGAACTTCCACGACGTGGTCGCTGCCAACACTACGGAAAGAGCTATCGTTGGTTCAGGTAAATCGAGCGCCCAGGACCCCGTTATGAGTGGCTACTAACCTCCAGTAGATTTGGTTGTTGTTCCAAAGTTTTCCCATGCGATAAGTGTGTTATTGGTTCTGAACCGCCCGATGCGTGTATACTAATGATCGTAGATGCCACGATGCGGAAACAGATCATCCTAATGAGCATGCGAATCGCATGATCTGGTACGGCTTCCGAATGCGCACTATTGAAAAGACTTTACTAATGAAAGCAGTGGATTCTGCTCACGAGAGCAGATCTACCGACCTGAAGGTTGCGGAATCTGTAAGGCTACTCTGGTCGGGAAAGCCGGGAGCGGCTTCTGGGAGGGTGGAAAAGGCACCAGGAACCGGGCCTTGATGAGCCGAAAGGGTGAGGAACTCCTCAGCAATTCTCCAAGAGTGTTGTCTTTAACCAAGTTTCTTAGATCCTCGGAAGTACAAACGACGAGGAGGCACGGTGCCAGGGGGCTCAAGCTCGTCCAAGCGGAAATAGATAGAGATTCCCTTTTCGCAACGCCTATCTAGAACTTGCAAATGAGATACAATAATGGTGCCTTGTTTAGATTACCTGGTACAAACTTGTGTAAGTCTTCATGATGGACCCCACAAGCAAGTCAAACAGTGGTTTTGTAACTGCGGCACCGGCCCCCGGCTACTATTTTTGCGACTGCACGAGCAATCCATCTTATCCTAAGGTCACAAGACATTTATATTCCTTCGAGATACAATAGGGGGCAGAACTCCGTGTACACGCCGCTTTTATATACCCCATCAAATACTCATGTGTATTCATGGTTACATATCCTATACCAGTAGTCCTTATTAGATCATACTAAAATTCAATATGCTGAATAGTCAGGTTTATATACAGAGTTGCCAGACATTCGTAAATATTATTTTTTCCACTTAATTCTTCAACAGCTACCTAAATCCCGTAAGTCCTATACATTTGCGACCTGCTCGGTGAAGAGGCGCCCAAAGGCGCACCTCTGCACTTCGGCACTACCCTCACCGCGGCTATGCCATATCACGTGACTATAGGGTAAGTGGGTCCTCGCTAAAAACGTCATGTTGATTCATGAATCCACATTCAAATCTTTCTCCACGAATTGGCCGGATGGTGTAGTTGGTTATCACGTATCGTTAACACCGATAAGGTCCTCGGATCGAGCCCGGGTCTGGTCACTTTCTTTTTTTTTCCGCCTTTTTGCCTCTTCTTTTTGCATAAATCTTCTTCTGTCGAATTCCATCCATCTCTTGGTTTTTCAGGAGTTTGCACCTCATGTGGTGATCTTTAGCCTAATAGAAATGGAACTGGATCTCTGGTCTCGGCACTACCAGCGGGTCCCATATATGCCACAGGCAAACGTGGAGCAGGCATTGCTGATCCAATCTTTATATCCCCGTTCTCCAATTAGAAGGAGTTCTCAATGGATATAAGAATTGGTAACGAGGAACGCCAGGACAACATCGGACTGGTGCCGACTCATATTCCAGCGTTTGACGGAGAAGGGGTGTGTATGCTGATTTAATGTTCAAAGTGCAATCCTCATTAACAGGCATTAAATGAGGGATAGATGTTATAATTTGACTCTATGGAGTTGGAACAGTGGTAAATGATTGATTATTAGAGTAACCAGAGTGAGCTCGGCAATTGAACGAATTTTCAAAACCTTTCCACCTATCAGGGCTTCATGGTGCATGGACTTTTCCCCCAACTTCTCTTCAGGTCAACTCAAGCCGATTTGAACTGCCTTGATCTTGAGAAACTTTTCTCAAGTCCTTTTTTTCGCATCCCCATTGACACCAGCCGTCTTCAGCCTTTGCAACTCGGCGAACGCCTTTGCGGAAGCTCTCACGCTTTCGGCAATAAGCACTGTTCTAATCAGTCCAGCTCCTTGCGATCCCGGGGGAGGGGGAAATAATAAATGGGACAACTCACAGATGGGAATGACGATCCAGAAACCATTCAAGAGCACAAAGTAGCCGTAGAAGTAATAGTCCTCAGGACGTGAGTACTGCAGTCCATAAACAGAGGCGTCGAAAGCAACAATCCCCAGATACAACACATTGCCGTAGAGCTGTCCGGTTGAGACGATGATTTGCAAAGGGTGCCGGAAAGGATGGTCCGTGATGGTAAAGTAGGCAAGAAGGAGGGTCAGCGGGCCCCAGCACCACGCTGTCACGGACTCCATGCACATGGTGAAACCGTCCGAGGTGAGGTACCGAGAATCAGATAAGGAGTATTCTTTCCACAACTGCGCGAGGAGGTCGAGAGATCCCTGGAGGGTAGCGAAATTACGGGCGTAGTAGCCTTCGAGGACGAAATGAATCGGCGAACCTGTTTACTTGTTAGTAGGGAGCTCGCGTTCATATCGAGACCAATTGTGCATACATAGTGAAAACCAGAATACTTTTGCGTATTCGTAAAAACTAATCTGAGGATTGAGTCTTATCGCGACGGCTCTGGAGATGACCAGAACCGCTATGGACGCGACAGCAAATATCGAACACAGCGTTAGAGCACCCAATTCGTTCGGGATGTAATTTGGGATCTCTGCGCCCACGGGATAGTAAGGGTGCGAGGTTGACATTATGCAGTCTTCGGATTCAAGGGCAGGAGATGGAGTGTTTTGAATCTTGGAGAGTTAGGTACGATCTCAGGGACCATGGATTGTAATTATAAAGTGATGGTTTGTGGGGGCCCATCAAGACCAACCGGAGTTCGATTACCAAACAGATTGCGAGGGAGAGGCGCTCGGGTCCCGCGGGACGCGGGCTGCTTCTCTGCAGCTTGTAGTGTCGATCCAGGACCTCATTCTGGGGTTCTGGAGGCCCAGCCACCGGAAACCACAACTCCGAGTCGAACCATGCCCAGCGCCAAGCCTGTAGAGTAATCCAAGTGCAAAAACTCTTAGAAGAAATCTTACACATCGCAGAAATATTGAGGCCTTAAGGATACTAGAGAAGACTATAGATAGTACCCACTTAGTCCGAAGACTGCACTAGAGAAGATGAAACACCGTAGAGCCCGGAAGGGTTAACGAGTCAATCATATACAATAGCGCGGGATGGATGAGGCATGGTATAGCTCCGCAGAACTAAACCAGGAAGAACCTGATTCTGAATCTTGACTTGACCCAGCCAACGGTAAGCCTAACTCGATATTCCTGGTAGTAAAGTGAGAATGCCATTAAATACTCAGTATTATTATTGGCTAATAGCGTCGCTATCGGAATTGGCTCCTTGTTCACCGCGTAGACTCCGTGCTGAGCATCCAGGTCTTCTGTGCCGTGAATGACCCGAGAGATGTAATGAAAGAGGTCTGGAAACTCTGGAAACTGCTCAAGCCTGGAAGCAAGTTTGTGTCTGGGACATGGGCGAGGCGAGCTTTATCCAAAAGAAAGGGTATCATCACGCTGACAGAAGCTCTGGGCCGAGACATGGTTAATATCTGCTGTCCATACTGCCTCCTTGCTGCTGCATTTATTTCCAAAACTGACTATGTCACCCGGTGACTTGAGTTCTGCCAGATGATGTATCAGGCGTCACTTCAAACCCAATTATACAATGGGGCGCAAAAGTCTGTGTATTCCGCTTCCACCACCTCCCCTACAAAGTTCTTTCGTCGGTCGAATCCAACTCGTGTAAAAGCTGGAGGGATCGGAGTAGGAACGTTCGGTCGGAGAAATTCAGGGACCAAAGGATCTATGAATTGACTGCCACATAGAGTTGCTAGATGATTGGATGGTATTAGATAGCTCAATTTATCTCGATCTCGATATCTAACTGCGCAGTTAACTATAAACCCGTTTCTGAGCTCAAAAGTGACAGCCTGACGTTTCAGACTGCCGACCTCTTTCCGCGTGGTCTGCCCTAGCATTGGAGCTTAGAAGTTGAGGCTCCCGAATTGCTCCCCCCCCCCCCACATCTACCCTGGTCCTGATTGGTCGATCGTCCAGGGAGACCTATCAATCAGCCCTATCTTTCTTTCATTATTTGCTATATTTCCACCCCTTGTTTCTTACGCTCCGACGGCCGCTCCTCAGATTTTCTCTGTTCAACTTGATATGTTGGCCGTGATTACTGTCTGTTCTCGAAGCTCTGTTATCAGGGTTTGCTATAGGATAATTATACTCTAAAACCGTCTAAGATAGCGGGCTGATGCTGGCTGAATCTAGGTCCTTTTTACGTTCTACAATGCATCCGTCGCGCTGTATAATTGGAAGCTTCTGTTTCCTCCAATCTTCTTTTCATCTGAACTTCGATGCAGCCTAAAATCCGTTTGCACCTGCTTGGGTATAAATATCTTCGCCTCCCCCAATCTTTCTTTCCTTCTTCCCCTTCCCCAATTCTCGTCGCTCATGCCTACAACTGCCGTGATCGATCTATCGCGGCGCCACGGATCCGTAACGGCACATTCCCTACCAGGTCAATCTACCTAATCCCATCCTGTGACCCGGATCTCCCACTCGAGATGTCGACCCCTTCTCGCCCTCTATCTCCCGCCTCCTCTTACCCCTCCCTTACACCGTCCAGACTCCAAATCGTCACCCGACCCTCCAGACCCCTTCCCACAACAGACTTGGAATTTCAGCCTACCACAAGCAACGCGCCGGCGCAGTCCATTGACGATGTTCTGGCCCAGCTCGACCAGCTGCATGACCAGGTTGCATCCCGCCAGGCGATCTGGCGTGCCACGGTCGAAGAGAGCGAGTACCAAAACACCTCTGCCGCTATAACACGTGCATCGCAGAAGGCCCTGGATGACCGAGCCAATATCGAGCGGCTACGTGCCCGCGCGGTGGCTTTCTGGGGCCGCGACGACGCATACGCCATGTATCGCAAGGTCCACAACCCCAACATGGCCCGCCAGGTAAACCGGCTAGTGGCGAACCGAGTGCCCTTCAACGAGGCCAGACGGCGATCAACCGCGCCATCGTCGCCCGCCTTCGCGACACCCGCCGCGGCGTCCGCAAGGTCCAAGGGGTCACCCCCGGTGACATTCTGGCTGCGTTCCACCAGCGGCACACTTCACCCCTCACGCAGACCGAGCTTGACGTATGTCGTCTGCAGATCGATCCAGACGGGTTCTGCTGTCCAATGGGCCAGGGCTACAATCTGCCGCCCTTAATCCCCAGTTCCCAGGGTTCGAGTGGGGGACCGAATAGTCATCAGCCGGCAGACTTAACAGGTACGTCCCTCAGCGGCAGCCCTCCCTAGCAACAGTCCCCCTAGCGACAGCCCCTCTAGCGACGTGGAGAGTGTGCTTACCTCCCTCGACCCGTTGCTATAGCATTGACGTCACCAGAATAAGCTATCTCATCGATATCAGGCCCTGCTCCAGTTCCAGGAGTGGCTGCAGCAGGGAAATGACTAGATGGCCTGCAAGTTAACACACCTTAGTATAAAGGCGAGATAGATTCAAGCAAAGATAGTGCACCTCTCGATGGGGCGTCTTACGTCTTCGAAACACCCCCCCCGCCCCGGTGCGCGCTTTCAGATCCGGCTGCTCGGGTCAGCCTGTAACCTGTGAATCTGATTGTGGCTTGGAGAAACATTTCCCGCCCCCTGAAGCCCTAACCCCACATTCCTAGAACTGCGAGAGACGTGGAGCAATGGATACTTATTCCCCAAAGAGATCTCCGATTCGACGTTCGAGATAAGGCTGAACGATCTCCCAACTCGGGAAAGTGATTTTCTCCTCCTTGATCCTGATATGGTAGGGACAGGTGCAATGTACTTTCTAGGGTCAGACTTTTTCATCCATACCATCATCAAGAACTTGGACAAGTTTGGAGCCAAGGCGCCGCTGCCTGTAGGCAAGGCTAATGATGCCGAGGGCGCAACCGAGGAAGATTTCATGGATAGTCTTTTTATACCATGGCAGCTACTGTTAATTTGCTAGTCCAATTCAAGTATGACCAGTGACCCATTGCTGTGGACCGGGCCCTGACGCAGCCCACGAGTGCTTCTGTTTTGATTCTATTGTTCATCTAATCCTAATTCATGATAGTGTGTACCTCTAAGCCTCCTGCTGAGCGGAGGGATAGTCTGTATAATGGAACGCATTGTCCTCGAACGGCCCATAGAATCGAGATCGATCGTAAGCTGCCAGCGGCAACCCATTCTTCAGCCGGTGAACCAGATCGGGGTTACTAACGAAGTAGCGGCCGAAAATAAGAGCATCATATTTGCCCGACTCGATCACCCCCCAGGCGTTCTTGTCATCAAAGCCGCCCGCGGAGAAGAAGGGAGTGGAGCCAAAGATGGCACGGAACCGGTCGAGCGTCACATCTCCCAGGCCCCAGCTCTCCAGGAACTTCTCCTTCTCCTCCTCACTGAAGACTTGCTCATAGCGCTGTGAAGCAAAAAGCCGTTAGCCAAATACCCCCCCCCCCCCGAGCCCTCAGGTGCACATAACAGACTTACCGGCTCAATAAAGCTAACATAAGACAGAGCAGGATGATTTTTCTTCAACCCCTCGCACAAATGCGTCCAAGTCTCCATGCGCTGCTCCCCCCGAGCCTGGTTGTAGAGCCCAAAGGGCGAAAGCCGAATAGCCAGATTCTGCTCTCCGACCGTCTTTGCCAGCTCGCTCATAAGCTCGAAGATAAACGTGCACCGTTTCTGCGGAGAGCCGCCATAGTCATCCGTGCGCTTGTTGATGTTCGAGCTCAGGAACTGCTCGGGCAGATAGCCGTTGCCGCCGTGAAGCTCGACGCCATCGAAGCCAATTTCAATAGCGGTCTTGGCCGCCCCGCAGTAGTCGGCGATAGTCTGCTTGATATGCGCAGGCGACAATTCGATTGGCGGGTGATTGGCGTACGGGACGGGCTCCGTGGACCCCACAGGGGGGTGGGTGTAGCACTCTGTAGGCGAGTCCCACACACTTGCCGAGGCTGAGACGGCGGGCGCACCGGTCATCTGTGGGATTGTGGCACGACCGGCGTGCCAGAGTTGGCAGTAGATGTAGGCTCCCTTGGCGTGGACGGCGTCTACAACCTTTTTCCACCCCTCCGCTTGTTCGGGCGTGAAAAGGCCTGGCACGCCAGGCATTCCATTGCTCTATAGGAGCGGTTAGGCATCGATCGGGTGGGGGATGTTGGTGGGGGTTCGGGGAGGGGGGGGGAGTGGAAATGAGAAGTATCAGACATATTGGGGGGATGGGATTACCTCTAGGGAAGGTGGGATGCCCTCTGAAATGATCAGGCCTCCCTCCGTGGCTCGTTGGGCATAGTATTCCTTGATCAGTTCACCCGGAACCCAAATTCGATTGGGATTCTCCGGGGTGCTGTTAAAATTCAGAGGGACGCCTCGGTTCCTGGTCAGTGGCGCATGGATGACACGGTGGCTAAGTTTAATGTTGCCATTGGCAATAGTCAAAGGCTCGAATAGGGCGGAGCTCTCGCCCTTCCCGTAGCGAATAGTCATTTGGAATCCGAGGGAAGACTGGAAAGAAAAAAGGAGAGGGAAATCCCAGTGGGAATGGGGGCGCCCCCTTTCTCGAGAAACTCAAAGGACATCCCGCTGTCAAACCTCCAGCCTCGCCTGGCCCGAAAGGAAAAAGTCTAAGTAAATTGGGCGATCCGCCCTACCCACTGGCTACCCACTGGCTGCCCACTGGCGCCTGCCAGTGACGGGCCGAGGATAGAGTATAAAGTGGATTCGATTTGCGCCATGCAAGTCGATCGTTTACCGACGTTTCGCAACGTAATCACGCCCGATCTTCCGTGAGCAGCGTGTCAAAGCGTCAAGACATGGTTCTTCACGTGCGATGGAAGGTTCCTAATATTTTGCCCTGCACCTTGATGAGGCTAACAATGCAATTGTAGGGATGCAAAAGTACGATGGACCCCGGCGGAAACGAGCTGGCCAATCATGTGCAGGGATTTGATCGCAAATTCATGACTGCGCGAACACTAGATCTTTAGTCTCCTATACTAGCCGCTATCCCTGCGATAACGCAACCTTCGGGGCCCTTTAGGGCAAGGATGGCCTTTTTAAAGTTTGGATAACAGTTCCAGATGAGCGGAGCTCCTGATCACAAGGAAAAAACATCCGCGCTTCCCGCTCACCTGCCTAAATATTATCCAATTTTTTTTATGCACCTGCGACACCCTGATGGCGTGGCGCGAATCTTAAGTAGGGCCCCCCGTTACTAGCCGTTTATGAACGAACCCTTTCCCAGCTTTCCCAGCTTTCCCGGCTGTTCTTGGACTTCCTGGACTTCCTGGACTTCTTCCGTATGTCCTGCCAGATGTCAGCAAGATGACAGTTGAGAACCCCAAGGATGTCCTGCACACAGTCAATACAGTGACTCAAGCACTGTGTATTCCCTTGGTGTCTCTCTTTGTTGCCCTGCGTTTCTACACCCGGATTCGCTTCAAGCAAGCCCTCGGCGTTGAGGACTGTGAGTCTAATCGAATCTGCTTCGAGATTGTGTTTGAACAAGATCCAACTGACTCCCTGATCAGATGCCTGTGCCATATCTTGGGTATGTTGCGTGCCAATGGGGCCTCCGTGGCTTGAGAAAACTAACGAGATGGGAAAAGGTTCTTTTTATGGGCTATTGTGCGATTGGCATCGTTCGTAAGTGGTATTCCATCCACAAACAAATGCTCTCAAACAAGCTAAACCGATTTCATCTAGTCGGCAAATATGGCGGCGGCTACAACATCGACGACGTGAGCGAGGCCCACCAGACACTCTTTAAAAAGTTTTGCTATGTCGCCACAACTCTTTACTGCCCGATGGCACTATCCGTGAAAATCGCTCTCTTAGCCATCCTCACTCGCATCTTCTCTCCTTACCGCGGCAAAGTGTGGTTCATTTATATTCTCCTCGCTTGTCTTTGCTGCTACTACTTGGCGGCTCTCATCGTGAAGATCCGCATCTGTGACCCGATTCCGATGTATTGGCTTGGCCCCCTCCCCGGGGGCTCTTGCCTGGATCAAAGGGCAGCTCTCATCGCCGACTCCGTAATCAGCATGGTCAGCGATACCATCATTCTCATTCTTCCATTACCACTCACATGGTCGCTCCAAATGTCACGGAACCGCAAATTGCGCGTCATTGGCCTGCTCAGTGCCGGTGGCTTGGCCACGGGCTTCAGTGTGTACCGACTAGTGCTCGTCTTGTCCAGGGGAAGCTCGCCAAACCAGACGATCGTCTTCATTTGCGTTATCCTATCCGGGTAAGGAACCTCCATCTCAACGGCCGCCGGAGCCTTGTCCGTACTAACGCCGATTTCTCTCGCTAGCAATGCGGAAGGTGGTCTCGGTCTCATCTGCGCATGCCTGCCCGTTCTGAACGTCCTTATTAGACACTATCGAAAGGAGTACGCGTCCCAGAAATACTACAACCAGAGCTCGGAAGTGCCCTTGGGAGACCGGAAGATCGCCTCCGGCTCCAGGTCCGGCAATAGCGGGCTCAACTTTGGAGACCAAAGCCATCTTATCACCTTTGCCGGTGCGCCTGAAGGGAACGACTCCCTTTATCGTGAAAATGGGATCCGAAAGACAGTTGCAATGGAGCAAACGGTCGAGAGCGCCGATCGGGTTAGCGACGATGGCCATTCACGGCGCTCATGAGTGTACCAGACGTGTGTACGACTAATCTTGATCAAGACCCTTATTAGACTAATAGAATTTCCTTATCTCTTCATGACATCCAGAGTTGAGACCTTGTCCTAGACAAGAAATAGTTAGGAACAACGACTATCGTGGCACAAGAAAGGAAGATATGTCATCCCGGCCGCAGTCTGTCATGTATATGATGTTGGCAGATAATACAGAGAAAGAAAAGAGCAATGCAGTTCTGATTTTCGGGTCGTTGAGTCTAAACCTTTCACCTCAAGGAAGGGGAATGGTCAAACAGCCCAGAGTTGTGCCAAAGTCCATCCATGCCAGCATCAAACCCAGCCGCCCAAGATGCGTCAATGAATGGCCACTGGAACATGTCTGCCTCAAAGTCATGGGCACCAAGTGCTCCGTGCTCGCGGGCAAACAATCCAGGATCTCCATCCAGGGAAGTGCCGCGTGCATCTGCCGCGGTATTGGTTGGGACGTGCCCATGTGAGATTCGGCCGTCGCGGAGCTGGTCTGCGTCTCACGAGGACGGGATCGAATATCCCCATATTCATCCAGTGTCCCACCAATAGTGAATCGGCGGGGGCTGTGCATGCCGGTACCAGCATGCGCCTGGTTATTTCTCACGATTTCATAGAAGCGGTTCGCCTCTTGCACAGTGCGCCACTAAGCCAATGAGGTTAGCTGACTGGATTCTCCTCATTTTTGAGGACCACTCACCCAGTTACGACCAACGGGCCATAATTTGCTTAATCTCTCGAGGTATGCGAGGTTACGAGCTTTCTCCTCTTCGGCTCTTTCTAGCCCCCCCTGGGTACCGCATAGGGGCGATAGTGCCGTACATGTTGATGTGAGCGGCCACGAAGACGCTGAAACCGGAATACGGGGTCATGACGCCTGCCTCGGAAGCCTCCAGGGCCGTCAGGACTCCACTTATGTTTTGCGCTGCTTCAAAGAGCTCTTTGATGGTCGCTGGCTCGTATTGATCATCGTCGTTCATGTCGTGAAAAACATCGGAATGGGGCTTGAGGTTAGACAGGAAGCGGTCTCGATGTAGAAATAGAATGCTGGGAGCTGACGTTAACTTTCCTGCAGGGGCATATACCTCGGTTTATTTTCCAAGAGCCAGAAGCCGTACCTCATAAAGTAGATCAAGTTGATGTATGCAAACAGTTCTCCATAGCCGAGCGCAACATGAGCCTGGACACTGGTAGCGGGGTATCGAACTGTGACATCCTGTAAGGTTCGCCACTCATCCAACTGCTCGCTAAGTGCTTGCCACGTTTGGTGCAGAGGCGATGTGCTAGGCTCCTCATTTCCCATAGAAGCCAGAGCTCTGCGGTGCTCATTTGCAAACCTCAAGATCCGAACAAAGATATCGAATCCCCGAGTGACAATAGTCAGACCACTTTCGATGGTCAGATCTCGGGCTGATGGGCAGTTCTTATTCATGTCTGCGGGCATTAGTCTCTTCTCCGGTAATCGGTTAAACGTGAAATCGCGGTCGCTGATGGGTAATGGCACTGAAATCTGCGAAAAAGACAAGGCAAAATGCTGACGAGCTCCAGAACTGAGCTCACAGTCTTGCGCAAAGCAGCACCAGTACGTCCGGACTAACTGCTCGTATTGGGTTTGTGAGGCATGAAAGTCATGCGGATTATTCTCCATACTGTCATCCGCCATTTTCAACAGCGATTGGATCATGTATGTAGCCATGCCTGTTGAACTAAAGTCATTCAAAATCCCTTGGATTTTATTACAAAAGGGGGTCTTCTTTTTCTTAGGCACGTACCGCTATACATCCATGCTTGATACGGCCGACCGGCGCCCCATTCATAAAATGAGATCATGACAAGAGACTGAGCGAGATACAACGAAGGCGCTTCCATGACCCGATGGGCTAGGTGCTTTCGTGCAAAGTCAGCGTATACCTCCTCATCCTCGAGAACATCATCGGTAATAAACCGTGTACACAGCGAGAGGAGTGATGCAATGAATACCGGTTCAACAGACTGCGGATTCGAAGATACGTCGGATATTAAAGAGGGATAGTGGAGGAAATTGGCAATGGGGAACTTTTTGCGATATGTCTCCACGGCAGTGACCAAAGTGGAGGATGGCAAAATTGATATCAGTTGGTCTGGACTGCCAGAAGCTCGGCGAGGAACGGTTTGTCCATGCATTTCCCCGTCAACATTGGGGGACAGGGAAGTCGATACCCGGCTTTTCCGGGTGGTTTTGGAGCTCGTCGCTCTAGAACCTGGCCTCGAAACTCGAGGGTCAGTCAGGGTGCAGCCCTCCACCTTTGCCCTTGCACAGCGTCGACATGGTGGGCTGCCTTCATGGATGCACTTGACCTTAGCACGACTATAATTATGTCAGATCCCGAAGCACGTTGATCGGAACACCACGCACCGACAAGCATTACATGATATTGACAGCCTCATTGGGAGTCAAATCACTATAGATTGAGTGGCAGTGTCAATGCATCAAGGATACCTCGAGGATGCGTAAGAATCCTCCGTCCTTGCCAGAGTTGCTCCGACAGACGCGGGAGGATTCACGCCAGAAATACAAGGTGTCTCCATTACCAAATACGGTTTAGCTTATTGTGCCGCACGGCCGTTCATTTGGACTTGTTCGATAACAAACAATTACTCTACAGTGGCAGTCTTAATTCAAAATGAGGCATAGTCACTTATTCGAAGGTGATTATATTCTATATGCTAAGTATATTACATGATGCATCGCTAATTCATTCATACGCTATTTGCCAACCACCGTCCATTGCTCCACCCAGGCATTGAATTTGTCGACCTGCAACTCATCCGTGGCCCAGGATGTCACGATCCGAATGACCATTCGCCCATCATCCAGGTGCTCCCAGGTATAGAATCGGAAGCGATCCTCCAGCCTCCGCACCAAGGTTGAAGGCAGAGTGACGAAGACTTGGTTGGTAGCCGTGTCCGCTACCAAAGAGTATCCCAAACACTCGAAATTAGCCGAGATTTTCTCGGCCATAGAGTTGGCGTGTGTAGCCAATGTAAAGAAAAGGTCATTGCGAAACAGCTCCATGAATTGGACACCGATAATGCGGCCCTTCGCCAGCAAAGCGCCATGTTGTTTGAGATGGAAAACGAACCCCTCTGCCAACTCCTTCTTGACCACAATGGCTTCTCCCAGCAGCGCGCCAGCCTTGGTTCCGCCGATCCAGAATATGTCGGTGAGATCAAAGATATCGCGGAGAGTCATATCGTTCTTCTTCGAGCACAAGGCCGTTCCGATTCTGGCTCCATCCATAAGAAGCAGAAGCTTCAATTGCTTGCACATGGCAGAGAGATTGCTCAGCTCGCGCTTGGTGTACACGGTGCCTGTCTCCGATGCATTTGAAATGTAAAGAAGCCGTGGCTTGGCCATGTGTGGATAGAACTGGTTTTGCTGGAAGGCCTTCTGGAGATTGGCGGGCGTCATTTTGCCATCCACTGGCGGGACCAGGATGAGTTTGTGGCCAGTCGCCTCAATCGCGCCTGCTTCTTTGCACGCAATATGGCCAGAGTCCAGCGTGATGACTGCCTCGTACGGGCGCAGGCAACTGGCAATTGAGATCAGATTGGCAGATGTGCCACTGGGCACGAAAAAAATCTCGGCCTCGTCATCTGCGCAATCAATCTTCTCTCGGATTAGATGACGGGCCTCATTGCTGTATTCGTCGTTTCCGTAAGACACTTGCTGTGTGGAATTGGTGCGGAGCAGCGCCTCTAAAATTTGTGGGTGGGCTCCCTCGCTATAATCGTCCATGAGACTGTATGGCGGACATGCCTCGTCTTGGCAGAGACTGGTTGCAGGCATTTTCCCGATAAAATACGGTCTGCGATCGAAATCAAAATAGGGACAGATCGACGGAGGCGAATATTATGAGTGGCACTAATTGCATGATGGCAAACCTGAGTCACCCTCGACCTAAATAGAACTTTGGAACGTTCGGGAAAGAGAAATTGTTGATAATCGCGGGAATAGAAGCTCGGGAATAGACCCGGTTTTATTCCCGAGATCCGACGGGAATCCCTTGCAATTAAGTTTGAGTTTCTTATCATGGACTTCGAGAAACGTTCCACTTGGGAGGGGTCAATTCCCCGCGTGCTACTCAAGAGCGATGCTTGTTGGGGGAGCGGCATGTGCGACCTGATAACGGAATTGTTCGGCATCCAATGGGTCTCCAAACGTATCCCAATTGGCTTCAATCCAACGGGGCTACTACATGATGAATATGAAAATGCTTTGTACTTGGATTGAGCATGTGCAGCATGGAAATCCCCCCCCCTTGCGCAGTCATTTGTCGGTATGTCATACACAAACCCTCAAAGCTAGTCATGCTTTCATAATTTGCTGGTAGTCCTTGTACTCCAATCGCGGTCAGATCTGAATTTGGAAAGGTTTTTGTGGTCTTGAAGCATCGTTGGAACAACGTGGTAATGAACTACCATAGATTTGAGTACCGTCGTGCTATGCAAAAATGAAAGCCTAAATCCCCACCACACATGACCGATGGCCGAAAAGAATCAACAACGCCAGATTATTTACATCCCAAACCCGCCCGGGGCAATGAATATACAACTCGACGGACCATGCAAGGGAGGACTCGGACTCCACATGCTACAAGTGGCAACCGAGAACTTGAATATCACTCGGCCATCTCAGGCCGAAGATGAGTTTGTTCTTCTGGTAGCCCGTCCTCTAATCGAACGCGTTGATACAGCCGGACCCGCCAGCCACGAATCAACATAAAGCAAGCCATGACGCCCGCCATGCCACCCAGGAGAATGATAAGCGCGAGGATCCCACCGACCTTGCGCATAGTCTCGTAGGCGCTAGAGAGGATGTGGGTGGCCTTTCTGAGCTCAGCATCGGCCATCGCATTAGTCGACGAGGGGATATTCTCTTCGTCACTGGTCTCGTTCAGCGAAGCTCCCACGCCAACGTGCAGCCCTGCCGGATCGTTCGGCCTGGGGAGGCCGGAGATTCCGGGGTATCCAACGGCTTGCCAATCAGGATACGCTGACCGGTGGATGTCAGAGGTTCCCAGCACAGCGCCACTAGCATCGACAGCCTCGACCGAGATCCAGTCCATGAAGCCCTTGGCGATGAACATGGTCTCGAAATCGGTTTTGGCGATCCTGCCAATGGGCACGCGCTCGTCGAACTCGGAAGCCTGGGCATAAAATTGCCACTCCGCGATATCGGTGGCACCGTTCCAGCTGACATACACGGTGGTCACCATGTTTGCCTCGTCGGTACCATAAACAGATGCCACGAGGTCAGGCGGGGTGTTGGGACGACCGGTGAATTCGAACTTGTAGGCTCGGTAATTGGAGTAGCGAGGGGAGGTGAACTGGGCGGACATCAGGAGTCTACCATCCTCCGCGTACTCCGATATATAGCCACCCTTACTCCAGCACGCAAACATGTTCTTGTTGGGGAGCACCTGGGAGTTGCCGCGCAATCGAGTAAGGCTCTTGTCGGGGCGTTCGTAACGGTGTAAAATGTGAGCGGTCTTGGGCTCTGTACCAGCTTCAATCTCCACGATCAAAGCGGAGGAGACATCCTCTGATTGAAACTCCTCGTCCGATGCATTGTTCAGGATCGAAATGACGTGGCGTGTGCCTTCGGAAGAAATGAATTTAGCGTCATGTTGTTTTGAAAAGGTGAAGTCTTGTATAAAGTCGCTGGTGTTCCCCGCAAGTCCGCCGAGACGCCACATGATGCTGCCGGACTGTGCAGAAATGAGATAGATTGTGTTTGTGAATCGCATGGAAATCAGATAATCGCCGTTGTCGTTCTTATCAACAGAGTTGATATGCACGTAATCCCATCCTGGAAGCGCCTCGACCATCGAGGTCGGATTGTAATGAACACTCTCAGTCAACGGGATTTCCACAAATGAGTTCCAATGGTAGAGGATCTCTGCTGTCTTTAAGTCGATCTCGGAGAATCCGCCGTACTCCAGCCAAGTTGTCTCTGTGGGCCGACCATAGGCCTCGAGGGTGATTTCTTGGGATAAATAGTTGGTAACGAGCGCTGTTTCCCCATTCTTGAGGACGTTGAACTCATGGATATCAAACCACCCGAGGTCTTCTCTCAAGGGGAGCATATGGGTGATTTCGTAATGATTGTTGAGAATCACACCGTATCCGCGGTCGCCATCTTCTTCGGCGTCGTGGCTGTACTGTCGAATTAAAGAGAGATGCGGCTCTTCGCCCAGGCTCTGGACCACTTTGAAGTCGAAGGTGTTTCGATTGTCGAAGAAGGATGTTCCAGTCCATACCAAACGCTGTCCAGGATCACTCTGTCAGTATCACAAGTCAATTCGCGGATGCGCGAAGTAGACACATACTCCTTCTTGATCGTAGATATGGGGACCGATCTGATATTGCTCATACAGAGTATGGGGCTCGTCGGTGTCCATGTGCAAGTATGGCGAGACAAACCAGTATCCCGGTGCAAGACTATCGCGATCCTCATATTGAATATCGAATTTCACAGCCCTGACGTCCGGAAGCTACTACAGAGTCAGCGCGAGGGCGATCCATCGTGCCAGAGCCAACTCACCGTCTTAAAGGACATCAGATCATCGTCCGAGTACCATGCGACCGCATTCTGGGCTAGAGAAGAGCAACAGGCCAGGCCAAAACATGGTGATTAAAGAGCGAATATGGGTCAAAACGAAGCCATGGAGAACGAAGAATCTGAAAGCCAGGGGAAAGAGAGGACTGCAGATCTTTGCAACCTTCAGAGGGGCGCAATGAATCCAGGGCAGCGAAAACCAACCCGCTCCGACTTCTGGACTCCGCGGTGGGACCAATTAGGGGTTGGCTGGGCATGCTTTTTAGGCGCTCGGACAGAGGATGACGCATCCCTAGTTTTACGATCTCCCCGGATTGTCAGGGTCAAGAGGGAACTAAAACTGTCGATGTCTAGATTCTTAGATGCGGGGATGTCAATTGACGGGTGTTATAGTTTGATATGTGCACTTTTAGGCTTTAGCTTCCCCCATGATTGGGTCGGCCATCGCATCATCTTGACCTTGTCTTGCTCTTTTTTTCTTGGCTTCCGCCGTGCCTGACACGTAAGACTCCCGCCACTAGTCCCGTTTCGTTTCTTAGGCGCCACTCGTACTCGTAGAGCCTACGAGGACTCTTGTTACGGGTGGGCATCGATCGCTGACTACGGGGATCTCAGGGTCTCTCTCCGTATCTGATGCGAGAGGCCAATTCCAGCACGATCAACTCAGAATGCACTCTAAAAGACCCTGTCAATATACCACATGACGTCATGTGACTTGCGACCAATCAACGGTGATATTATATATCGTGGATTGTATATGCTCAAAGTCTCTTAAATGGAGCCAAATGGAGATGACGAACAATCAGCAGATCAATGAAAACTTGAAGGCCGACCGAGAATTATTCTCTGTAACAATTGATGTGTAAGTCTACACAGTTCTGAAACCAGCACTAGACCATGATCTCTCACAGACTGCAGACCTAACACGCCCTTTTACGAATTCACATCACGCAGCCTAAGCACTGTCTGAACGTGCTCATACTTCAAGTTCTCTTCCTTCGACCAGGCGAGAAGACTAGCTGTTTTTACCAGATTCTTAATCTGTCGGCCGTTCAGCTGGACCTCCGAGAGTTTGTTAAGAACGTCGTCAGAGAACTCGCCCACGTTAGCCGAATGAGACAGGAATTGGGTCCAGATGTGGCGGCGTGCGGATTTATCGAGATCCTGGTAGGTGAGAGAGACATGGACTCGTGATTCGAAAGCCGGGTCGATGTTCTCAGAACGGTTAGTGGTGAGGAACATAATTCCCTGGAGAAGCAGTCAGCATATTGAGTCATTGGCAGGACAGCGATCGCACAAACCTCATAGTATTCCAACAGACGCAGGAAGATTGATACAAGCTCATTACGCTCGAGATCAGTGGCGGAACGAGCCTCCATGAAAACATCTGCTTCGTCCAAAAGAAGCACAGCCCCCCCATTTGGGAATCATGCGCAGGACCTGCTTGAGGTTATACTCCACGTCCGAAGCGGAGGTGCCCAGATCTCCAGCACTCATAGCGTACAAGGGAACCCGCATCACTTCTGCCACACTCTCAGCAGTGAGGGTCTTCCCAACTCCGGGAGGACCACTGAGCTGCATGATAATGCCCCGGCCTTTACCCTCGACCACATCGTCAAAATTGTTCACTTGCTTCGCCTGGGCTTTGGCAAAGGCCAAGATCAGGTCCTTGAGATTTTCCTGGTCTGAAGGAAGAACGAGTGCCTCGAAGGCACGGGTTTCCCAGATAATCTCTTTTGATAGGTCGAGGTAGAACCGAAGCCACTCCTTGTCCTTCAGGGAATATCCGTGTAACATGGGAGTAGTTACCAACCGAAGATCATCAGTCATCTCGAGTGGGAAGTCTTTTTCCCCATACACGTTTACGGATGTGTAAGGGTGGAAGGTGTTGAAGGCATCGGTGTCGATAATGATACGGCTATTGACGTGGTACTTCACGATCTCCACATCATGGTTGAATCCATGGGCAATACCCCGGTACTGCTTGTAGTGGTATCCCTTGTGCTCTTCCCAGAGTTTACCACGTGCGATCAAGGACTCGCGGATGGAATTTTGATCGGCATGATACTTGAGAGGGGACACCGCAAGCGAAGTAATAGGGACAGTACCGATGAAGGGGTAAATCTCGAAGTCTTTATCGCGATACCCGAAGTTCTCACCGTCATGGTCGACATACTTTCCGGTGAGAGTCCATGCCTTTGATCGGCCGTCAATAACGTCTTTATCAAAGATAAACGCTCGAGTGCGACCGTCGGAAGTATGAATCATCACATCCCCAGGCTCGAAGATTGACCACACAAGCTCATGTGTGATGACTTTATTGCGGATCAGGTCATTCTTCCGAGTAATGGTGTCCCGGAGTTCCTCTTCCAGGATTTTGTGGAGCAGGTCGGCATGCTGCTTAGTGGTAGGGTCCTGCTCCTTCGCGCGAATTTCCAGGAAATTTTCCCATCGGTGCACCATAGGCTTGAATGGGCTGTTGAATTCCAGGCGCTCGAGTGTAGTGGTGACTCCGGGGTAGCCCTCCAGCACCTTGCCTAAGAACTCCTTCAAAGGCTCGCTTTGTACCACAATTGAGTGGATCTTAAGGCTTTTTCGCCCATCATAGCATTTTGAATTGCGTACAATGACGGCGTATTGTGCAGACTCGGCGTCCTCTACAGGAGCCACTAGACTTTTAGGAAAGTCCTTGGTCCATGTGGTCTCTCCATTCTCGTCTGGCTTGGTCTGGTAAACATTGCGAATATCGCAGATGGTTCCCGGGGAGCATAGTCTTTGTCTCCATCTTCTGACTCGTCTATAGTGGATTAGTTCCTGGTCCTGATAAGGGTCTCTTAGACTTAACATACCAGGGGTGTCAACGGCGTCCTGCGTCTTGGAGTCTTTAGTAGTTTTTACAGTCATAGTTGCAACAGATATCGATCACGATAATGGCTACTGAAGGGGGAAAATTTTGTAAAAAAAATACCCAAGCCAATCCCACTCAGAGAGTAAGCCCAAGGGGGAATGGAGAGCGGCTGTAGACTGTTGATCGAGCAACCTATCTCAAGTTTATATGCAATCCATCAGACAAGGCAACAATAAACCTACATGTGTTTGGCAAGAGCGCTATCTGGGTTGATGCTGTCCTATAGGCTCATCAGGCTGTAGGATGTCTCTCTGCCCCACCGAGCCTCAATGCTGTTCTGACAAAGTGGCGAAATGATCCCACCGGGGACCTAATTGGGGCTGCCGGGAGGCTGATAACTAGTTAACTAGTCCTCATAGTTAGTTACGTTAGTTACGTTAACTAATGAGTTAGTTACAGGCCGCGCCTGACTCAACCGAGGCTGGGATTTGTTTCACTATAGAACCCTGAGCATGTTTGGCTTTGCTGGCTTGTGATGTTTTTCTCACCACCGAGCACGAGGATTTTTTCCAGTCCCTGATTACTACAATTTTAGGAAGCTCGCCGTGCCGCATGTGGAGCTTGTTGCCTGGAGGCCACGCTGTGACTGTGGACCTTGTATCAGCACGTCTGTATCTACGATGACTCACGAGGGAATTGCTCACCTGGGCATTCAGCCTCATGTCCTTCCTGTTCCTCAGGAGAAGCCTTCGATTTCATTTCGTATTTTCATGCTACTGCATCAAGACTCAGACTGCTGTGTCTTTATTCATCTCGCAACACCTTAAAAGGGTTGCTAGAACCAGTATTCATTTATCTGTCGTCAAAATCATATCGAACAAGAAAGAATGAAAAAAAAAAAAAGTCAAGAACCAGACCTTGATCAATGCTGCACCCCGCTATTTCTAAAACACATGCGCCGTCAAAATACTTTTCTTCGATTATCTCTAAAGAGCACCATATTTACGCCTCTGTAGCAAAGGCAGTCAACCGCGCCTTGATAGCCTCCTCCGAATCCTCTGTATCAAGCTCCCGCAGAACCCCAGAGCCGACATCGTAGATCAGACCATGGACCTGAAGTCCCCGTTCCAGGATAGCATTCAGAACAACCCCCTTCTGCTTAACGACGTCCATGCCCTCGCGCACATTGAGCTCCACGAGCTTTGTGGCAGCCTCCTCTGGCGGAAGTGACTGTAATAATGAGAGATTGCGCTGGCGCACTTGCCGCAGAGGGAGCAGCCACGGGTCCAGAATGCCCAACTGCTTGTTGCCCATCGCAGCAGCCACGCCGCCACAAGAGGTGTGGCCACAAACGACGACATGCTGCACGCGCAAATGCTGCACAGCGAACTCGATGACAGCCCCCGAGCTCAGATCACCCGGATGCATGATATTGGCAATGTTCCGGTGCACAAACACATCGCCAGGCTTCAGTCCCAACAAGCTGGTTTCGGGGCATCGGGAGTCAGAGCAACCGAGCCACAGAATCTGCGGCTGCTGGCCGTTCGCGAGGGTTGGAAAGAGATCCGGATGTTCTTTCGCTGTCTGCGCAGCCCATTCCTTGTTCAGGCGCAGAGCCGTCGAGTATCGGTCTTGAGAGGTTTCGGTCTTTGTTCCGGAAGTGTCTGCACTGGCGGGTGTTCTGCGATTTTCGCAGCACAAGGCGGAGGAGGTTGAGAAAAAGCGGGGGCAGCAGTCTGCGACGGGAGAGCCATGAGGCAACTGGAGGAATCGAGAGGGGGATTTGAGCGGTTGCTGGCGACTCGCGACATTGGGCGTCCCTTCAGCCCTGCGCGCGAGGACGCTAGGTCGCACGGCCAATCGTGCGACATTCATGACGAACTGTGGGGGGCAGCAGGAGTTCGCAGCTAACGTCGCAACCTGGGGGAGCGATGGGTACGTGGCCACAGTCACAGGCCTGGACAAGATATATACAACGGCAATGACCGTCGATTCCAAGAATCGGCCTGGCCACAGGGCACCGTGTCTATCCGAGGCGGATGTGTGTTGGGGAAAGAGATTGGGGACAACAGACCCGCCGAAGAAAAGTAAAGACTCCGCCTAATGTACCCTGAGTCATAGCGATCACTTGAAGCAACTTGGAGCCCAGAACAAAATGGGGAATCGATCAAGAGGTTATGGTCCTGGAGTTTGCAGTCAAATTGTACATACATTCAAGCACAGGGAAGATTGTACCTGTTCCTGGTGCCCTGAGTCTCTCCGATGTGTAACCGCGACACCGGCGCTTGTGGGCATTCTGGGCTCGTAGCGGTCGCGGTCGATCTATTACTCCAAACTCTCAAGTTCCAATTAACCGAAGTTTCCTCAAATGCGCTTGAAACTTGAATGGAAGAGCAGTCGACTCAAGCACGTAGATGCGCAGAATTTGTATCTGACTATTGGGCCAGTGAGAACTTATTTGCTTATCTGAGCCATCAGACTTAATTTTGACTTAAGACGCGACAATTGCTGCATACAATAGAATTAGTACTATAACCTGGGGTTCCAGGGAAACAAACTAGTCAGTGTAGCCAAATAAGTTTACTTTGAAACTGGCATTTGTGAATGAATTTCTGGCTGGTAGTAGTTTAGGTTGGTCTCTTGTTCCCCGACGGCTGGGCGATCCATTGATATGTACAGAGTGCTATGTATGGATAATCACTTGGAGTCCTGCAAATAAAGAGCCTTGCTTGACCACCATTGACAACTTCAAGTTTGCCGAAGTCTTCTGGCGAATGATTGCGAGGGGCTTGCATAATCATACGTAGTTTCTCTTATGAAACATTTTCTTGCCAAAAAAAAAATTCTTGAAAGTCTCTTATCTTGGTTACCAGTTGAGCTTGGCGCCGGGGGTGACCTCTTGGATGAGTCAGGTGTCTAGATCTCTCCTGCCTGAGGTGTCGATGCTTTGTCCTAGCGTGGGTAGTTGAGCGCGCGTTCAGGGGAGACTACAGTTGACATCATCGCAGACAAGGGCGAAATCGATAGTCGCTTTGGCTCTCTCCATGGATAGCTGAAGTCATTCATTGAGCTCGATCCTAGAATTATTCGTCAGTCTAAGAATTGATGTGAGGTCGAATTGGTCCCAGCTTCAAGCCGTTATCTATCGCACCATCCTCGGAGAGGCCGGCTGCACCCAGTGCGCCCGGGATTTTGGTTCTTTGCGGCGGTCGATTGGCCTTTATGAAAATCTCGTGCTAATTTTGATGCCAAGATGATGATTCCGCACCGGAGCACTGGCCTTTTGGCTATCATTGTTTTTGTTGCACTTCTCCTGTTCATCTTCTCTTCATCACCTGTCCCAGAGCCCGTCGTTGAGGGTGGCGCAGGGGAGGCTGATGGACAGGTTAAAGTGTTTCCTCGACCTCAGCTGCCTTCGTTAAGCGATCTTCACCTACCGTCGTTCCGAAAGCCTGCTCACGAAGCACCTCCGGAGCAGAGCAACAGCACCCGCGGAGAATCAAAATGGTTTAGCAACTGGGAGTGGCTCAACCCATTTTCATCCGCAATAACGTTGGACGAAAACCGCTCGGTCCTGCCTCCATTGCCGAACCGCCGCCCGATCTACACCTATTACAACCCCAACTATAATCCCAGGAAACATTCGGGCAAGGAGCAGAAGGAAGACCGCGGCGCCGACGCAGAACTGCTTCTCGCTTGGCGGAGAGCTTGGTATGCACAGGGCTTCAGACCAGTGGTCTTGACCCCTGGCGACGCTATGAAGAATCCCCAATACGAAATAGTGCAGAAGCTGAAACTCGGCCCTGAGTTGGAGAATGAGGTGTTCCGGTGGTTGGCCTGGGGGCACATGGGATCAGGTCTTATGGCCGATTTCGAGTGCTTTCCTATGGCACGATATGACGACGGGCTTTTGACCATGCTCCGAAGGGGTAGCGAGCAGGAAGTCATCATCCGATTCGAAAACTTCCAAGGTGGCCTCTATTCCGGAGAGAAGCACCGCATTGATGCGGCAATCGATGCCGCTGTGAAGAAGTTGCGAGAGGACTCAGCTAGCTTTATCGAATTGATCCCCCCTGAATTCTTCAAGCCTGAAAAACCGACTGCGCTTGCCTACTATAAGTCTTCGAACATCAACACTCATTACCCATCTCTCCATGAAAAGATCAGCCACAACCCGTCCAACGGCCGCCGCTTGCTTGCGCAGTTGATCAACGCGCATCTGCACAATACTTTCCAGAACTCGTTCCCAGCCGGTCTGGCAGTCCTCAAACCTTTCCCTCAGCATACCACCGCCTTGGTTGAGCCAGCCTTGCGCCTAGCAAAGTCACTCACCCAGTGCCCAGAGTCCCCCGATCCTTCATCTTGCCCACCGAATGTTCCTGACTGCCGTCCCTGCAGCTCTTCGAAACAGCCGATGGTGATTAGCCAGCCATCTACGTACAAGAAGACGAACTTCTTGTTCACAATCGGCACTCTTCCACATCCATACACTCTCATCAGCCTGCAGAAGGGCTCAAATGAGATCTCGACGCGCCAGATTCGTCGGGAAACTGAACGTGACGCCTGGGTGAGCGAGGTGACAAAGGAGGATCTTGGTTCTGAGATGGGCAGCTCTTACCGAGGTATGGCATTCAAGCAGGTTGTTGCTGGCGAGCAATCTATCGCCACCTCTCTATGGATGACTGTGGAATCCTTACCTGCGGAGGCAGGCCAAAGCCTCCCACCTGAACTCCTGGACGAGTTTGAATGGCAACTAGGGTTCAAGATCCCCCGTGTTGGAGCCACTGACCCCAAGAAGGCCAATGAGAAGGAAAGCATGCAAAGCAAGAACCCGAGCCAGCAAGGCGTACAACATGAGTATGAGATCATTTCCAAAGCTCGGGAAATCCTGAACACCGCCAAGGGCGAGGGTGTCAACATGAAGGATGTCGCCGAAGCTTGGAATATGGCAGACACCGAAGTGTGGCGCTTTGTCAAAGCCTACCGGTGAGTCCCACCCGCACTAGTCCCTGCATAATTCTTTCTCTAACCTACTGTCTAGCGCCCGGAGTGTTGTCGAGCGACAAAAATGGGAGGAAGAGGAAAAGAACTTCGCCGGCTCCAAAGTATGATTGTTATGTGTATCCTGGCTTCTTCTGGTACATGTGTTTTTCCCTTCTACGATGTTCGTTAGCATTTCTGGCGTCAGGATATAGAATGTGACCACTATTCAACGAGAATGAGGCTGTTAGTAAATGGATGTGTCGGGCGGTGCCGATCCCCGCATAGCGGTGGAGATCGGGTGGGGTTCCCTATCGTATCGTGAGTTGGTGAAACTCGTCCGCACCAGCTGCCCCTCTTACTGGTTGCGACCGGTGGCGGCCGCTTTTAAGAGCTTCAGGAAGGTCTTTGCGGTTGCACTTCGCTATAAAACTTATCCTGTACGCATCGCCATGAACCCCTGAAGTTTGCCAACATAATCTGTTGCCACAAGCTTCTTCCTAGTATTGATCATGGCGCCCGGCATCCTAGATACGGATTCCGCGGTGGCGGTCGAGAAGGTGACGTCTCTCGCCACATTGACCGAGGACTGGGATGACACGATCCGCTTCTATCTCAACGGCACGAAGGTCGCTGTCGAGAATGTGAACCCGGAAGTCACCTTGCTTGAATACCTTCGAGGCATCGGCCTGACCGGGACGAAGCTGGGGTGCGCCGAGGGTGGCTGCGGTGCCTGCACAGTGGTGAGTCTTCTGCACGGCCGTCCTAATATGCCCAAGCTCTAATCCATCTATCGGGACACCAGGTTGTTTCGCATGTGAATGTGACCACTAAGAAAATCTACCACGCGTCCGTCAACGCCTGTATTGCCCCCTTGGTGAGCATCGACGGAAAACACGTCATTACAGTCGAGGGTCTGGGAGATGTGAAAGCCCCCCATGCAGTTCAACAACGAATCGCCATCGGTAATGGTAGTCAGTGTGGCTTCTGTACTCCAGGAATTGTCATGGTGAGCAGGAAGCCAGTTTATCGTGATGACGCTGGTCCACTGACAGATCGCAGAGCCTATATGCCTTGCTTCGTAACGACCCTAATCCCTCGGAACACGCAGTCGAGGAAGCCTTCGATGGAAATCTTTGTCGATGCACTGGATACCGCCCTATCCTGGATGCCGCTCAGAGCTTCAACGCTAAGAATAACTGTGGGAAGGCTAGCGCCAATGGGGGTTCTGGATGCTGCATGGAGAAGAACGGAAATGGCTCGGGTGGATGCTGCAAGGGCTCAGCAAATGACAAGGAAGAACCCGCTGAGATCAAATTCCCGGTGCCAGAGTTCAAACCCTACAGCCCCGATACGGAGCTGATTTTCCCCGCGGCCTTGCGGAAGCACGAGTTCCGACCGTTGGCCTACGGAAACAAGAAGAAGAAGTGGTATCGACCAGTGACTGTGGATCAGCTGTTGCAAATCAAGAGTATCCACCCCGAGGCCAAGCTCATCGGCGGAAGCACCGAAACGCAGATTGAGATCAAATTCAAGGCGATGCGATATTCAGCGTCTGTATACGTGGGCGATATCCCGGAGCTGCGGCAATTTGCCTTCCATGACGACCATTTAGAGATCGGAGCGAATGTGTCACTAACGGACTTGGAGTCCATTTGCGAACAAGCTGTGGAAAAGTACGGGCCTGCCCGAGGCCAACCGTTCAAAGCCATTAAGAAACAGCTCCAATATTTTGCTGGAAGGCAAATTCGGAATGTCGCTTCTCCAGCTGGTAATCTTGCCACTGCCTCGCCCATTTCAGATTTGAATCCGGTCCTGGTCGCGACGAACACGATTCTCGTTGCCAAATCACTTGCAGGAGATCAAGAGATTCCCATGACAGAGTTCTTTCAAGGCTACCGGAAGACGGCCTTGCCTCCAGATTCCATCATTGCCAGCCTTCGAATTCCAGCTGCCTCGCCCAAGGGCGAGTATATGCGCGCTTATAAGCAAGCGAAGAGGAAGGACGATGATATCGCTATCGTAAACGCTGCGTTGCGTGTCTCTTTGTCCGATTCATATGAGGTGACCAGCGCCAATCTTGTCTTCGGTGGAATGGCAGCAATGACCGTGCGGGCAAAGAATGCAGAAGCATTCCTAGTCGGTCAGAAATTTACCAGTCCTGCAACATTAGAAGGTGTCATGGCAGCCCTGGAGACAGACTTCAACCTTCCATTTGGGGTTCCCGGTGGCATGGCCACCTATCGCAAGTCATTGGCCCTGGGCTTCTTCTATCGCTTCTATCACGATGTTCTAGCAGGTCTTGAAGTGAAGACCGAGGATCTTGATCCAGATGTTGTCGCTGAGATTGAAAGAGCCATTTCTTCTGGCTCAAAGGATCACGAGGCTTCTGTCGCTTATCAACAGAAGATTCTTGGCAGAGCGACGCCCCATGTTTCTGCCCTCAAGCAAGCTACGGGTGAGGCGCAATATACTGACGATATCCCGGTACAACAGAACCAGCTCTTTGCTTGCATGGTTCTCTCAACCAAGGCTCATGCGAAAATTTTAAGTGTCGATCCTTCAGCCGCCCTTGATATCCCCGGAGTAGTCGACTATATCGACCACAGAGATCTGCCAAGCCCCGAGGCGAATTGGTGGGGAGCTCCGGTATCAGATGAGCTTTTCTTCGCTGTTGATGAAGTCAACACTGCTGGACAGCCAATTGGTGTTATCGTGGCAAATACTGCAAAGATTGCCGAAGAGGGCATGAGAGCTGTCAAGGTCGAATACGAAGACCTTCCTGTGATCCTTACTATCGAAGAAGCTATTGAAGCAGAGTCCTTCTTCGAACACCACAGGTGGATTAAGTGTGGTGATACCGAAGAGGGCTTCAAGCAAGCAGATCACATCTTTGAGGGTACGTCCCGCATGGGTGGCCAGGAGCACTTCTACTTGGAGACCCAGGCCTGCTTAGCTATCTGGAAGCCAGAAGACGGTGAAATGGAAATCTGGAGTGGTACACAGAACCCAACCGAGACGTAAGTGGCGACGCAGAATTCGATGGAAAGGAATTCTCAAGCTGACCTTTTTCATTTAGCCAAACTTATGTCGCTCAAGTGACCGGTGTTGCCGCGAACAAGATTGTTTCTCGCGTCAAACGGCTTGGCGGAGGTTTCGGAGGCAAAGAAACACGGTCTATTCAGCTCGCTGGAATCTGTGCTACTGCTGCAGCAAAATTAAAGCGGCCCGTTCGATCTATGCTTAATCGTGACGAAGACATCTTGACCTCAGGTCAACGTCACCCTTTCTATTGCAAGTGGAAAGTCGGAGTCACCAAGGAAGGAAAAATCCTGGCTCTGGATGCCGACGTCTATGCAAATGGTGGTCACACACAGGACTTGTCCGGCGCTGTCGTGGAGCGAAGCTTATCTCACATTGATGGTGTTTACAAGATTCCTAACGTCCATGTACGCGGGCGAATTTGCAAGACGAATACGGTGTCCAACACTGCTTTCCGCGGGTTTGGAGGTCCGCAAGGCTTGTTCTTCGCCGAGTGCTACGTTTCCGAGATCGCCGATCATTTGAATATTCCGGTTGAAGATGTTCGAGCGATAAACATGTACCAGCCTGGGGAGATCACTCATTTCAACCAAGAGCTTAAGGACTGGCATGTACCGCTGATGTACAAGCAGGTCATGGAAGAAAGCTCTTATAAAGAGCGAAGGAAGGCTGTCGAGGAATACAATGCCCAGCACAAGTGGTCCAAGCGTGGAATGGCGATTGTTCCCACAAAGTTCGGTATCTCATTTACCGCTCTCTTCCTCAACCAAGCAGGTGCTTTGGTGCACATCTATCATGATGGTAGTGTCCTCGTGGCTCATGGCGGCGTTGAAATGGGTCAAGGCCTACACACAAAGATGACGATGATTGCTGCGGAGGCTCTACAAGTGCCACATGAAAGTGTATTCATTTCCGAGACTGCTACCAACACTGTTCCCAATACTTCTTCCACGGCAGCTTCGGCTAGTTCTGACTTGAATGGCTACGCAATATTCAATGCCTGCGAGCAGATTAACGAGCGACTACGACCCTACCGCGAGAAGATGCCTAACGCCACTATGAAAGAGCTCGCACATGCCGCATATTTCGACCGTGTCAATCTTTCTGCACAGGGTTACTACCGGACTCCAGACATCGGGTACGTCTGGGGGGAAAACACAGGACAGATGTTCTTCTACTTCACGCAAGGTGTCACAGCCGCCGAAGTCCAGATCGATACCCTTACAGGAGACTGGACTCCTCTTCGAGCCGATATCAAGATGGATGTCGGTCGCACCATCAATCCTTCGGTGGACTATGGTCAGATTGAAGGCGCGTATGTCCAAGGCCAAGGTCTTTTCACCACAGAAGAAAGTCTCTGGCACCGCGCCTCTGGGCAGATATTCACCCGAGGGCCAGGAAATTACAAGATCCCTGGATTCCGCGACATCCCACAGATTTTCAACGTCAGCCTCCTGAAAGATGTCGAATGGGAGAACCTGCGGACTATTCAGCGCTCGCGTGGCATTGGCGAGCCGCCGCTGTTCATGGGTAGTGCTATGTTCTTCGCCATTCGCGATGCCTTGAAGGCAGCACGGAAGCAATGGGGCGTGCAAGAAGTTCTTCAGTTAGTCAGCCCAGCCACCCCGGAGCGCATTCGAATCAGTTGTGCAGATCCCATAATTGAACGGGCTCGTGTGCAACCGAAGGAGGGCGAGAAGAGCTTCTTTGTAGCTATCTAGTGGGGGAAAGCTTACGATTCATGGAATGTATGACGATAACACACAATTGGTACTTCATTTGAGTATGGTATACCTAGCAGTTAAATTGAAACTCTCTTTACAAACATGAGAATTACGAGTACGAAAATAGGCCTGAGGATTCCAAACCAAGCTTCTTGCTCATTTCTTGTTCGCAGTGTGGTTAAACCCTCTTGATTAATCGTGATTCAACATTCCAATTGTAACACACTTCGAAATAGTACAGAGAGATTGATAAAACAGACTCCTTCCATGCTCGATTAACGCCCTCGCAATGCCATTGATCTTCATTCCTGATACCCCTTTACTTTGTATCATATTCCACGTAGCTGCTTTTCCTTAATGAAGGATCTGGGGCGGACTGCACAGTATTGTAAGTCCTCTGGCCTGCAAACTTCAGCTTCTCGTCTACATAGGAGTGGGCATCATGGAACGGGTTTTCTGATCCTCCAGGAGGTGCAAGCTTTTCATTACCGTACCCATGGGTATCATGAAAGGGATCCTCCGCAAGGCTCGTCTCTGGAACAGCCTTTCGGGCAGGAGGGATAGGAGCAGGCTGAAGAATCACAGGAGCAGCAGCGGACGCTTGCTTTGGCATAGCTGTCAACGGGATATCGTCAAATCCTCCCATGGGGGCCGGCGGTGCGGGAGGATGGGGAAGGACTTCCATGGCGTGGCCGCCACCATCTCCACGATTGCGGTCATGACCCCACCACAAGAACATTGCCCGTGCAACACCGATCAGGACGATAAGGAACCAGATCAGTAGGATGGCAAGAGCGATGTAGGTCTCGAATTTGAGGCCTTCCTCAAGCCCATGAATGACACTGGTGACGACCTCGCTGATTTTGTCGGAAGTCACGTCTCCTGGGTTGGAAAGGAAGCTGTCTGAAGAACCATCGTGGAGAGCGCTATTGGCTCCAGCTGCGAAAATATTGGAGGGGAAAGTAGGCAAGTTGATCTTGGCATGCTCCTGTGCCCATTTTAGGCCGGATTTAATCTCGTCGGCGACATCAGCTGTACAGTTACGCAGTGTGTGGTAGAAACTGGAGAAGATCGTGTCGTCCCATGTGTCGTCAAGGACACTTCCGATTTTTGACTCCAGGGGATCGAGTGAATCAATTGCGCTCGTGAGAGTGGCGATTAGGCTGCCGATGTTACCGTTGAATGAATCGCTCAATGCAGTCACGTTGCCGTTGGTGTAGTTAGCCCATTGAGAGGACGTGTTCGTCAAACTGCTGACAACCTTGTCTGCGTAGGCTCCGACTTCTGCACTGAGTTCCGGAACCGTGTGCGAAATAGCGCGAAGAATGATATACTGACACAGACAGGACAGCAAAGCAGCGATGGCTATTGCGAGAACGAAAAGAGCGGGAAATGAGGTTGCGTATGCCACCACCCAGCGAACAAGAGTTTGTCGGCGGCTGTTGCTGAACTGACCAGCAGCCTTGATCCCGAATGCGGCAGTGTAAGGCCGCGATACTCGATAGACGACGTCCATGGGGTCATCAGCCTCTTTGCGGACCAACTCAGCGCGCTCTTTCATGTGGCGCCATCCTCGGATTTCCTGTATGGCAATAGGAATGCACGCCAGTACTGCCGCAACGACAAGTACAGCGATAAAGATCTTTCGGGCCGTAATCGCAATGTTGGTGACCCCGTCGAAAAAGTCATTGATGCCTTTGAAACCATCATCCTCCCCGCAGAATTTCAATTGCTGAGCCCCGGGCGTCCACAGCTGGCTGCTATCGAAATGGTGGCGATCCAAAGTATCGTTCAAAGAAGAAATGGCGATGTCGAATGGCTTATGGATCAAATCACTCAGATCATTCATAATATCGCTGAAATTTAGAGGTTTGATGTTCTCGATGCTATTGGCGGTATCATTGAGAAATTTGTTGGCTGTTTTGTTCCAATTGTTAAGTGAGCTGATTGAGCTATTATCCCAATCAGGAATCTTGGAGATGAGGTCCCCGGTAAGCCCTCCAAAATTCTCGATATATTTCTTGGCTGATTCAACGTCATCCATAAAAGACTCGAATGAACTAATGCCGTCGGATATCACGCCTTCGATTTTTTGTGTCACGTTTCCGATGGAGTCCTCTACTTCGCCAAGGACAACATCCGCGGCCCATGTGCCGATGCAAACGTATTCCGCGGTGATGATTTGGATCCAAAAAAAGATCAAAGATGGGATCAGAATCAACACATCATTCAGTAATGTAACTGCGACCTTCAGAGGGGCGTTGATTGCATCGGCCGTAAGGCTATTGACTCCCTCTGCAAGGTAATGAGGCATTGATGCTAAGGCACTCCCCATGGATTCCACCGAAGTACACGCTGAGAGGGCCTCGCTTCTGGCATTTGCCATGTCATGTCGAACATCACCAATTGCGATCAAAACACGAACGAGGACAAGTAAGATGAGAATCGTCCAGCGATTGATCCATACTTGAGATAGTCGAGCCCTCAACCCCATGTATGGCGTTAGGTCATCGGGGTGCAAGGCAATGATGCGTCCATTTGAAGGATCGTGGGCTCCATATGGCGGTAGTAGAGGAAACACGGGTCGCCCTGATGTTCCGAATACCATGATGTGCGCTTAATTCCAATTGTTGTTGCGGGGGTTCGGGGGATAGTCAAGTAGGGAACGACGCCACCAGCGGCGGGTCAGTGTTGTTGAAGCTAATGAGGCAAAGGACGTTTGTAAACAAAGTAAACAAAGTAAGCAGTGTAAACAATGTAAACAAAGGGAGAATAAATCTGGTAAGACAGATAGAAACAGCAGTTAAACGGTAAGGCGGAGAGGCATAATGTGAATCGGCCAGCGATGGTAAAAGGTGCTGTTAATTTGACAATAGAAGGAAACGATCAAAGGAATGGCGAAACAAACAAGCTGTAACAAAAGGGCGGGATGCATGCAAGTCTAAATACAATATCCGGAGCTTGATGGGAATAGCATTCTTGTCAGGCGCGCTGGTCCCTGGCGCTAGTCTCTCCTCCACTCCAGGGCGATCTTTTTTTGTCAAGAATTCATCTTGAAGCATTTGGCAGCGGACTAGCGGGGGCAACCACCAATTAGAAGCAGCTTTACCCAGACTGAAACGATGGCAAGGTAAAAATAACAGTTTGCAGACCAGCGCCGCTGGCCTCTGTTTCATCGTCCATTGAGGGCGTTTACACAGCTTGTCATCACCCAAAGCTAAAGGTAGCGGCACCCAAATTTAGCTCGAGCGCTAAGCGCTCGTTGGCAGCAGCCAATCAGCACCACGAATCCATCTACCGTCCATTCGCGATCATCGACGCTCAAACACCAAATATCTACTGACTTATACCACAGAAGTTTTCAGTTCTAGGCAGAAACCTTTTGTTTGAGAACCGTCTCCGCCACTTCTTTTGTCTTGTGTCGCGGGAGGGGGGGGGTCTCTTTATACGTGCTTCACCCAAGGCTAAAGAAGTGCATTCGCTCCCTCCAGGCACGGGCCCAGCAACGCAGAATGTTTCAGCCAATGGACCCTTGAAGCTGGTTGGTTTTCGCATCATTTGAGTATGCCCTATGGTTTCACGTACCAGTAGGGACGCGACTGGGCGCCAACAGTATATCACGTGACCCAGCGCAGCTCAACGGGCGTCACGTGTGGGTGCCGACCCTAGCGAGTTGTTACGCACTCCTAGCGAGACTCGGTGAGTGGGTCCTCAAAGGTGTATACTTCTCTTGGTCACTCTGCACCCCAAGTATGTCTCGTCACTCTATTGCAATGCCTACCGATCACACACCGCAACAGGCCTTAGATGCTCAAGTCCTTAGAGGTCTTGCTGAGTAAAGGTGGAGCTCGCTGAGGGCGCCGACGAGGTCAGGTTCTTATGGATCACCCCTACGCCGTTAGGTGGTGGGTTTCAGAAGAAGCAACAATGAACCGTTGTCGTATTCCAATCTGGTGGTTCCCAAGTAACAGATGTAAAATCAAGATTGAACGCGAAGAACTAAATATATGTTGCCAAATGAGCGTCCTTATATATCCAGTCCTTCCTGTCAATAGACAGGCTCGGATCCTGTCACTCGACAGGATGGGTGCCTTGCTGCTTTAGCAGCCGCTTACGGCTTCCCGCTAACCTTCCCGTGGTTTAGTGCAGTACTCTTTGCGCTGGTTAGTCGATTGCCGGACCTGGTTTCCCTGTCACGTGTGTGTCAACCTTGACAGATCGGTTGGTCGTAGTTGACTTATTTCCTTCAACTGAAGTGGGTCCGTAACACGAGTCATGGCAGTATGAACTTCAAAGTTTTGATTATTGTCCTTGAAATAAGGACCATACAATATGTCCGTCCAGTCAGTAGATACTAACTGTGGCCCGAAAGAATCATCTCTTTTCCTTGTCCTTCCAAGATCTGGCATGCGATAAATCTCCAACTCAAATTAATATACAACCTTATACCTGTTATAAATACTTGTAAAAAACGAACATGGATGTTTAGTTTTATACTGGCACTTAAGTTCTTGGGCCCACAACAGCTCTAGCCACATGTTTTCATGCGATCTACCGTGTCCAGTTGAAACAGTGCTATGGGAAACTTGAATATTCCAGTAAGGTACTCCCACTAAAATTGAGAAGATGTGACTGACGGCGATTCAGAATATCAGGTTACAACTCAATATCGTCCAGAAAGCGTCTAATAGCGCCATATTACAGAGAATTTTGAAAAGCCTGTCAGGGTGTAGGTCCAGACAGATATGTACAGGGGCCAGCGTTGGTAGACTGGCTACAGCGATCAGCTATACACAGGGAGATGACAAGACGTAGCTCGAAGAACTACAAACAGTGGAGACGCAAGGTGAGGTTTTACGTAGAGTGGGTCCAATTCGGAGGTGGTCTGACACTGCAGTTCTACACCGTGACATTGTAACATATACGATCCCAGTCTATCTAAACCGGAACCGTATCTCAGAAACTAGGTGATGACTCAAAACCGAAAGGAAAGATGATATATTCCTAAAGCTAACTTGGATCTCCTTGCGGATAATAATGAGGAAATGGTGACGGCTCCACCGTCTTTCGGACCTGAGTCTGGCTGCCCTGTAGACGAGGAATTGCCGGTAGAAAAATGACTTCCCGCTCTTGTCGTCACAACATTCTAGCCCTTTACTCTCTACCTTTCACACAGTTATCCTTCGGTCTTTCAGGTCGGTAATAATTGTTGGTCTAAATATTCTGCCGGTTTTATTCAATAAATGCCTAATTCCTAAGACTAGACTTGACTTGGCGAAAAATTTCTATCAACTTGCCTATCAACTTGCCTATCAAATGGAGTCTCTCCAAATCAACTATTCAATTCTGAAATTGATTTTAAAGAAGTCGAATTAATGAATTGAATTACATTAGATCTAGATACCCCTCCAACTGCGAGTAATCAGTCCTACGCGCTCCATGCGGGTCAAATGCTCCTCTTATAGCCCGAATCTCTTGGTTCGAATCGTGCTTCTAATACTAACACACTGGCGCTTTGAAAGAGGAGACTCCGAGGCCGTATTAATAGCCTAAACTCTTGGACTTTACACGCTATGCATAATGTCACGGTACACACTAGAAGCGTATTGCGGATCCACTAGATGGAAGTTCTCCAACAGAACGAGGGGTTGTTGAAATGAAATGAATAAGATTCAGCTGCTGACTTGGAAGCGACGTAATTTTTCTGCTAGACCTGACCTGGAACGGGTCCCTGGGCCTTGGTCGCAGTCACCGCCACACTTTTGACCTGCGTAGTACTAATACTTACACTTTCTCCTGAACACGTTCTGTTCCTGGAGGACCGTTTGGTTATCCGATCTCCTGTTCTTTTTGGCTGTGATGGCTACGGTTTAGTATTGGATAAATACGATGACGTTCTTCCAGTTAGCGTGCCAAACAGTAGGCGGGATCCGATCGGGCAAGAACATCTCTCTTTGGGTTCTCCTCCGGTTCTTACTTCTCTGTGCGGCTCTGGAAGGGTATAGTACTAGTCTGTTTTAGGCCAGTCGGAATCGTACTAGTAGTGCTGAACTTGCTTCACGATGATACTATACGTTTATCACAGCAGATTGCTTCACGGAAACTGCCTCCCCTCACCTTTGCTTTCCCTTCATAACACCTTCCAGTCTCGCTCTTATAGCCTACTTCCTTCCCTACTACTACAACTTTCTGGGAGAGCACCTTCACTTCTTTCTCCTCAGGAAACTCTCACTCTTGCCTCTGATCACTCTCCTCTTATCTCTGGTGCTTTCATACTTCATCAACTATTTTCCGTTTAACCCCCATAACCCAACCAACTCAATCTCCTGACAGACATACTTCATAATATGTCTACCTCGTCGAGCTCGTCGGGCTCTGCCAGCTCCACTTTCTCTCGGGCTAGCGCCCACGCGCTGAGCTATTACTCGAGTTCGTCATCGCGTTCCTCTCCCTTTAGCGGGAACTACATGGTGGATGGAGATGGGTTCCTCTACTCCGATCACAGAGCGGGAGGACCCTATCTCTGTTCACTCCCAGACGAATTCTGCCCATTCGGCAAAGAATGGTTGGATCAAAATCGTTTCCCAGCGCGACATCAGCACATTTACGATACCGTGCGCTCCATACTAGGAAAACACCATGTACAGTACCGCGACCTATCTATTACTGGCCGAAAGTCTCGTGTCGACCCTGAACCTCAGCCGATCCCCACAGTGCGTATTATCACAGAGAAAATCCCATCCGGGGCACGACGCGCTGCTCGGGAGATCCATTATGCTCTTCTGAACAGCATTCCCCCCTCTCTGTCTCTGTCGACATCATGGACACCCTGCTCGCGACACCATGTCGAAGTTTTCCTGTCGCTAGAACCGACTCGATTTTCGGTAGATGGAACGATATTGTCCCTGCGATCCTGGACGCGCTAGACTCCCGTGAATGGGTTGCTCTCGGGTGTTGGAGATATGGCGTGAGCGATACTGCTACCGAGAACCCTGTCACTGTGGTCGTGAGTGTCGAAAAGCGATCCATGTCGGGGTGGAGTACCGCAATACGCCGAATTGAAATGATCTTGAGGGGTTTCGACGTGACTGATGTCGACATCCTATTCCAGAAGGATGAGATATGTCGACACGTGGAGAATCCGGATCTCCCTCAAGCTGCTTGTACCAAGTTCGCGCAGCCTGGGATAAGCCTTGGAATTCATTCAAGCACAGCGGGGTCCTCGACCTTAGGGGGCCTCGTCGAACTGCAATTTCCGAACCATAAATGGCGTACGTTTGGTATTACGTGCTTTCACTCGGTGTATGCGCCGGAGAAGAATCGACAAATACTCAATCAAGTTCAGGGTGCAGGAAAAGGTCAGTATATCGCCCCAGGTAATGACATTGTTATTGACAGATACTATAGCTTTCCATCGGTGGCAGCAGCATCCGGTCTTCCGGGGGATCGTATGGCCCAACATCTACTTAGAGTTGACCATCCCTCTCTGAGTGATCTCCGGGGAGCAGTTGAGTCCAAAGCCCGGGGTATCGCGGCTTTGAAGGACAATGAGTTTCGGGAAATCGAGCAACAACTCAGGGCTCGAGATACAGATCCTGATGACGTCTTTGTTGACCCAAAAGATGAAACCAACCATAAGGCCACGCTCCGTACCATCAATGCTTTGGAACAACAGCACCAGTTCTTCCAAAGCTACATACAGGACCAGACATACCTTCTCGGTTCTGTATTTGCTGGTAGCGGCTATTGGCGTACACGCGCACGGCAGGATCAACGTAAAGACCCAACAATTACTGACTGGGCATTGATTGAGATCCCAAAAGAGCGACTCGGAGAGAATATAGTAAGTTTATATTTCTACTTCCGCACGGCAGTTATAAATATCAAACTAACCGGAGATTATGATAGCCATATCCCTACTCGCGATCTCAGAAGCCGGGTCTCAAATTCAGAGATGGAGGCTACCTCGAGCACGGGAAATCGTATTCGAAAGCTGGACGCTCGTCAGGTTTTACCATGGGGTATACTCTGGACTTGAGGAAGTGCATCTCCATCGTGTGTGGAATCCAAAAAGCAACAAGTACGATGAGACCAGGACGATGGAACATGTTTTATTCAAGTCTGAGAGCAACATCATCGCGGAGCCAGGGGACTCTGGGAGCCTTGTGTACGATGCAGAAACTGGGAGAGTGGTGGGGTTGCACATCGCAGGAGCAAAGGGAACAAACCGCGCCTACTTCACCTCAATTCATGATGTTTATCGAGACATCATGGAAGTTACTGGCGCTATCAATGTTCGAATGGCTTAAGTACTTAAATGCCCTTTATTTGTCAAGCTGGAAACTGGATAGAAACTACCTTACCCGATGACCTTATCCTCGTAAACGACTTCCGTGGCAATTATTCCCTATAAGCACGAGAAGAAATGAGAGCCAAAGGGCCATCAAATACTGACTTAGACTAAGAGGGTAGAAGTATCCAAATTGGAAGGGCTCAATAGTTGGTATTTCCTAGCAGACCATTTTCAAGTCACAAGTTTAGCAGAACGAAGACCGCCCAACTGTTTGTGTGTTTATATTCTGCTATCTTCGTTTTCATCCCCTATACATTTCTTCTCTTTCCATCCATCAACACGACCATCTCGACCATCCCAAAGTTTCCTTTCGCTCAGGAAGGTATGACAAAAGCTCTTCCAGTCTTATCTTCCCTAAGTATACCGAAATAGCCTGAGCCTCCCTCTGACCCCAGCAATAAAATAATAGCTCAATAACGCGTTGAAGCGCGTTGAAGGGGCTGCCTCTGGTTTCCTGGTGATCAATCCTGGTCCTCAACCTTCCTCATCTCCATCTTATTCCCACAATTCAAGGCAGAGCACTCATCTGGTTCTGCATCTGTGCGCATCCTCGACCAGCTTTTGTTGCAAGTATCGACCCAGTATCGATCTATCCTTCCCTTGTTAGGTGAGTGAATTAATTCCCTTATCATGACCCCGCAGGAGCTATCCCACAGGATACAATTACTGACAGGCTCAGGTGCATCTTGCACCTCAAACCAGTCGCGACTTGTTGTTTGCTAGTGGCGCCGTGGGCACCATTACTCTGTAAGTCGTGCTGCATAGAAAGGTAAATTTGTTACAAGTGACTAACAAACTTGGGTGACTGTAGCTTAAAAAACCCCTCTCCAACTAGCCGCTGACTGTCAATATGGGCCAAAAGCTAGTCGTAGAGCTTCTGGGGTACGGGGTGAATAAGACGAGCGCAGTACCGGGAGGAACCTGTCTATCCACATGTCCACAACGAAGAAAACACCATATGCTATGACGCTGGTGGTGGCTATTTCATTTCCTTAGACGCCGACGATCATATGCAAAGCTCTCCTGGGCCACAAGGAGAGACATTTGAAGCATCAACCAACGTCCTAAGCCTCACCGTGGCGAACTGGATTCACGAGAACAGATCATACATCCTACGCTTAGCCGAACAGTCGGTCAATGCCCCGAGAATCAAAGATCCTTTCGAAGTATTTGTCGGCAGAAACAAAACTACCCTACGTTTTCGACTACCAGAGAAATACCCTGGCGGACGCACCCAGTTCCTACGTTGTGTCAAATGTGTGATGGACAACCCATATCAATTTGGTATCGTCAATATGCATTTTGGTAACCTAGCAATCACAAAATTTGTGAACGCGCTCAACAATGACTTCCGTGCCAATGGATCGACTCTTGTTTGGTCGATCAAAAAGAAAGCTCGTGGTGCGTACCAGGGAAAATGGGCGAACGCCAGAGGTGTCTCTGGGCGAATTTTCTTTCGTTTTAGCTTCGGGACGTCCGATGCAGAGAAACTGGCTCTTGAAGTTGACACCACCAATCCTGAATATCGGGAACTCTCAGGAGGCAACCCAGTAAGTATTGGTCATAGGAGGATCGCCTTGGATATACAATTAACAAATTATAGGACGTGTTCATGCGAGCCATGAGCTTCCCATTTGGGGTGTTGGTCGAGCTGAAGGCGTCCGCAGCGCTCACGGGGAACAACATTCTCGGGAATACCAAATCTCGTCATCCCCCTGGAGATATACAGGAAGAAGGGGAGGTGGCCCCTATTGGGATAGATGAAAGTAGTCAACGGCTGCCAATCACAAGTTTCAATACTTCTGAAAAGATCGAACGGGATACTCAGGAGATCAAGAAGAAGATGAAGCAGGTTGAAGGAGATCGTGCGCAAACAGACAAGGATGTGCAAGGCTCGGCGCATGAGCAAGCACCTGCACCGCATGATCCACCAACTGTTGACGATGGGAGTGAGTCTCATGAACGTGATGAGGAACTGATTTCCTCGTCGAGTCATGTCGATATACAGACCGACCAATCCGCATGGTCTGTCCGTTCGTCTCCCCCTCCTCTCGACAACCATTGCCGACTCCTAAGTCGGGAAATTCGGACGAATCGGCACGTCCAGGTAAGAGATAATTTCCCCTAATTGCTTTCACACTTTACGCTTTACGCCTGGTTCCTAGCTCCTTGCCACTACTCAGTTCACATTCCATTCGATGAAATTTCAAGTCTAACTCATCTCACTGACACAGCCACCTGCGAGATGCTTCGAGCTCCAGGTGAATCTCTCATTTCCGGAGAGACAAATGACAGCCATCCGTCTGGTAAGTGATCCAACTGAACGTTCATGCAGTATATAGGAGGTGAGCTAATCTAGAACTTTACTAGATGAGGCCGGTGGTCTAGTCTCCAAAGATCGATTACAGGCCACAGCAACCGATTCCCCTGCCACTTGCCCTTGCGAGGATTTTCTGCCATCACCAGAAAACGAATTCTCTCGCTCTGCCCAAGAGGACTCTTTCTTGCCCAACCAGCAAGCTTCTGGGTCTCTTGACCCTCGTACGCCAGTCAAGGGAGACAACGGCTCCAGAGCGCCTTCCAAACCCACTGAAGCCGCTCCCACGAAACGCGTTTCACCGCAACAGTTTCACCAAAAGGCACGGAAGCAGAAGCTCATGAAGAAGCGGAATGAGCTCCGGAAGCAAAGCAAAGCAGGATCCGCCAATTCACGGGAAACGCCATCTCAGGAAGACGCAACTCGCCAGGAAGAGCCATCAGGGCCATCATCTGTCGAGGCGTTCAGTTCGTCGACGACTACACCATTAGACGATGAGCAGCCCCCTTTTCCTGAACCGATGTCCTCGACCCCAGCTCTCGCCGTGCGGGGTGATAACGGTCAACAGCGAATGCCCGACCTAACAATGCGAACCGCAGCAACCGAATGGCCTGGTGTCAAGAGTCAAACCCCCATCTCTCAGGGGACTCCATCACGCCGCGCGGTCCCCAGGATCACAGCACCGATCATCCCCTTACGTCGGTTGCCGTCCTTGAAAGCCGAATCGCGACAAATAGCACCCGTGGTAGTGCACCAACTCCCAAAAGGCGACTCTGATCCGGCGGAGAAACTTGTGCAGGTGCCCAGTCTTCAGGCTGGGCGACCAGCGAGTCATGCCGAGGAAGGGAAGTTGGCGGCAGGAAACTACACGAAGACGTCTCGCATTCACGCTGAGATACCAGTGAGGAGCCGCCCAACTGTTCCAACAACTGACGAGAACCCGGCCGCCCAGACGCCCAGTCAACATAGCACTGTGGTACCAGCGGAAGCCTGCCGTGTTGTTGGAATCGCTTCCAGCACAACTCCAGCCGGGACGCCCATCCGAAAGGGTGTGGTATCAGCGGGGAGTGCACAACGTGTTGGTTGCACTACAACTCCCATTGCGAGAATAACTCGCAGTGCCCGAATCCCTTTTTCTCGACCTCCCGAGGAGACCTTACTTCGCCGTTATCGCCGAGCACGAGCCTGTCGGACACCCAAAGCCACGAGAAAGCGGTTTGTCAAGGATGGATATAATCTTGACGAGCGGAGCCGTCATGTGGTGTGTTGGAAGTCCGGATGTGGCGCTCGGTGCAGCCTGTGGGATGGCAGTGCATACAACTGTCCTGGATGTGGTCCCTTCTCTGCAGTACATTACTGTAGTGAAGAGCACCTCCTCCAAGACCTCCAATCTCACTGGTTTGAGTGTGGTAAGTACTCGTTCAGTCAGCCTTGTTCGAGTACGTCAATTCCAATCACCATGCTCAACGGCCCTCCATTGCTACCAAGCTTCCATCACTGGGACACGCTTGCACGACGTCGACAGGCGACGTATTATAATGTCTGCCGAGAATATGGAGATTATTTCATATTCGATGGCGTCAATGAAGCGTGTGTCCTGGAAGCTCCGTTGGTAGAGGGGGTGGTAAGTTCACCAACGGTGTTCAAGGTTGTTTCTATATCAAACAACCCAGAGAAAAAGGACCAATTCCGCCGGGCCCTAGCAGCCTGCTTGTTCTTCGCCCTGGATTTGCCAGAATTAGTGGGTTATCTATTCCGGATGATCCGCGAAATTCTTGTCGAGCAAAACCAGTGGACCCCGCAAGTCAATATGATGCTCCTTCGTCAATTCAACCTGGAAATGGGGAGGGGGAGCCGACTGCTCCCTAGCATCTCGGGGGGGAGACATGCGGCATGTTTGTGTGCGCGAGTGGACTGGTTGCCCTACAGACGATTGTCCAGACCCCTGTCACCGGGGCGAGGTCGACGACGACTTCAACAACGAATGGGTCGCCCGGTACGGTTTCATGCATCAGTGTGATGAACTGGAGGATTCTTTTTGGATCCTCCGAGCGAACCGCTTTACCCACCCATTCGTTAGCGACGTTGGCGCTCGGTCTGCTGGCCAGGGGTATTACAACGTCATGCCTGATGACAGGCGGAGATTCCGTTCGGGGCAGTGGGTGGGATGGAGCGGGTACTGGCTCCATGGAGTGTGAGAGGATCCTGGGCTTCCCCTGGCGCAGGGGTTAAGCAGCCCCCCTTAACCCAAGAGTGGGTGGTAAGGTGGATTTCGTGAGGATCCGGGACCCAATTCCCGGATGCCTCTATGCCGTATATGCAAGGAGAGGGTGGGTGGGCATATACGGTCATGTTAATCTTTTTGTTCGAGTAGCTGCTATGTGTGGTTCCATGCTGGCTACGATATAGATTAACATGAGGGGTGCGTCGAGCAGCATGTCGGGCTTTATTGCAGTATATTGGCGCTTTTCGTCTAGATAAATAACGCCGGCGAAAAAGGTCGATAAGGATTGTTGTTTGCAAAGGCCGTTGTGCAGAAGCTAGGTTACCGCGTACATGCTGTCAACTTGGCTTATGTCCGGCCCAGAAGCTGCAATCGCCACAACCCCACCAGCCACAAATTCCCGGGCTTCGTGGTTCTTTGGACCCTTGGACTCCACAAACCTGGATCCAGGCACCACCAAGACCTTGGGTGCATTCATCTGTCTTTTGGTCTCCCGATGGAGGAGACTTGCATCACCTAAAAGCTTCATGGCTACGATCCCGGCTCGGAATGACCGCCGAATCATCATCCACTTGGTTTGTCCACCACCGGCTGGTCTGCAAGTGACTTATGCTGACCAGGTCAGGATTATGACTGCTTCTATGCCTCGGTCTTCGAAGTAGAGCAGCCGGCACTGAAGTCACTGCCTCTTGCTGTCCAGCAAAAGCAAATAGTGGTGACGTGCAACTACGAGGCCCGGCGACGAGGACTACACAAGCTGCAACTCATCAAAGATGCGAAGCGGATTTGCCCCGATGTTGTAATCGTTCTTGGTGAAGATCTGACCAAATTCCGCGACGCGTCGAAGGATCTCTACCTGTTTACCCGGAATTTTGTCTGGGGAGGCCGGGTTGAGAGACTAGGCTTCGATGAACAATTCCTTGACGTGACCGATATGGTTGATTACAACACCGGCATTCTGAATCCGAATGATCTAAGTTCTTCTTTTTTCCACTTAGACCCCAAAGACCCAACAGCGGGATTTTCCTATGATGCGACTAATTTCTATGGATCTACATATCCATCAACACCAGAGAAACCACCCAAGCAAGAGGCGACTCGGACACCATTGGAAACAAAGCTGCTGGTTGCCTCTCACCTAGCAGGGTATATCCGAAGTCAACTTGAAAACGAGAAAGGATATACAGCTACGGGGGGCGTATCAACATCCAAGCTTCTGGCAAAACTAGTCGGCAGCGTGCACAAACCAAATAACCAGACCACCCTTCTACCGCCTTACGAGACCGGCACAGACGGTACGCGCAGCAACATCACTCAGTTCCTGGACAATCATGAAATTCGAAGAATTCCGGGTATTGGGTCACGTCTTGCACAAAAACTACGAAGCAGGGTTGCGGGGGAAAGCTCTGAAGAAAAACTTACGGTCCGCGATGTCCGCCTCTTCCCTGGTATGGGCCCTGCGATGATGGAGAGGACCCTCGGGGGACCCGGCGCAGCCAAAGGCATCGGCATGCGCGTCTGGAGCATCTTACATGGGGTGGATAACACCGAGGTCTCAGAGGCCCGCGATCTGCCCACGCAGATCAGCATCGAAGACTCTTATGGTCGCGGCCGCCTGGACAGCATCGAAAAAGTGCGGCGCGAACTGATCATTTTGACTACAAGTTTGATCCGGCGAATGAGAACCGATCTACTCGATAAAGGCGAAGACAAAATGTCTCAGCCACGTTGGCTGGCCCACCCGCGAACACTGCGATTATCAACACGCCCACGGAATGGCCCCGAGACAGACGGCGTTCGAACATACAACGTAAACCGGATCTCTCGGTCGGCGCCGTTGCCCACGTTTATATTCCACCTGGACGAGAACGTTGAATCCCTGGCAGAACGTGTGGCGCAGGATCATTTACTTGGAATGTTTCGTAAGCTTCATGCCGAAAAGGCGGGGTGGGATCTTGGATTGATGAATGTGGCTGTGACCAACATGGTCGAGAGCGCGGGAGATCAAAAACAGAGCAGCGGGCGGGATATTGGGATGATGTTTCGACGGCAAGAAGCAGTGCTACGCGAGTGGACAGTGCACCCTGTGGACCCTACGAGCACGGCTGCAGGATATGGCGAATACCACGAACAAAATATAGAACCCCCCAACTTGGAAGCAGCCTGGGAGGAAGACGAGGAGGAACCAGAGACGGAGTTCTTCGAGTGTGGCATCTGTGGCGCAGCAATGCCTCATTTTGCGGAGTTGGCGCATTCCATGTTCCATGAGGCGGGAAATGGTCGAGACCACAGTGCATGATCCATGGACCTACTTCAGTAACCCATTTCCCTGCGCACGTTCATTTGTAGTACCAATTGACCCGAACACATCAATTCCCCGCATGTACTTCGTACATGAGAAATACAATCACCCTCAAGGCTACCACGAATCTGACCAAAAATAAAACCCGCCAAGAAGTTCTGGCTTGCGATTGGATTCCGCCGCGCTTGGCAAAACGCAAACCGGTGGCCCCGGAGTTGATGTGACTACTTTCAGCTTTTCTCTCTCTCTCTGTCTCTCTCTCTCTCTCTCTCGATTACTCCTTACAGAGTAACAGAATCACAGAACGCGGCTTTCGTCAGGGTTCGCGGGAATGCCCCAGTGGAGGTGATCTTAGTGGAGACTCTTGAAACACCCCATGCAGGCCTCAGACCCTGTACACTACCCCGGAGCCCGCCCGTCTCCTTGACTTCCCCAACCCCCCTCCAAGCCATTGGCAATGAGGTTCTATCCGAACATCTTTCTTTGGATAGGCGTGCTCGCGACGCTTGTTGCCCCAATTTTAGGTAATATCTGGTCCTCGTATTTCCCTGCTTCCCCTTTGATAACGTGTTGTCTTCCAGCGCGATCGCAAGCCTCAGAAGCGATCCGCAAAGTCACGCCGATCGACAACCCGATTATTCACACCCCTTCACATCAAATCGACCATCTCTCCTCCTTTGAACTCACCTTCGAACTCCATCGCGACGGTCAACGAATAAAGCTAGAACTAGAGCCTAATCACGACATCCTCGCCGACGATGCCTTCATTCAATACATTGACCACGACGGGACTCCCACAGCTGGCGAGCGGATCCACCGAGACCAACACAAGGTCTTTCGTGGACGTGCGCTAGTTGGCTCTGGCAACGGTCGATGGACCCCGTCCGGCTGGGCCAGAGTGACAGTACGACAGGATGGCCCAGATCCCTTGTTCGAAGGCGCGTTCAGTATCGCCAACGACAAGCACCACATCGAGCTGCAGTCGACCTACATGGCGAAGAAACGGCCAATTGATGTCGACACCCCACAACGTCCGCAAAACTACATGATCGTTTATAGAGATTCAGACAAAATACGAATGCATCAAGAGTTGAAGCGATCGGTGGCTGCAGCCCCCGCCGGCTGTGTCGCAGATCAAATAGACTACAATACCGATCTCTCAAATTCAATCTTCCCTCTTGGAATCGAGGAATCCTCTGGTAAATGGGGCGTGACTCCTTTGAATTCTCTGTTTGGATTGAGCAAGCGCCAGTCTGATGTCGGTGGAGTGTCGGGAAACTCTGGGGGTGTCAACTTGAAGAACACCATTGGAGATACTTCAGGATGCCCCAAAACGAAGAAAGTGGCATTGATCGGAGTGGCTACTGATTGTAAAATGACAGAGTACATTACCAAAAACAATGACTCTTCGCAAGCCACGCAGGACTATGTCATCAATATCATCAACACCGCATCCAACGTCTACGAAGAGTCTTTCAATGTTTCCATCGGCCTTCGTAACCTCACTGTGAACAAGGCCTTGTGTCCCACGCAAGCAGACTCTGCTACCCCCTGGAATGTGGACTGTGAAAGCGGAAACATCACATGGCGCCTGAACGAATTCTCTAAGTGGCGTGCCGACAACGCCGACGATAACGCCTACTGGACCCTTCTGACCGCCTGTGCAACTGACTCCGAAGTTGGCGTATCATGGATGGGTCGGCTTTGCACCTCCGACCTGAGCAGCGATGGCTCAAGCTCTGTTTCTGGCGCCAATGTGGTGGTTGGAAACCAAGGGAGCACTTGGCAGATCTTTGCCCACGAATCGGGGCATACATTCGGGGCTGTTCACGATTGTGACTCGCAGACCTGTTCTCAGGGTCTCGATGACTCGTCACAGTGCTGTCCACTTAGCTCATCAACATGTGATGCTGACGCCAAGTACATCATGAATCCCTACGCCGACCCTGATATGACTACTTTCTCAAAGTGCACTATCGGCAACATCTGCTCCGCTATTGGTCGAAACAGCATCAAGTCTGCCTGTCTAACAGACAATCGTGGTGTGAGCACCATCACCGGTAGCCAATGCGGTAACGGGATTGTCGAGGATGGCGAGGACTGTGACTGTGGTGGTGAGAGTGGCTGCGGTGACAACGCCTGCTGCGATGCGAAAACGTGTAAATTCAAGAGCGGCGCTATCTGCGATGACTCCAACGACAACTGCTGCATCCAATGCCAATACGCCAGCGCTGGCACAGTCTGTCGTCCCAGTACCGGTGTCTGTGATAAAGCGGAGACCTGCTCAGGCAACTCCAGCTCCTGTCCCAACGACGTATTCGAGAAAGACGGAACCTCCTGCGGCGACTCGGGCGCGGGCCTTAAGTGTGCCAGTGGACAGTGCACAAGCCGTGATTATCAGTGCCGGTCTGTTCTGGGCACACTCAACCTGCAAAGCAACGACAGCTGGGCCTGCGACAACACGAATGCACCATCATGTAGCATTGTGTGCGGCGCCCCCAGTATTGCAAAAGAATATGGCTCTTCAACCTGCGTGGAACTCAATCAGAACTACCTCGACGGCACTCCGTGCGAGGATGGCGGACACTGTGTTTCGGGCCAGTGCAAGGGGTCTTCCGCGATTGGCTGGATCAATGACCACAAGGATATCGTTATTGGTATCTGTGCCGGTGTGGGTGGTTTCATTGTTCTTGTCCTGCTGTATTGCATCATAAGTCGCTGCCGTTTCGCTGCTGCTCGTCGCAAGTTAACCAAGAACGGGCCACCGCCTCCCACGCGCTTCGTCGGGGGTCCCCCGCCACCTCGTGGCCCTCCTGGTCCTCCTCCTGGTAACCAATGGTATGGTGGTGGCCCAGGCTATGGATATCCCAATGGCGGAGGGTATCCCAATGTCCCTCCGCCGCGGTTCGCGTGAAGGGCCATGATATCATCTATTAATCTACGTTTAATGTTCCGTGTGTGGAATTCTATCATGACATGCATCACGGGCCGGGCATTTGATTTCGAAGTATGAATGGAAACTTGAATTTCTGGGCGTTAAAGAGGGTAGAATTCTCCAGGACTACAGGCTGTGGGATTATAAACGACTTCTTTCTTGTTAATATGTCTCAAATTATGGAAACACTTCTGTTGCCCAAGAACCGTCAGCCGTAGCAATCTGCCAGTCTGGTAGACATGTACAATCATGACCTGCTCGTTTTACAGATCGAATTGTAGACCCAGAACATGCCTACAAATCAAATAGAACCAATAAAGGGTAAAAAAAGAGAATAGACCCTAGCAAAGCAGTAATCCCAGATCAACCGGACACCAAAAACATAAGGAGACGTCACAAGTAGGAGCCAATGTATCGTAAATCTCACTGCCAACAGATCCCAACAAAAGCCTCACGGGTCACACCCCCCACACCCTCAAGATCAAATTCCTCAATCATAGCCCTCAGCTCCTCCTCCTCAAGACCCGTCTCGCCAAGCTCGCGCGCAACCCGACGAAGATCCTCCAGGTCAATGTAGCCCTTGCCCCCTTCATCAAACAGCTCGAAAGCGCGCAGGATCTCATCCCGAGGGTCCCGCTCGAGAATCTTCAGCGCGGTGATTGATTGGAAGGAGGAGAGCGGCATGAGCAGGTTCGACGGGTGCTGGGGGTTCCCACCCTTGGGGCCTTGATTGGCGCTGGAGGCTCCGCCTTGCTGTTGTTGCTGCTGCTGTACTTGTGGGCGGGGCACGCCGTAGGTTGTGAGAAGGGAGATGAGTTCTTGTTTGGAGAGGGTGAAGCCGAGGGCACGGAAAGCGACGCGAAGTTCATGGTAGTCGAGATGGCGGTCGCGATCAAGATCGAAGAGTGTAAACTGTGGGGTTTTTGTTTGCGTTAGCAGTCCAGTCGGGGCTGTATTTTCTTCTCATGGGCTGGGAAGTTTGCGCTACAAGGGCCACAGTATATGAATGCAGCAAAACCGGAGGTGTTTCATGGTATTCCAGGGGAAGGGGAAGGGCAAGGGCGATTCCTTACTGCTTCGTTGATCTCTTCTCGCTGCTCCTCAGTCAAGCGGTTCAGGTTGGCTTCTTGCGCAGCGCCATGGGACTGCATGGCTCCCTGCGCGGCGGCGGGCTGCTGGTTCTGCTTGGGGCCTTCTGGCGCGCCAAAGTCAGTGGGCGCTGTTTGGCCCATGCCGCGATGTCGGGAGAATGCCGAAGCGCTGAAGGGCATGGCGTTGGCAGTGACAGAGCGCTCGGGGAGCTTGCTGCCAGCGTACGAACGCGACGCAAAAGGTTGGCCGGAGGCCATGGTGGGATTCGGAGCTCGAATGCAAGGTATCAATGGCTGGTCTTGAGGAATGGGGGAAAATGGGCTCGTGGCCCGTGGTGGAGATGAGAGTTGTTTGGGCGGTGGAGAGGATTCTTCTGACGCGCCGCGCGGAATGAGGTAGAAATGGGCGGGCTCTGGGCTTCTGGAGAGATCAGGGCCAAGATGTCCTGCTCCGCCAATAACGAGAAGTGCAACTTCGATTTGGCCAAAATTATGATCAATTGAAGCTAAATTATACAAAAGAAAAAAATAAATAAATAAATAGAAGGCGCTCATGCAATGAGAGGATGGATCATGGACTGGTGTAAACAAAACACAGCCTACCCGCTGATTCGATATTTCGGCCCAATCATGAAGGAGAGGATATTTTTGAATATCATAGTCAAGGGTATCTCTTGTCGAGAATTTCAAAATGCATCTTAGAATTCATCGTCCGAAAAGTCCTGCCTGGTATAGCGGCCTTTCGTCGTCAATAACGCAGGGTCACGCTGTGTTCCCATGTCCAGCTCTTCCAAAAATTTGCGACCAATAAGTGGCTCAGGTAAATACTCCTGTTTGACCCGGCCATCGACATAATTTGGGGGATATTTGTACTCTTCACCGTAGCCCAGTTCCTTCATGAGTTTGGTGGGCGCGTTACGAAGATGGATGGGGATCGGGAGGCCCGCAACGCCGGGCTCGTTTAATGCTGAGAACACGTTGTTCAATCCTCGATATGCTCGCGTGCTCTTTTTTGATAAAGCCATGGCAACAGTTGCATGCGCCAAATTGATTCGGGCTTCTGGCAGTCCAATCTTCTCCACAGCAGAGTGAGTCGAGATGGCAAGCGACAGCATAGAATTGTCTGCAAGGCCGATATCCTCCGACGCGACCACAATTAGACGCCGGGCAATGTATAGTGGATCCTCCCCAGATTGGATCATGCGTGCAAGGTAATATAGGGAGGCATCTGGGTCGTTCCCGCGGAGAGACTTGTGAAACGCCGAAATCGTATCATAATGTTGATCGCCAGCCCGATCATAGACGAGAGTTTTGGTTAAAGACTTCTTGATTTCGTCCTTCGTGATGCCTGGTCGTTTAGATAGATCCATAGCCAATTCGAGCAGATTGAGCGATGTCCGGGCGTCCCCGTCCGCGAATTTGGCAAGATACCGGATGAGTTCATCGTCAACCAGTTCCGAGGGGGCGTAGTTCGGGCCTTCTACCCGGAGTGCCCGATGAAGGATAGAGATGACATCTTCATCGGTCAGTTTAGCGAGCGTAAAAGTCCTGCACCGGGAGAGCAGTGCATTTTGGACTTTGAACGACGGATTCTCCGTAGTTGCTCCAATCAAAGTCACTTGTCCGCTTTCAACTGGACCGAGAAATACGTCTTGTTGTGACTTCGAGAATCGATGAATTTCGTCACAAAAGATGATTGTTTTCCTCCCAGTGAGTCCCAGCTCACTACGAGCCTCGGCGAAGATCTTTTTGCACTCTGCGACACCGGAGCTGGTGCTGTTGATCTCCACAAAGCGGCTTCCAACCATAGAGGCTATGACTCGAGCAATGGTTGTTTTCCCAGTTCCAGCATTTCCCCACAGGATCATACTTGGTACTCGGTCTTCTTCAATTAGACCGCGCAACACACCAGTCGGACCGACCAGCTCTTGGCCACATACTTCGTCTAAAGTTTTCGGCCGCATACGCTCAGCAAGCGGGGCCGCTTTTTGGAAAGCGTTCACCTTCGGTCGCTTCGTCTGCGGCTCACTTGCATCCGCCGGTTGTTTCTTTGCATTCTGTTCTCGAGGGGGGGTCTCCTGCGTGAAGGACCGCTTGCCGTTCAGAGGGTATGGCGTCGCACTAGGCCTCGATGGCGATTCTTTTGGGGCCGTGTTTTGACTCGAAGCTTTGCGTGCAGACGCTGGCTGAAAAATGCTGGGGACTGCTTTCGGGGGCGCTGATGGGTCTGTCGAAGAAGCAGACGCCTCTTCGATGAATTCTTGGCAGTCGGAATCAATATGATCATTGATCTTCGCCTGTGGGACTGATTTCCCACAAATGGGACAAGAAACCATGGTGCTTCCAGCTAATCTTGTGTTTTCCCACGAGTCCCCAACGCAGACTCAATGCGGAGACGCGTCGCGAACGATACGCGCTACGGCCGATACGACGGGTCGATAGGAGATTCTGGGGAGTACGTGCGAGGTCAATAGCAAAGCATAAATTGAGCGCTAAAACGGATGGAAAAAAGGACCACGCTGATGGATATGCAAGATTATAGCCAATACAACAGAGTACGCTCGTTCCAAAAAGAGGATCCAAATCCGCTTATCGATAAGGATTCCGAGCTCCGAGCACGTCATTTGTCACTGAACGACTCCCGCCCAAACGTGAAGATAACCATAGACCCCCCCGCCTTTCTCCATGCTCGGTCGTCGCTTCCTCTCAACTGTCTCAAAGAAGATCTCCTCACCGCGGTTGCCCCCAAACTCGCCCTTCTCCTTTTCAGGTTCCGGTGCAAGGAAAATGTCGGCGACAGCTGCTCGCCCTGATCCATTTCAGCCCCGCAAAGCGGGTTGCTGGTCAACGGCAGGATGTGTGGTAAGCAATCAGGACGTGGAGATGCAATGGACAGCTGTTCTAAGGATGGTACTCTAGGTCAATTGTCAACGAGGCGGCCGCTGCATCGCCAGTCCAGCCCATTGTGAACATGGGCCAAGGTTTCTTGTAAGTGACCTGGTCGCGATCCGCTCCAGAATGGTTGGATGCAGCTCTCTGGAACCAGAATCTAAGATGTTCAATTCGGTAGTGGCTATAACCCACCGCAATTTGTCCTCGATGCTGCGAAGGAGGCGCTCGACAAAGTTGACTGCAACCAATACTCTCCGACAAAGGTATGGACTGAATGATAAGCAATCCACCGAGCATTAGCTCATTGGATCCATAGGGCCGTCCCCGTCTCAAGAAGGCACTTGCAGACGCATATTCTCCTTTTTTCGGCAAAACCTTGAATCCAGATACCGAGGTCACCATCACAACCGGCGCCAATGAAGGTATGGGCTTACAACTCGACATGCTGGATCAATCTTCAGGTACTGATGCTCGATGGGACATCAGGAATGCTCAGCGCTTTTATGGGTTTCATTGAGCCTGGCGATGAGGTAATTATCTTCGAGCCCTTCTTTGATCAGTAAGTCTGTACACACAAGCAGAATGTGAAGCAAAGCTGAGATCCTGCCTAGGTACATTAGCAATATTGAGATGCCGGGTGGTACGATCCGCTATGTCCCTCTTCACCCACCGAAGGACGGAGCAACCAGGACTTCCCCTGCTTCTGAGTGGACCATCGATTTTGCGGAGCTGGAGAAGACTTTCAACCCCAAAACCAAGATGATTGTATGGCCTCTGATTAATCTACTTCGAGTCTTTCGGCTGCGTGCTAACCATACCCCAGGTCCTTAACTCTCCGTAAGATTTTGTTTTCCCAATACCCTGCATGTCTAATCTGACCTTCCTAGTCATAACCCTGGGTAAGGTTTTCTCGCGGGAAGAGCTCCAGCGCATTGGCGACCTTTGCATCAAGTATAATGTGATTATTTTATCCGATGAAGTCTACGACCGCCTCTTCTACGTCCCGTTTACTCGAATCGGCACCTTGTCCCCCGAGCTCTATGACCGCACCATCACTGTCGGTTCCGCCGGAAAAGCCTTTTATGCCACTGGCTGGCGTGTGGGATATTTGATCGGACCCGAGCACCTCATCAAGTATGTCGCTGCCGCGCACACGCGTATTTGCTTTAGCAGTGTTTCCCCCTCCAGGAAGCCTCTGCTGTGGCTTTCGAGAAGGCCGACAAGGAAGGGTTCTGGGACCAAGCCCGTGAGGAAATGAAGGGAAAGATTGAGCGCTTCTGCACTGTCTTTGACGAGCTGAAGATCCCGGTACGTAGATTCATCTCCTCTGACATTTCCTTATTGCTAATTCTGTTCTGGGATAGTATTCGATTCCCGACGGGGGATACTTCGTGCTCGCCAACTTTGCTGCTGTGAAGCTCCCGGAGGGTTACTCCTTCCCCCCACATGTCGCCAGCCGCCCTCGTGACTTCAAGCTCTGCTGGTTCCTTATCCACGAGGTTGGTGTCGCTGCCATCCCTCCAACAGAGTTCTACACAGATGCCAACGCCCACCTTGGTGAGGATTACCTTCGTTTCGCGGTGTGTAAGAATGATGATATCCTGGAGACTGCCAAGGAAAGACTCCGCGGGCTGAAGAAGTATATCACCCAGTGAAAAGCAGAAGCCATATCATGTCTTTTCATGTAGGTCTCGGGTATTCAAAAGGCAGAAAGCCTGCCTGTAGTAGAGTCTTGGATCACATCTATCATATATCATTTGACCTGCTTTTGCTCCTGACGAGTAACTAGGCAGTACTCAGACAATTGCGCCTCCAGTGCACATCACCTAAATAACACCGCTTCTGCGTAACAGGGAGACCTCGGTATCACTAAACCCCTGCTCGCTCAGTATTTCCTCTGTATGTTGGCCAAGTGACGGCGGGCATTCTCGAATTGTAGGTTGTGAATGGCTGAATTTGACTGGCGAACCTGAGCAGCATGAGAATGATCAGCTTTCGATCCCTATGACTGCTGTCCAGAATACGTACCAATAACCTTGATCTCTCCCGCAGTGGCTGCAGGCTGCTTAATAGTCTGTACCATATCTCTTGCAATAGTCTGAGGGTGGGAGAAGACATTCTCTAGATTATTGATCGGCCCATACGGCATTCCACTTCCTTCGAAAACAGCCTCCCACTCTTTAGTTGTCCTGAGAGAGAAGGCCTTGTCTAAAATGGGCTTCAGAGCCGCCCTGTGCTTGATCCGGCTATTGTTGTCCCTGAACCGTGGATCACGTATGAGTTCCTCGATACCCACCCGCTCACAAAAGATCTTGAACTGCCTATCATTCACAGCCCCGGCAACGAGATACGAATCCTTCGTTTTGAATGCTTCGTATGGAACAATGGTCGGATGTCCGGTGCCCCAGCGCTGGGCTTCTTTCGATAGGTTCATCCACGACATTCCCACATTGGACATGATTGAGACTGTGGTTTCAAATAGCGATGCTTCGATCTTTTGACCCTGGCCTGTTCGGTCTCTTGCATAGAGGGCGGATAATATGGCGCCGTGAACATAGAGCCCCGTGCACATGTCCATCAATCCAACTCCAGGTTTCGTCGGGGGTCCATCTGCTTCCCCTGTAATGTGAAGCAAGCCGCCCTCTGCGGCTCCGATAACATCATATCCGGCTCTCTGCGCGTAGGGGCCATCGCCACCATATCCTTTTGGATGTTAGCGTTGCATGCAAGCAGTACATGTGCCGCGGCTGCTGACCGGATATACTGGCGAGGATAATCGATGGATTGACCTTTTTCAGGTCCTCAAACCCCAGCCCTAGCTTATCAAGTTTCCCGGGGATAAAATTCTCGATCCTAGAAGCTGGTCAGGCAATCTGCTACCGCGGTTGGGGGTGCCAAGCATCGTACACAACATCCGAAGTCTTGGCGAGATCAAGCGCGATCTTTCTTCCATCAGGATGTTTCAGATTCAGAGAAATAGATCGTTTGTTCCTATTGATGGTGTTGAAGTAGAGAGACGTCCTGGAGGCGTCGGGCTTCCAGAACTTCTCTTCTCCGTCCTCTCGCCACAGTCGAGTATCGTCCTATGGCACCTCTTGTAAGATATTCCTGGTTCTCCGGCAAAGAGACGAAATACTCACCCCGCTTTGAGGCTGCTCCACTTTGATCACATCGGCGCCGTAGTCGGCTAGGATCTGGCTACAGAATGGACCCTAAGGGCGATTAGAAAGGTTCGACTTATAGGTATAGCGTCTTACAGCTAGCACCCGCGTAAGATCTAGCACCCTCAATCCCTGCAATGTACCCGTATTCTTTCTCGGAGGATATTGGGTATGGGTCTTTCGCACATGCTGAATAGTAGAATATTCGAAGGTTGTGGGTAGATGGGAAGACGGGCGAAGCCTTGAACTGGTGCGGAGTAGACCTAGCATTGGGAAGATCATTTGATCCTAATGTCCTGGTGGAATTTGAATAGCAGACAATGACTTGCCCCAATCTTTACTCTTTACTCCGTGCTTGGAATAAAGCCGACTTCGAGGAATAGCCGTCGCTTCTTACCCTCGGCAATGCTCGGTATGCCAGGATACCTTTTCATCAGTTGCAACCCAAGAGACTGACTAGTATTACAAGCAGGTTGGTCTCAGAAGGCCAAGCTTGAATACGTTGGCAATTTAGTGTCCAAATTGCGCAGCCAAATCCTTATAAGTGTGGCAGAATTGTGCAGAACTTTACGTGCTAGAAGGGTAGCACATAGTGCGGGGAAACCACCCCCCCTGTTGATCACCGACCATCGCCGAGAGTCCCCAGCATTGCGGGGATGCTGTGGACCTCAACTATAAGCATTGACGGGTTCAAATCTTGCCTTCAGAATTGAATCTGCACAGGCTCGCCTTCTATAAACGGTTGGTCAATTCCTTTGGCTCTTCATCCGACGAATTCCCCTGCAAAATGGTCTTATATCAACGAGGTCTCTTGGTAGGATAACCCCCCCCCCTAACCATGCGACGACCACTCACTCTTACAAGCCGCGCCATGTCTGGCAATGCGCACGCCCACGAGCACTCACCCGAGCAACGCCTGTTGACGCCAAGAGAAGCTCTCGAAAGATCCATGCTCGCGCTACTGAATACCTCCAGAATTACGATACCGACCTCACAGATTCCCAGCGGACGGTCCGGGAAGCGATTTCCAAAATCTGCGCCAAGTACCCAGACGAGTACTGGCGAAAACTCGACGAATCTAAGGAGTTCCCCACCGATCTCCATCGCTCACTAGCCGACAATGGCTGGCTGGGCATTTGCATGCCACAGGAATATGGAGGCTCAGAGCTAGGAATCAGCGAAGCCGCCGTGATGATGCAAACCATCTCCGAGTCCGGCGGAGGCATGACAGCTGCCTCCTCCGTGCACATGAATATCTTCGGCTTAGAGCCCGTCGTCAAGTTCGGCACCGCCGAACAAAAAGCCCGCTGGTTGAAGCCCTTAATAGCGGGAAAGGAACGAGCGTGCTTTGGCGTCACAGAGCCTAACACAGGCCTCGACACCCTTCGACTACAGTCCCAAGCCAAAAAAGACGGCGACTCGTACCTCCTCACCGGCCAGAAAATCTGGATATCAACCGCCCAAAACGCCCAGAAAATCCTCATCCTCGTCCGCACAACGCCGCTCTCCGAAGTAACGAAGCCGTCCCACGGCCTCTCTCTCTTCTACACCGACCTCGACCCCTCCGCCGTCCAAATCACCGAGATCCCCAAAATGGGCCGCGCAGCCGTCGACACCAACTCCCTTTTCTTCGAAAACTGGCGTGTGCCCGCTTCGGACCTCGTCGGCCGCGAAAACGACGGCTTCAAAACCATCCTGCACGGCATGAACGCCGAACGAATCCTCATCGCCGCTGAAGCCCTCGGCCTGGGCTACGCCGCGCTCCGGCGCGCCGCCCTCTACGCGTCCGACCGCACCGTCTTCGGCCGCCCCATCGGCATGAACCAGGGCATCCAGCACCCGCTCGCGGAGAGCTGGATGCAGCTGGAGGCCGCACGGCTGATGATCTACCACGCCGCGCGCATGTACGATGCCGGGTACACCGCGGGCGAGTATGCCAACGCGGCGAAGTATCTGGCTGCGGAGGCGGCCTTCCAGGCGTGCGAGCGGGCGGTCATGACGCATGGCGGGATGGGGTATGCGAGGGAGTATCATGTGGAGCGGTATTTGCGGGAGGTGTTGATTCCCCGGATTGCGCCTGTTAGCCGCGAGATGATCTGCAATTATATTGGAGAGCGGGTGCTTGGGCTGCCTAAGTCCTTTTGAAGGGAGGATTTTGCTGGATTGGATTGGAGCGGCCCTAGTCGCGGTGGAAAAAAATTCAGCAAAAAAAGAGAAGAAAAAAAAGACCTCTGTGTACAACTAGCTTCTATGTGCTCAGCACGGGGTTTCTGTCCCGTCCGGGATGTTCCTCGCGGCTCGGAGACTTTTGAATTGCATAGTTGAGCTAATCGTGGAAAAAGAAAAACGATGCCCTTGACCAGGATGTGGATTCGGAACAAAGACCTGGTATTTTTGGCCCCCCTCATATCTGGAATCTCTGGTTGGGATGACGTTGAGAGGCGTTCGATCCTCTGGCGATTATGTCGCGGCGAGCCCGAGCGCTAGCGCTAAAATAGAAAGGTGCGCCAGGGCGAATCCTGTGCATATGAAAGAGGCTTGGGGCTTCTGATCAAGCAGGATGACGGCATTATTTCCTTCTTATTCCTCTCACGGATCGGTCCACGGGTGTCGCTTTATTGCTGACATGTTCATCTCCCCCGGTCAGAGAGCGTGTATGAACGCTGCATCGTATCTAGTGCAAGCAATTTCCCATCTGACCCAGGTCCCTGCCCAGGTGGAGGCATGCGCCACAGTCAATATGGCGGCAAAGGCTGTCTTAATATAGCAATATCCGTTGAGTCAAATTGGTTTGGTAAAAGACCCAAAAGAAAGGGTGTGTTGGTTGGATTATTGCTATTAGAGTGTGACCGAGAATGGAAGCGCCCGAGGGACCGGGATGATAATTCGCTAATTAAACAACAAGCCTCGACAGTAACCGCCCTGCGCCTCTATGCGATGGAACATAAATCATGACTGCTATATGCACCGTTATGCATGATAAAAAAAAAAGACAAAAGAGCCAAACGTAGTACAGGTGTAAGCCACGGCGGGTATTATTGGTCGGCCTGCTGGGGCTCCGATCGGACCTCGTCCAAGGTGCACGCCGACGAGGCTGACAAGGATTCCGGCGTGGTCGTGGAAGAAGCAAGACTCACGGGGCTGTGATCCAGAGGCCCCAAGGTCCACTTCCACTCCCTGCGCCGTTTCTCACGGCCCTGATGCGGCGTCGGCGGCGTATTTGAAGCGAATGAGTCCGAGTCTAATCCGTCGAGCAGGGCAACGGCCCTAACCTGCCGATCTGCGCGGATGGAGCGCCTCCGCTTGCGCTTTATTTTGGACGAGGACGGATCCTTGGATCCGTCGTCAGAGCTCCCATCCTCTGACGTGCTGGAGTCTGATGCTGACACCGATGACTCGGTGTCTGAGTCGGTGGGGTCGGGAAGATCATGGGGTCCTGGGGCAGCCGTGTCTTGCACAGCCTCGATCAAATCAATATGCTGCGCCGTGTAGTGGACAGTGCGAATCTCCTCTTCCAGTTGGGGACGGTAGGTTACTTGTTTCTTGGCAGGAAGAAGACCCGGCGAACGCCTGCGCCGGCGGGTCCACTAGCTCCCGCCGAGACTGACCCAGAACGTCTTGCGGCGTCGAGTGGGGAGTTGCGCAAGATGCTGCGCACGCCTAACGGCTGTTGATAGGGGCGCGGGTGGTTATTTTGGCTTTGGTTGGGGTTGCTCGGATTTGAGAGATAAGGAGAAATGGGTTTATGCGAAAGTCGGTGAGAACCCTTGGGGGAGATGGATGCAGAGGACGGAGATGGGACATCGTAGGCATTCTGGAAGGTGTTGCGAACCGTAGGCGACGCGGCCGCTCCAGCAGTAAAGGGCAGCGAAAGGCCCGTCGTCGACGAGCCAAAAGTGCGTGGAAGGGCAGTGGTTTGTAGTGTCAATTTGGGGCGAGAGGTTATAGTTCGATCACCCGAGAGACAGGACATCGTGGAGGGTGAGCAGAGCATGTCAGAGGTAGGAAGGAGAGACACGAAGCATTCCACCGGGGAGTTGGTGGGAGGATATACTCGAGCGGGGTGTGCACTAAGAATAGGCGCCGGGGAAGAGGTCCCAAGGTTGGTTATTTTCCAGAGATTCCCCGCTCAGAGCAACATGCCAACACTGGACGATCCCTGTCGAAGGGGACGTTATATTTAAAGAGATCGGCTACTCTGGCCGTGATTCGGAGGTCATGCTAATTATGAATCCATAAAATTTTTTTTCCTCCCCGTCAAGCTAACTATCGACGCCACATCCCAGCGGAGATGGGGATCGGCCTGGTCCAGGTGCCCGCGGGGCCCCAAAGTCCGATTTAGCAGATTTAGCAGATTTTAGAATCAGCGAGCCCGATGGTTAGTGGGGCATCTGGAGAGGGGGGAGGAGGGGGGGCAAAAAACTCGTTTGGAGGAGCTGATTATTCTTTGATCGAATATCCCAAGCGTCCTGCCTCTTTCCCCTCCCACGAGCAATCTTGGCGGCGAAAGTCCACCTGGCGTTGGCTGCGAGAAGCAGCGTGAGTGGCTGCAGGCGCTTCTATAAAAAGATCCGCCTCGTGCGCCTGGTGGAGCCGAAGGCAAGTTCTGCCCCGGTTATTTTTGTCTGGGCCCTTATAGATGTCCTTTGTCTCATTCAGAACATGGGTAGAACATGAAAAGGTCCTTTCACTTTAGAAGGCGTGCAAATATTCCGCAACGATTCCGAGGAAGCTGAGACTGCCTTCTGGCCCTAACATGGTCTGGTGTGTCTAACGCCGATCGTCGTATCTCGCACTAAACAACGGGCATCCTGCGCCAATCCTCATTCCAGGAATGTGGATCATTCCTACCAATCCCTGTCAGCAAATTATGTCATTCGCCGGAGTCAATGGCGAAGGTCAAAGCCATATCGCCGCGACAGTTGAGAGCCTGAGGCCTAGTAACTACTGACTAGTGTAGGCGGAACCCGCTCTTGTTCTCGTAGCCCAAAACAACCCGGACGATCGAAGCCCGTTCGAACATGGCCCCTTGTTTGAAAAGGCGCAGAGATCGCGGGGGGGGGCTCCACGGGCCAAACCTATGCTTACTTTGCTTAGTGCTCCTCCAAGTTTCAACCTGACTGATTCTGAAGGCCGGAGTCTCCTATCTGCCATCTCATAACCATACTAAAAAAAAACAATCGCACAGAGAAAGACAAGACTAGCGACCGATTCAAATTTGGAATGTTTCGTATATACTAGTAAATTATATCCCAAAACATGTTTCATAACTCATCAACATTGGATATACACACCCGCCTTGTCCTAAGTGTGGTCGGCTCTAGGTTTCTGTCTCAACATCTGGCTCGCGTCCTGTCAAACCGCTAACACCGATCTTCTTCTTCATTTTGTTCAAGGCAAACTTAGCTTCGTCCTTGGCAAATGCTGCATTGCGCGCAGGCCGCCACTGCATCAGTCCACGTTGCTGTCGCTGTTCGCTGCGTCGGTTTGCCCGGTCGTTCTGGGCAGAGTTCGTCTGCGATGAAGAGGCCGCCCCACTCCCACTGACGACAGAGGGACCAGAGGACGAATCCTCTTCTTCGGATGAGTTTTCGGAGTCACTGGTGTCATCCTGTTCCCGGTCCTTCCCATCAACGCTAGGCTTGGTGGAAGCCTGACTCTTGAGTGGTGGAGGCACCACAGGATCGTGGGCTGGTTCATCTCGGCCAGGTTCGGCGATCTTGCGCCCCATCTCATCTGTGTACGCGCGAGGATCGTGGCCGAAGGCACCACTCCAGTCGTTTCCTTCGCGATCAATCCAGCGCCGTCGCTCGGCCGGATCGGCTTGCTTCAAGACGTCGCGACCCTCGACGAGGGACTGCTCATGCTTCTGGAGCACCTCGGGTGGAACCTCGGCAGCGACGGTCTGGGATCTGACACCCTCGTCCCGACATGCCTCCCAGGTCTCGAAAGACTCGCGAGAGTCATTGTCAACCACGAAGCGCTCGTGAGATTCGTCAATGCCCGGCGAGAAGCGACAGCGGAATTGCAGGCGGCCGACTTCCTGGAGGTCTTCGAGCCCAGGAACCTCCTTCGCACGCCAGTTCTTTTCGGTAACATAGTTCTGGGTCAGACGGGCGCCCATCTTGGTTGTCCAGATTGGGAGGTCGATGTCGGTGTCTTCGTTGTCGACGAGGTGTTGCAGCCACAAGACAGCATACGCTGCGGCGCCCCGCTTGCCCTGGTTGTGGAACTCAAAGACCACAGGCGAGCGGTAGCGATACTTCACAGGCAGCCGGAGGCCATCGCGGAGATTCTCATCTGACGTATCATAGATCGCGTCGCGGCCGTCAAGGCGGCCCTTGGCCCGAGGGATCTTCCCAGTGCTTCCACCGGTGCGCGTCTTGATCTTGGCTACACGTCCATACCCCTTGGCTTCGATCTTATCCGAGATGAACTCGAAGGTGCCAACATCCCAGCCCAACATGTTTGGTGGCAGCTTGGTCTCGACATGACGAAACAAAATTGAGATGCGCATACGGCCAAACCCGATACCACCGTCGAGTGGGTACCATCGTGTCACCTGGGAACTGGTCTGGAGGAGGTCAGACAGTTTGATAGGCACAACGCCTAGAATGGGGTCGTGCTCGCGATATCGCTGATCCCGGACGGTGACTGTCACGACGGCCGACCTCCAATCGCGCACAAAACGCTCGGTACCGGCATTGAAGATTGGCTTAGAGCTGACGGCCTTGGGACGGGTGCGGTAAATCTGGGTGACAGTTAGTCTACGATCAAGAATGATACGAGCTCCTTCCAAGGTGGTTCTTACCAGTTGGTCGTTGAGAGAGATTTTGCAGTAACTGGTAGGTAGATGTTCACCCACTTCCTCTCTGTTTTCACCATACGGCTTCGCGGGCTCGTATTCCTTGCCTCGGCGATTGCCATCGCTGCCCTTGATATTTTCGAATTGAAGATTCACAATCTGGTGTACAACGATATGGACAATCCCACTGGGCCAGAGTGGATCAGGCGGGGTGTGGACAACCGCATCTTCCTGTTCATTTTGGATCGTGCCCTTCTCATCCTCAAATTTCGGGTCGCCCTTGAAATTCTCAGGAAGATCCTTCTTCATGCCATCGGTCCGCAGCTCGGGTCGGAGCTTAGGCTTTCCAAAGTACCCCACTTCCCAGTGCAGCTGGCCCGGCATCTCACTTCCCTCTTGCATGCCCTGCAACTTGGAAACCTGCGGGTACATGCGGCCGGGGTGCTGGAGCATTTCCCGGATTGGCATTTCGACCTTGCCGACGATATCGTCAGCGGTGTTTCGGTCCGAGTCCCAAAGCTCGATGCTGAGGTTTTCATCCGCCTTGATGAGTTCGGGGGTCACGAGCAGCGCGGCCGTCTCCTCCCACACGGGGTTGAGATCATCAGTAATCACTCGGGTACAGTACATAGGCTTTCCGTATTTAGAGAAGGAAAGGTTGATGTATGGATCACTGCCACCACCCTCACTACCCCGGCGATCTTGTTTGCTCAGTCCAATAGCGCGGTGAATGCGAACCCACATGACACCTAATGCCAAAGTATCCTTGTGGATGTCGTCGCCTTTGAGCATCATACTCAGATCCATCGTCATGGACTTTGGAGCAGCAAACATGGAGCAGGCGGCCCCAATGGCATAGTTGACGAAGTTGGAGATCAGAGGCAGATTGAGGATGTTCACACCCCGCTGCAGCATCGGCATACAACCGGCTCGCACATGGGGAATACCAACCAAACTGAAGGTGACATCTTTCATGAATGGGGGCTCTGGCATCATCTGGAAACGCAGGCGGACGGTGCCAACCAGCTCTGTCAATTCCACGAAAACCGGGAATGGCACACCGAACAGACCGCGAATACCCAGATAAAAGACAAGCCGCATGTGCATATTCTCGGCCTTCGAAGAAGTTGACTGAGAGGTTGGCTTGGCATGGTAGGCAAATGAGGCTTCCATATTGTAATAGCTTCCTCCCTCTTCGGCGGCTGCGGCTTCCTGCGGATCCTTGTTTTTGAGATTTTCCTCGTGGATGTTATCTTTCAGGTTCTGAACATGTTCATCTGGGAGGGCACGCATGCTCAGGATGCGAAAGGGATTGTTCCCTTGATCGATCTCTGCGATCCGCACGTTCTCGACCACCTTCGGAGCGGATGCTTGCATGACATCCTCGATGGTGTCGGCCACTGGAGATAGCATGTCAGGGTTCATAAGGCCCCATACAACACCAAGGAAAGAGTTCATCCATTCAACTGACTCCGGCAAGAGGTTCGCAGTAGCCTTGATTTCTCGTGATTAGCATTGATCAGTTCATAATCCAGTCTATTACATACCATTTGCCCACGAAGCTGTTCACTGCTCCATTCCATGTTCTTTCCGCTCGAGATAACTTGCTGCATCCACATCCATACTCCACTGGTGATACATGCAGCCAGCGGGATCAGACCCCAAAGAGAACCGCCAAAAAATTTACCTAGGACGACAATTGCGCAAGGAATAGCGATACACAGTGCTCGGGCTCGGGATTCTAGTTGTTGGAACATGGGTTGGTACGAGATGGTAGGCGTTGGGTGGAAGAGAACGTTCGTCTTCTCGCCGCGGATAGGGACATCCGACGTTGTGCCCTCGGCCACAGGGTCGGGAGGGGCCGTGATATCTTGTTTCTCCTTATATTCATCGAGTTCTTGGTCGGGGCTTGTTTTAACGTCCTTCACTACAGTCAGTATGTTGAAAAAAAAAGAGTTATGTTGGTTCTCATATGCTCACGGTTGGCTTGTCGAGGTTGGCATTAGGAACAGTCAACTATATCACGGTTAACAAGAATTTCGGGCTCTGGGAAAAGGTGACTGACCATAGGGTTTTTGACAGCTTCCATTGATGTCTCATCTTGATCCTCTACTCCAATATCCTTTCCAGTAGTCGGGTCGGTCACGGTACGGATCTTATGCTGGGAAACCTCGCGGGGTTTGTGCGTGACAGCGTCTCCCTCCTTCCCTTCAGCTTCACTTCCCTCAGGTTTCTGCCCTGACTTCTTGCCCTTGTTTGCGGATTTCTGTTGCCTCTCGGCCTCGGTCCGCTTTCTATCGTCTTCATCGATCTGCCGGTCTCGCTCTTTCTTTTCATGGTCCAGGCGCTCGATGAATTTCTGGACAGTCGGAACAGGATTCGCACCGCTCCAATGCTCTCCGACATGGTGCGCCTTGGGCGAGGGGGGGCTCCTGATTCTTGGAAGCCATACTGCCTGGAGGTTCTGCTGTCGATCACGCTTCAGGCTCGGGATGGGAGACTGGTAATGAGGGTAATGCGTGGGTGTCGATAATGTGGCTTCACAGCAGATTGCAGTCGGGGGGTTGTCCCATCAGTCAATTGCAAATGGTATGAATATCATCCAAGACGCGGAGGAGAAATTATGTAGATAGTATGGGCGAACAGATGGGCCCAGAAGCTCTCCCCGGAACTACGTCATCGGTGGGCTCAACCCGGGAATCGACATGACGATGCCAATGCAATCTGATCCGTACTTTGCTTGTTTATCTGCATCGTGTGGACCATACAGATTCTGTCATTTTTCTCCACCGTGCTTCGTGAGTTGTCACTGGCTATACTGTAGCTGTGTCGGGAGTCTCGGCTTATGGAGATCCGTGCGACGTTTCTACCTCCTCCAACCTGAATCAATCTACGCACACTGAATTCAAAAGCTATGTGCCATTTGACGGTATATGCCCTGCATAGAGGCCGCAGTGAGGGGGAGTTGACCTGGTTTCGATGCCGATATTTAGGGTACCTAAACCGGCTATGACTGAGGAACAGCTGCTTCGATGATGTCACCTCAAGCCCAATATATGAGCACGAACCACAAGAACGAACTCGATAACCAGCGGTCTCTACAGCCTAAGGCAGAGTTAACCTCTGGTGTATTTCGATCGTCATATCGAGGCGATCATGGTACAGAATTGGCGAAAACCGATCGCATGGATCGGCGGAACTAGCGAACTACCCCAGATCGCTTCGTTCGACTCCATTGGACGAGGTCAAAAGTGAGTATTCACGGCAAGAGGATCCCGTTGCGCTAGCTGGTGTTTATTGGTAGTACAAGCATTGCCTCGCCTTGATTCCTGTCGTGTAGCGATGAAGATGTCATGATACACATTCGTGGGGCTGATCGGCCCTTCCACACAGATGTCCACTTTGTAGGCAACCCTGAGGGATATCCCTGGCTAATGCTTCACGATATCTTGCCGTAAGGACTGCAAACCGGTAGGGACCTCTTCATGAGAAACTTCTCATGCAAGAAGTCCACGGCCAGTTAAAAAAAAGTAGTAAAAAAAGTAGTAGAGGGCGTAGGAATGGGGTGCGGCTATTGTCCTAATCGCTGGGGGCCCAAACTCCCCCTTCCGCATCTCAACGTCACCCGCGTTTGCACCACCATCGCCCACGCTTTTCCAACTTCGTTACCCTCGTTTCAGCCTCACTTGCGCCGTAAGGATGTCAACTGCAGAGGAGTCCCCCGCACAGCGAGCTGCGCGTGAACGCCGTGAGCGACGTGAGGCCAAAATCAAGGCGGGTGGCTCAGCACGTCTCGATAAAATCACCAGCTTGAGCGGTCGCACTCCGCAATCAGGTGCGCCAAGCCCCTGTGGGAAAGCCTTTTATTCTCACTCGACCGAACCCATGCAGATCTGACTTTTGATGCTGACTACTATACCCTTTAATAGCTCGTGAAGATGCCTCTCCATCTCCCCAGCCCGCCGTCCCCCTCTCCATCCCCAGCACCGCACACCCAAGCTCCCTCTCAGCGAGACCGAGAGTCCACCGAAGCCATTCAAGCCCAGCAAGAGGCCTTCCGAGCTCTACTCCGACAGGCTGCGCCAGAAGCGGCACGAGGTCAACAGGGGGAGAACGAGACCGAGGACCCGACCGCAAAACTCTTGAGTTCGCTCCTCGAGGGCGTGCCCGGAAACCCGAACTCCCCTCCGGGAGCCGAACCAGCCGTGCCATCCTCAAAACTTGCATCTATTGCGACGTCGCTCGGCGTGCCGCCTTTCCTGGCCAAATGGGTCGGTGATGCATTCTCAGAGCCCCAGGAGGACCCGAAGAGCGTCCGCCTCTGGAAGGGCATCCACCTTGTTTTCGCCCTCGGTATGGCCATCTACGTAGTTTGGCTCGTGAGAACCTCGGTGGCACTGTTCGGATTTCCGCGTCCAAAACCAGCGACGGCTCAGAACCCATATATCATTTTCCAGACGGGCGAATTCATCTTGTTCACTACGAAGCTATTACTAGGCGGGCCGTTCGGGATTCGATCAGCTTTTAGTAGCTTCAGGGGAGTCATCGGAGACGCCATGATTGTTCTGTTTGTGTTGGGTGCCGCTACCTGGTGGACGAATGGATGGGAAGATATCGCACTCCAGGCATAGTCACCACTTCATGTTTCCATGTATCTAACCTACGACACGAGAAAATGTATCCCAAACAAGCATCATTAAAGAATAGCATTGCATCTCATACTACTCTATGACATTGATTCCCTTAAGTGGCTAGTGATCGCTGCCATGGCAAGACAGCATTCCGGAGCGCCCCCATCGCTGTTGGATCCAGCCCCCAATCCCCCACCCAATGGCTCATACGAGCTCCGTTTCTAAAATGGTCGGCTAGATGCTCTGAGCGAGACGCCCAGGTCGACAAAGTGCAGTCACAGAATCCACAGCGGCTTTGCACGTTGCCGCCAGTACCTCGCCAGGCATTCAGGTCCGGGACGGGCGTCTTCGTACAGCCATGGAACTTGCGCAGATGCTGCCATAAATAGTCCTTTCGGCTGAAGGATCGTTCTGAAACCGGTTTTCCTGCACAGATATCGAATTCGTGCTCCTCCCAGTGCGCTGGGGCCGGAAGTGGTGTATCGCAGAACTTGCACTCGGCTAATGTGGTACTCCAGTCGTTTTGGAGTTCGTCTAAGTTGGGGCTGCAGATCCATGAATCGAGGCGGAGATGTACACTTTTCTCGTGCCGCGCCCAGTCGTGTCTCTTTTTGAATGACTGGGTGCAAAAGGTGCATTGGTATTGATTGTCTTCCGACTGGGACTCTCGCTTGCGTCGAGATGCCGATTTCTTAGGGAGCAGCGGGAACGGGAGGTTATTCTCGCCGGACTGATGGCTCCATGCGGAGGAGCCACTCTCAGAGGTCTCTGATGCGCGGCTTCCAAAGCTGGAAACCGAAGAGGCCAGATGGGAGGATTCTCCGTCAATATTCAGTAGATCCAAAACTGACCCGTCGAGCTGGAACGGATCTGTCCCAGTGGCAATTGCATCTTGAATGACAGATTCTGGTACAGGGTCCTCGTCTGGAGGAGAGGCTTTCCATCTTTCCATTGGAGTCAGCGAACTTAGCGTGCTTGTTATTAATGGAGAACCAGCCCTTGGTCGAGAATTAGAGGTAAAGTTTGATATATGGGTTTTCTGCTTCTGTCGACGGCGAGCATTTGCAAACCAGGTCGAAATTCGTCGCTGTGAAAACCCAGTCTCCTGGGCTAGTTGGATCTTTTGGGATTCATTGGGGTATGGGTTCTCTTGGTTTTGATAAAACCACTCTCGTAAGGCCCTAGCCCCTTTGCGAACGAACTGTTTAGATTCTTTGCGGTCCTCTATTGGTTCCACGCTGGGTATCGGCTGGCCAATCTGTAATCCATGAGCTTCATACTTGCTGATGCGTCCGAGTCACTCACGTCGTTCTCTGTGTTCTCCGGGAGACCATGTAAATGTCCCAAAACGGGGGCCGACGTTTCGAAGCCCGATGGCAGACGCTTCTCCCCTTTGGAGAGACTGCATTCTCGGAATAAAGCTGCGCAGCTCGAGCAGGAAGCGAGCGGATTGGGATTCACGGGAGATGTGCGTATCACTAGGCACTGCAACCGATGTCTGCGACAATGACTGCACGGCTTTGGCGGACGATAAGAGCCATCGAGCCATTGCGATACATTTCCGAGGTCCTGTGGCTGAGATACAAAGAAACCATTCGTATGTTCCGCTTGAGATGGAGTGAGCTCGCATGTAATATCCGGGCTCTGCAAAGACGGATAATTGTGGCCCTCTAATGCGGGGAAATATTGCGATTCGAGATCTGTCCATTCATGTCGTTCTGCTGCAGTCGGCTCAGATACACAGAAGTAAAAGTCACTCAGCGTATTCCATTTCTTCTTTCAAGTGCTCTGGTATCCAATCATCTGATGTGTCGGCATTTCGTCCTTGGTATGACCAGTCTGGAAATGACTGCGGCAACTGATTAGAGGACGACTCGGACCAATGGTTCTGTTCCATTTCTCCCTGAGTGCTTAGATGTATGATGGCATTTATCGAGGTATACTGCCTCCTATTGTGGATTTCCTGAGTAGCCCTGGTCCAATATCGACTTCACAGATTCATGATGAAGAGTGCAGCATCGTGGACGGGCTCGACCTATCGATGACTCTTCCCCGCTAACCGTATTTGGTTAGCATGAGCCTTCCAAGAACATGTCGAACTATAAAACCAAACTGCCATTCTCCATGAATCTCATCATTGGTAAATTGAAGTGTTTACAGTAGGAATGTGCTTGGACACTGAGAGATTGATATTTACTACAGGGAATGAAAACAGGTACAAAATCTCGATTCGCGAACTTCAATACTTCTATGACACTTGCCCAGGAGGTGGCTAACTTGAACTTCTGATGACCGTAGTCTATGGAGAACCTCCTGACATTTCTCTGGCTCTGTAGTTTTCGTTCAGCCTTTCTATATTGTGTGAGCTTAGGGACGATCGAGAACTGAGTTTCTTTTTTCATCTTCTGGTGAGCTTACTTGGATGTTCACCATGAACGGTTTTCTTCATACCACTACCTAAGTCGAGTGACGAGTGAAAAGGAGGGCCGGCATATTATGCTGCCCCAGACTGAGTGTCTTTGTTACTGCTGGCATTCGGCGACTTATCAGTAGCCTTAGGTTGCTTCGTCTCAGGCTTGACCGTGGGATTGGACTGAGCAGAAGATCCTGAAGGTGCTGATCCAGTGCCCGGGGTTGCATCAGGCCTTGGCTCGCCTTCAGCGCCATTGTTCTCGAAAAGAACCAAGTGAGAAGCTCCCAGAATCATGTTGAAAGAAATTTTGATGGTGAAGTTGATGCTGGGCAGAGAGCCAAATTCGAAGAGATGAAAAGAGACCTCGCTGTATGCCATCAGTGAAAAGAGTAGTTTGGTAGACTTTTATAGATTGCCTTTGGCTAATTGCTATCGTGGAATCTTTTTTTAGCGATGTTGGCGTCCCTGCTGAGGAGAAGGGCATTTCCTGCCTGAAATCCAGGGATTCCCACACTTAGACAGTCGAGTACTAGGGTCGGTAATATCATGAGACAATCAGATTCTGGAAATAGTCAACGTCCTGCAAATGAAGCTCTTCGAGCTTTGTCGTTATCGGCAACCATTCATCGTGACTCAGCCAGCTCCAGGGAGTGCTGGGCCGTGCCAATGGTCTTCTAGCAAGCGTTTATTCTGCTAAAGAATTCCGTTTCTCATTGCCATTCTCAGTTAAGTCAGTATGCTAATCTCTGAGGCCCCCCGCACCAGGCCTTTCATGTCTAAGGTATAGGGGGCCTTAGCGAAGATTGGTGCCATCTCATGGTATAGGTTGGCGAGACTCGTAGGCGTCCCAACAGCTCGAATACGACACCAAAATCCTGCTTTGTTGATGCTACCGTGTCCAGGTTCAGAGAAACCCAGTAGATCGTAGACGCAACAACGTTTCATAGTTTAGGGTAGATGAGGCTGATGCAGATCGCACCAGATCGTGGCTATGCGCTGCGAACCGTCGATCGTCGCCGGCCCCACCCCAGATCGGGATAGCGTGATGTGACGCTCCGTGACTCATGTTGAGCTTCATCAAACACTGAATCCTACAATAAACGACGCGAATATATAGAGCACGCTCTAGAGAATAAGATTGGGTCAAAATCTGTGCTATGGTCTTTGGTACATTCTCGAGTAGCCTACTATGTCATGATGCTGTTGATCTTGCACAAAACCAAAGTCTCGCCTCGCAAATGCTCTTATGTTTCAATGACAAAAGTCCTTCATAAGATCCGTAAAAACTTGCTGTAGCTGCTGTAAGCTTTTGACCTGCACCCATTCCTCTTTGCTATGTAACCCTGCACCAACAGGTCCGAGGACCACCGATGGAATCCCAGCTGCGCCGAGTAAAGCAGCATCGCACCAAAATGCAGCAGTTTGGACTGTGACATTGTTTCCAAGAATATTCATAGCGGATTTAGTTGTCTGCTGCACGAAAGGATGCGTTGTTGATAGCTTAGACGTTGGGCGTGACATGGTGACTCGAGGTTCAGAATAGCGGAAGTGTGGATTCTCCTTCGAGATATCTGCAAGCAAGCCCCTAATATCATCTATTATTGAGATTTCCGATTGCGAAGGTATTGTCCGGAACTCCATGGTAATAGTACATTTCTCGGGGTAAGACGAAGGCTCTTCGCCTCCTCTGATGAGACCACAATGCATCGAGGCCTTGCCCAGAAGGTCATCTACGGGAAAGTGGTATTGCTCAATGGCACGCAGAAACCATCCTGCCTGCATGATTGCATCAACTCCTGAGGCAGGATCCGATCCATGTGCTGCCACTCCCAGGACGTCAACCTCGACCCACACGAAGCCCTTGTGGGCGATCACGACGGTGTTCATTGTTGGCTCAGGAACGACGGCTGCGTCAGCTCTCCAGCCTGCAGCTAGAATGTCTTGAGTACCTTGTGAGGCATCCTCTTCGTCTGATACCGCAGCTATAATGATATCACCCCGAAGTTGCTGATTGTGGCTGGTCGCCTTAACTTGAGCGAGCGCCGCCAATGAGGCTGCAAGACCACTTTTCATATCAAGACATCCGCGTCCAAAAATAGCTTGCTCTCCATTTTTCGTCCCGAGGTGCCCAGAAATTGGATCAACGTCTTTCGCATAGCTGGAAAGGCTCACCGTGTCGATGTGTCCATTGAACATGAGTGACTTCCCTCCACCACTACCACGCAAGACACCGACCACGGATGGACGCCCTATGACAGGCTCAACGCGGTGGCACTCGATGTCTCTATGAGCAAACCACGCACTTATGTAGTCTGCAATTTCACTTTCGCCCGCTCCATCACTCACGGATAAGGTTGGGTTGGAGGAGTTAATCTGGGTGAGCACCTGCGTCAAGCCGACTGCATCTTCCACAGCAACATCCCGTGGGATTTTGTATTCCCGTGCTCCTTCCGTACTCAATAGAATAACCACCGAGTCCTTAGTGAGGACTGACGAGGTTTCACTTGCGATACGTCGCAGAGCAGCCAAGGATGCGCCGCCACAGGGGCCTGCGGTGATAGACTTAGACTTCAAATCCTCCACGGCACGATGACTTTCATATGAAGATACAGTCACACAAGCATCAACAAGCCTCTGCAGATCAGGCCACGCAGTAGCGGAAACAGTCCCACAGTTCATTCCGTCCATTGTTGTGGATGAAGTAGGTACAGCGACAGACTTCCCAGCCCGCAAGCTAGAAGATAGACACGGAGCGGAGTCGGGCTCAACAGCTACAACAGTCATGTTTCGTGACTTGCAGTGCTTAGCCACCGCATGAGCAAGACTACCCACACCCACAGGGGTGATCACAATGCTTGCCGGTAGCCCCAGCTGAGAAGCTTGCTCCTCTGCCTCGTGTAGCATCGTAGAATAGCCCTCCACGATCCACGCTGGAACATCCTCGTATCCTTCAAATGCGGTATCCTGGATGAGCAAGGAATTATGGACCTTCGATTGTTCTGCTGCTTCCTGAACGGCCTTATCGTATGTACCTTGGACAACGATCACACGAGCGCCTTCGGACTTGATGAAACGGCTTGTGTTATCATCCATGGAGAGAGGAACGAACACACTAGCACTCACTCCGAGCAGCTTGGCCATGTAGGCAACTGCGCGCCCATGGTTTCCCTCTGAAGCTGTAATGAGCGATAGTCCTCTGGTCCGAGCCTTAGCGGAGAGATTCTCCAGAGTCACCGTCGACGATAGCCCCAGGTGTTGCGCTACGGCTCTGAAGCAACCCCATGATGCTCCAAGGACTTTGAACGAGGGCAAACCAAATCGGTTACTCTCATCTTTCACCAGGATGCCCTTCACACCCACCTCAGCCGCTAGCTCTGGGAGAGATACCAACGGTGTAGGCGCATAGTTTGGAAGCTCCTTGTGAAACTCCACCACCCCCGCGTTTAGCGGGGCGTCGCACGTTTCACTGGCCGCAGAGGCGTTCAAGTAAATTGGACGCCTTGAAGACATTGTATTTTGCTCCCTTGAGCAGTGAAATAGCTGTTCGAGGCTTTTGTGCTTGGGATTAGGGATCAGTTCAAAGTGGATTATGGCTCTGCAGCCTTCCAACGACACTGGACGCCTTCCGAGGACATTGTTGCTGGAAAATAGTGGAACCCGCGAAGATTTGACCAAGCCCTGAAAGAGATATCATTGTGAAACTTCATGCTGCTAAACAGCTTCTGCTAAATATGTCCTACCACTGAGATTTTATCAGATCGCTTTGTGATTTGGTAGATACGCAGATTTTGGTCTTTTGGCTAGGCTGGTTCGCCTTCGGGAGTCAAGTTTTTCGGTTTCATGAATATTGACTTGAACAGATCGTATATACGGCACATAAGATTTATTCTAAATGGACAGTATTGTGTTTTGTCTACTGTCTAACTCAACTCTCTACCGATGTTCACTAAGAGACAAGGGTCATCAGACCTCTGTGCCTTGGCTCAATCGGAAGCTGTCATAGTGTACCACAGATTCAAGCAGTGCTTGAGTACCAAGAGCGCTATTCTTCGTATTAGCAGTTGAATCGATCTGGGTACTGCGTTCATCTTACCAGTGCTCTGGGCTACAATATTCTGTTGGGTGGTGACTGACACCGTCCTTGCAAGGAACAAATATCATAGTTGTCGGACAGTGCTTGCTAGTGTAAACACTATCATGCCCAGCACCGCTTGTTAGCGGCATGGATCCATTAGGCCCAACCAGAGTGTCTGCCGCTTCTTGAACCGATGCAATACAACCCTTGTCAAACCGGACAGCCGGGGAATCGGTTTCCAAAGTCCAGTCGAAAGTGACGCCCTTGCCATCCTGAGCGGCGATCCTCGTAAATGCTTCGAGGCACTTTTTCTGAACCGCTTGGACAACATCATCAAGTGGATGCCGAATGTCGAGAGTAAATGTCACCTCTGATGCGATCGTGTTAGTAGAGGCATTTGAAGGCACCTTGAGGATGCCAGTCGAAGCTAATGCATCATGTCGCGTCGCGATATCGTTAGATGCAGCAATCATCCGGGATGCCGCAAGCAAAGGATCCTGACGAGCGCTCAGGGGTGTCGTTCCAGTATGAGCGTCCTTTCCCTTGATGGTGAAGGCCAACCACCTGTATCCTTGAGCACCTTGCACAATGCCGATGGACCGTCCACTGTCTGTAAGGATAGGGCCCTGCTCAATATGAAGCTCGAAATGAGCGCCGAGTCGGAAGCCTGAGGTAGCATCGCATGGCAATTCACCCAGATACCCGTGCCTTATGAGTTCGGAACGCAGTTTCACGTCTGGATTGTGGATGTCCTGTAGATTCCATGCTTTCTGGATTGGAACAGCTCCAGCCCAGACTCCGGAAGAGCACATAGACTTTGGAAACCGGGCACCCTCCTCGCTGCAAAATTCACATCAGCCGTCAGCCCTGATAAGTATCAGATCAATTACATACTTGGTCCAATTCACAATGCCAATGTCAAAATTCGTGCTGAAACCATTATCCTTCATCGTTCTCAAAACTTCGAGTGCGGCCATAACTCCCAGGATGCCGTCATATCGACCACCACGAGGCTGAGTGTCGAGATGGCTTCCCATCGCAGTCATAGGTTTGGCAGACTTGAGCTTGCCAGGCTGACGTGCGAACATGTTTCCCATCTGGTCTACAGAAAGAGTACATCCGAGCTTTTCAACCTCAGCAGCGAGCCACCTGCGTACCCGAGCATCATCATCGGTCAAGGTCAGACGGGCCATCCCCGTCTCCGTAGTCTTTCTACATAAGGGTCAGTGAACTTATTCAGCCTCCACAGGCCTCGTACATACTCGCCATATCGATGTGATTCACCCCATTTGCAAGTTTCATGCAACGTCTCCCAGAGCCGATCGGCATTGATCTTGAGTCCGGAAGCCCCTTGCAGTCGTGCGCACGTAGAAAAGGAATGCGCCAAGTTCAAGCGCAAGGCTTGTGCCACACGGGGTGTAGCTTGCATTTGGCAAATCAGATGGGGTAGGCTATTCTTGAATCTGTGCCTGATAATCGCTAGAAAGGAAAATTTCAACTTGCTCCAAGGGGCTCATGCGAAGGGGTTCGCACGCCAGCCAAAACTTAGCTTTTTTAAGCTAGTCATACGCCTTCTGAGGATAAGAGAAAACTATCGTGGAACGCGAACTGCTTCTTTAGTACCGGTGAGGGATTTTCCGGATCTAAATTCGAATCGGAACTCCCACGACTGATCAATAGATGGCGGAAGATGGGAGACGACGTGCTGGTGATCCATTCCGGCAAACTTGAGGGCAGGCGCCTTCCGACAACATCGGTATAGCTGGGAATTTTTTTTGTTGGCCCACCCATCACTTTGACTTGTGAATTCGGATTTTATGTGCAGAGTTTTCGCTTGATAGTCTCAAATATACCCCAATATTACCCCAAATTCATTTAGGTCTCGACGGCGACTGGGACGTGGACCTCTGCTGTGTTTTATGTGATGGCTATGGATATATTTTTATATTAGAAGCGGAAACTTGAACCTGAACATTCGGTGTTCAAGCTGATGTTAGGTAGAAATATAAATAAACCGAAAATTACAGCTCATCGTACGATTTAATGGCTTCGGCTATTACAAAAAGTCCTAAAATTGCTCTTCCTCCAACTCAATGGCACCTAATGCTAGCGCTACGGAGTACTTATGCTCCAAACTGGCTTGAAAGTCCCCTGGTATATTTACTTGAGGGTATGCTCTTCCGAGACAGCAATTACCAAAAATTGATCTCTCGTAATGTGTCAATATTTAACTATTTCCCAGAAAGTGCACTTATTCCATAGTGAGGGACTGGTGCAATTCCGTGGCCCGGACACTACAATATATAGATGATTGGCGCCTTCATCTCTGACAGTATCGCACTATCATGTTCTCTTGCATATGCTGTCGTCGATCTTCGACGTGGAATGAAACGAGGGTAAAGAATGGGGCGGAATATCGCCATTGGGTCATTGACATTTTCCTTCGTCGTCATGATTGGTTTAAGAATTTTACGGAGTACTCTGGATGATAACTTGAAGAGCAGGCTCTCAGAATGATTGGCCTGATTTTTCCTGGGTTCTTGAGGGATATATCTTCATTTTGACTTTCATTTTATGCACCCCAGTCCTTTGTGACGTACAGTGGAGACCGGGCGATGCTGGGCATTTCGGGGCGCCCGATGTTCACTAACTGCATTCAGGCTCAAGAGATGCCCAGTGTCTCTTCTGAAGATCTGGGGAAGCTTGATAGACTGCCTACTAGTAACTTAGCTGTCAGCCACTTTAGCTGGGTGGGCCCCCCGTGCATACTACTATAGGGTAGAGTTACTAGTAATTAGGAAACCGCGACTCGAGCATCTCTAGGGATGTCTCAAATTGATGCTGCCTACTGACTTAGTGATAGACTTTATTTGGAAAATGAAGACAGGAAAATAGCGTCAGTATACTCCATGACGAGAGCACTGTACATGGGTACTGGCTCATTCAGCCTTGTATATGTCAGTGATCTGAAGGTACCCGCGGGTACCGCATTAGAGCCCTCCAGGGCTCCAGGGCTCCAGGGCTGCATCTGTTTCCATTAGGTAATTGCCCTCTCGTCACCCGTGGACCCGTGCGGGACTTGAACTCGAAGCTTTTCCAAGATATTGCGTACTGGAAGCCCACGTTCACTATTCCAAAGTTGCTAATAATAGCTGTTATCTGCAAGAATTGAGAAGCACTTCCGCAGCGGCCCTAACCCGGTGTACGCCCGGTGTTTTCTCGGAGCGATCATGCCAGACACGCCTCTGGGTCGCATACCCCACCGCGATTCAACCAATTCAACAACGTCTGATTGGACTCTTAAAACTGTTGGTTGTAAGCCCTTCTTTTCGGAGGCATTCGGTACGCATGAGTTCCGATCTTACACCGCATGGAAATCAGAATACGGAAGGACAAGGATCCCCCGGCCTTGCTACCTACCAGGGTCGGACTGTTGGGCTGGAGGCGGGCTAGCGACAAGGGGGGTCGTAAGAGAATCTGATTTGTTTCTGCTGGCTGCAGATTCGCACAGCTGCTGAATCCACCACGGCTCGTTCTGTCAGCCTGCCATGGAAAGCAAAGCCCAACGCGTGGACCTCGATGCTACTATAGCAGAAGAGTAGGACCCTGTGAGTAGGGCCTGTGTGAGTCCGTAACTCACAGGCTAGAAGAGCCGATAGCATCAGGGACCCCATTGGAAATGCAACCGACGATCGCAGTTTGAATCCCAATCTACCCAACCTGCCACGAGAATCAGAAAAAGGGGAATCGTCCAATCGGAGGGGCTGTTGAGACACCATTGCCCCTCCGTCCCACACGTCGTTCCCACACTCTCCACAATGTCATGCGGGTTGGCAGGAAAACGTAATTCAAGCACAGTCAAAGGGCATACGCTAAGTGCTCTGATAGAGAACTAGAGCGATAGCTCCTGAAGCAGGAATTTTATTGATACGTGTGTGGGAATGACACGGCCTAGACGAGACTTTGCATGTGATGCTCTAGCTCGAGGCAGTACAGAGCAAAGAGTGAAGAGGTCGCTAAAGCAGGCGGACAGAACCTATAACCCAACTTATGCAAGAATAAACTTCCAGCCGCGCACCTGTCGCTGCACTCAGCGCTGCACTCGGCGAATCAGATGCGAAGGGATGAGCTGACTCAGTCTCTCCACACCTCAAAAGAAACATCCAGTCGAATCCACCCTTGAAGATCAAAAAGGTTGCAGGTTCAGCCCACGAAGCAGGTGGGATGCCAGACTTCTCGGACCAGTTATGGCTCGGTAGATCTAAAATCTCACGTATGGCCAGTGCTGAAGGGATGGGAAAATTGGACGTATTATGATCCAATGCGCGAGTCCCGTCTTCCCGACATTCCTTCGAGCCGCATCCACGTCCGGTTTGAACCGAAGGGCCTGGAAGTCCAAAAGGTCAGAATCCCTCGGGTTAATGGGCCTTTAGGCGGATGACGGGAGATGAAGACAACGAGGGGTACCGATGAAAAAGGTAAGGCCGGGTTTATGTCGTTCATTAAACTTCCCCGGAGCAACGGAAGCAGCCAAGTTCCCCGCATGACCGAATTCAAGCTGTCCATGAATCCAGTATTGCAGATTACCGGTCGTAACCGGTATCAGACGTAAATCCCATGACCCGTAGATTCGAGTAGCCTGAGAGCTCTTTTCGAGGGATCTAAAAGGTGCATCGAAGACAAAGACTCCAGGGTCTTGCGTTCTTGCGGCTAGAGGCCAAGGACAAACGTACGGAGTACTAGAACCCGCATTCCCAACCCGCACGGCCCAAGCGGCAGCGCTATCCTCTTGCGGCAGCTGTGCGCGCTTTACCCGAAGCAGGTCCCGGAAAGGTAATGAAGGTAAGGCTTTATCCACTCGCGGGGGTGGGCGGCAATCTGTGTCCAGGGACTTGGCTGGAGAAGTACTAAACCGTCGTAGTTCCCCCCCTCCAGGTCGTTCGCTCTCTTTCTCTGCTCCTCCTCCGCGCTGCACCCCTGATCTAAGTATGTGCTCACTTGGCAACCCCCACCCTCCCCAATATGGCAGTAGCTTATTGCTCCGCCTTCCCACTGCTTCGGATCTTGCGTTGCTGACTGACTGTTCGCCTTCAGGAATTGGTGCTTTCCCCCTTTTGGTACATTCCATTGCGTCCATATCGAATTCACAATGGCGGGCGCAACAAAGCCCTCGGTGGTAAGTTCCATACTCGTGGGAGCCACAAAAACCCCACCACTGACAGCCGTTTTGCAGGTGCTCGAAGCCCACGAGGTCGACACTTTCCACGTTCCACAGGCTTTCCACGATAAACATCCCACCGGAACCCACCTCAAAGATATCAATGAGTACAAGGCGCTCTATGAGGAGTCAATCAAGAGCCCGGACACATTCTGGGCCCGCATGGCTCGCGACCTGCTCACGTTCGATCGAGACTTCCAGACCACACACTCCGGCTCCTTGGAGAACGGCGACAGCGCCTGGTTTGTGGAGGGTCGCTTGAATGCCTCCTTCAACTGTGTCGATCGCCATGCTCTGAAGAACCCCGACAAGGTTGCCATCATCTACGAGGCTGATGAGCCTAATGAGGGCCGCCAGATTACATACGGCGAGTTGCTACGCGAGGTCTCTCGCGTCGCCTGGACCCTGAAGCAGCGGGGCGTGAAGAAGGGCGACACTGTTGCCATCTACCTCCCCATGATTCCCGAAGCTTTGATCGCATTCCTCGCCTGTTCGCGCATTGGCGCTGTTCACTCCGTGGTTTTCGCCGGTTTCTCTTCTGATTCACTGCGGGACCGTGTGCTCGATGCAAACTCCAAGGTTGTCATTACCTCCGATGAGGGTAAGCGCGGCGGCAAAGTTATTGGTACTAAGCGCATTGTCGACGAGGCGCTTAAGCAGTGTCCGGATGTGAACACTGTCCTTGTCTACCGCCGCACTGGCGCTGAGGTGCCCTGGACTCAGGGCCGTGATCTCTGGTGGCACGAGGAGGTTGATAAGTACCCCAACTATATCGCTCCCGAGTCGATGAACTCCGAGGACCCTCTGTTCCTGCTGTACACCTCCGGCTCGACTGGCAAGCCTAAGGGTGTCATGCACACTACCGCTGGCTATCTCCTGGGTGCTGCTATGACCGGCAAGTACGTTTTTGACATTCATGACGATGATCGTTACTTCTGCGGTGGTGATGTTGGTTGGATCACCGGTCACACTTACGTGGTGTACGCTCCACTCTTGCTGGGCTGTGCGACTGTCGTCTTTGAGAGTACTCCTGCATACCCCAACTTCTCACGTTATTGGGACGTGATCGACAAGTACGATGTCACACAGTTCTATGTGGCCCCTACCGCCTTGCGACTGCTTAAGCGTGCGGGCGACGAGCACATCCACCACGAAATGAAGCATCTGCGTGTGCTGGGTTCCGTCGGTGAGCCAATTGCCGCAGAGGTGTGGAAGTGGTATTTCGAGGCTGTTGGAAAGGAGACTGCCCACATTTGCGATGTTGGTTTTTTCCTATCTCAATTCCGGACAATGAGGCGGCTAACAATATTTTGACAGACCTACTGGCAAACCGAGACCGGCTCTAACGTCATTACCCCCCCTTGGTGGTATCACCCCAACTAAACCTGGCAGTGCTTCCCTGCCTTTCTTCGGCATTGAGCCTGCTATCATCGACCCTGTCTCTGGAGAGGAGATTAGTGGCAATGATGTCGAGGGTGTCTTGGCTTTTAAGCAGCCTTGGCCAAGTATGGCTCGCACTGTCTGGGGAGCACACAAGCGCTACATGGATACCTATCTGAATGTTTACAAGGGATACTACGTATGTTGTACCCCATTGCTGGGCCTGCGTACGCTTACTGACCCACTCATAGTTCACCGGTGATGGCGCTGGTCGGGATCACGACGGCTATTACTGGATTCGTGGGCGTGTCGATGATGTTGTCAACGTTTCTGGCCATCGTCTGTCCACCGCTGAAATTGAGGCTGCACTTCTGGAGCACCGTAAGTAATTCCTTATGAGGAATGACCCCTCGATGCTTGCGCCGAGTATAAAAGCTAACATCAATTAGCGATGGTTGCCGAGGCTGCTGTTGTTGGTATTAGCGACGAGTTGACCGGCCAGGCCGTCAACGCCTTTGTTGCCTTGAAGGAGGGTAATGAGACCAACGACCAGGTGCGGAAAGACTTGGTGATGCAGGTTCGCAAGTCTATTGGTCCATTTGCTGCCCCCAAGGCCGTGTTCGTTGTCGAGGACCTTCCCAAAACTCGCAGTGGCAAGATCATGCGTCGCATTCTGCGGAAGATCCTCAGTGGCGAAGAGGACAGCCTTGGTGATATTTCTACGGTAAGACTCGTTCCCTTGCTTTGGACCATACGATTAATTTGCACAATGCTAATCGATATCATAGCTCTCTGACCCCAGTGTTGTGGAAAAGATCATTGCCACTGTCCACGCAGCCCGTCCGAAATAGAAAATAAGAAGGCAAAAAAAGCAAAAAGGAAAGAAAAAAAAAAAAGCAGAAAAAACGACAACAATCACACCTAACAAATGAATAAACGAGAATGATCTCTCAAAGGGCCCTTGGTAGTGTGCCATATATAGGTTAAGTCGCTGTCTTGAGTTGTCCGGTAAAGTTGGCAACGGTGACTTGGAGATCGGGAGAATGAGAAGAAGGTTCTGTCGTCATGAATTTTGCCCGTGTACTTGAGATTCCCTTCGCAGCTTTTTGAAAAGCTGTGTGAATAACATTTCCCTTTACTGCCGCTCAGTATTCGAGCCTGCACCTCGTAGGCCTAGTAAATTAAGCTCAATTGAAACCTGCCGTAATGGTCGCCAGGTCGATCATAGTTTCAAGGATCTAACTCTGAGACCCAAACAGACAGGAGGATATAACAAGTCACCTGCGAGCTGCATGACTCAGACTTCTGTATAACTAATTACATCCTGCAGGACTGAGCTGGTCGCAGTAGCTGCGTTGGGCGAGTCTGCTCCGGGGCTAAGCTAAGGCAGCCATGTCACGTGATGGATTACAGTTGCTCGTGGCTGACATAACCAAGCTCCCCCAACTTACTTTTCGCGTCGCCCTCCCTCTCTTCCAGCTCACGCGCAATTTCTGCTCAACCCAAACCCGGCAACTCGTTGTCTCCTCCATCTACGCAGGCCCGCCCTATGCTAGCGTGAAGTATCCTCGGCTTCCAATTACGCCAACATGTCTTTCGGCTTTGGAAGTGGAGGAGGGTTCGGCCAGAACACCCAGAATGCCTTTGGCACATCTGGCGGCTTTGGTTCAAACACTGGCGGAGGTAGGTCTTTCCCTTGAAATTTTTATAGCTGCTTTATTTCAATTCCCTTGCCCCTGTTTCATTCCCCGATGCCCTGCCCGTCTGGTCCTCTCTCTGCCGCCTGCTCTCTGTCACAACAACAACCCGGCGCTCCTGATTTCGATCCGCGAATGTATGACACGCGCAAGGCATCGCCAACCTCCCACGGTTCTGTATTACCTTCGCTGTGCCTATTAAAGCTTTCCAAACGGACGATCTCAATCCACAGCGACGCCGCGACAAGAGAAAAGGTTGCAAGGGCTCTCTTGAAAATCAGTCCCTCTGACCGCAAACCTCCCCAACCTCTAGGCTTTGGATCGACTGGCTCCACCGCCTTTGGATCTGGGAACACTGGAACGGGAAACACTGGCGGGAGTCTGTTTGGTGGAACGGGTGCCTTCGGCAATACCAACAGCGGCGGAGGTACGTGCAAGAGAGACGGCAGGACCTTGCGATGACTGGATTATTGGATTACTGGATGACTCCGGAAGGGACATTCACGGCCCCGAATGGATATTCACGAGAGAAGAATCACTATATGGCGGTTCACGCGCATGTTTACATGTCGGTCAGGTGACCTTGTGTAGTGTATTTTGACTGAATACATCCATCAGCAGTGAAGAGCCTACTTCGCCCATGACCCAGGATTCATTATCTCTAGATCCCTCCTGCTTCGTCTCCTTCTTTTCTTCTGTGTTCCCTTCTTCTCTCCATCCGTTGCCTCTTCTCCACCATGTATTCCACAAACCGCTAACATATCTTTTCTCATACTATCAGGATTCGGCAGCAACACTAACCAAACTCAAACTAATTCCCTTTTCGGTGCAGGCCAGAACCGTACACCAGGCTTCGGCACCACCAATACATCTACCGGCGGCTCCCTTTTCGGAGGTACTGCAACTACCGGAAACAACACGTTCGGCAGCTCTGGCGGCGGTGCATTCGGCTCTGGTACCACAGGTGGCTTCGGTAGTAACGCTGCAGGAAACACCGGTGGAGGCCTTTTCGGCAAGAGCGCTGGTGGCTTCGGCTCTACTACCAACACAAATACCGCCGGGGGCTTCGGCTCTGGAGGTGGCTTTGGGTCTACCACTACGCCAGCTTCAACAGGCTTTGGTGGCTCAGGCATTGCCCTCCAGGGTGCTCTTCAACCTTGTGAGGGCACCGGGTCAACCCCATTCAGTCCATTCACCGAGAAAGACACCAGCTCGGCAACTATGAACCACTACCAGAGCATCAGTTTTATGCAACCATACAGCCGATTCTCTCCCGAGGAGCTGCGACTAGCCGATTATCAGGCAGGCCGCCGATTCGGCAACGGCAGCGGTCAAGCTGGTGCCTTTGGCAGCTCTGCCTTTGGCGGTACTGCTGGTGGATTTGGCTCTCAGCAAAATAACACCACAGGCTTCGGTGCTAGCACTACACCTTTCGGAGGCGCTGCTACCAGTCAGCCCGCTGGAGGATTTGGCGCGACCCAAACTACTGGAGGGTTCGGCGCAACTGCGAACAATAATTCTGGCTCTTCCTTATTTGGAGCCAACAAGCCCGCAACTTCAATGTTCGGTGGAGGTACGACCGGAACGACTGGGGGTTCTTCTCTCTTCGGAGGCAACACTGGCTCTACTGGAAATGCCTTCGGCTCTGGCACAGCTGCAGGCGGTTTCGGATCCACCAACAACACCGGAGGTAGCTCATTGTTTGGAGCAAACAACCAGCAGAAGCCAGCTTTCGGGTCAACCACCACTGGTACTGGCTTCGGCGGAGGTGGTTTTGGCGCCCAGCAACAAACGTCTTCCTCCAACCCCTTTGGTGGAACTCCAGCCACTACCACGCCTTTCGGTGGCCAGCAGCAGCAGTCTGGGGGTCTAGGTGGCTTCGGCCAGAACCAGAACCAGAACAAGCCGGGCGGTTTGTTCGGTGGAGCGTCGACCGGCTTCGGTGCTTCGAACAACACGCAGGGGCAGAGTGGCTCTTCTCTGTTCGGTAACACTCCTGCTGCGGGCAATACTGGCGGTGGTCTTTTTGGTCAATCGCAACCCCAGCAACAAAATACGGGCGGTGGTCTTTTCGGAGGCGGTCAAAACCAGGCATCAACTGCTGGCGGGGGCCTATTTGGCCAGCAGAATAACCAAGCTAAGCCCGGTGGCCTTTTCGGCAGTGGTGGCACTACCACCACTGGCGGCGGTGGCTTATTCGGCAATAGCCAGCCCCAGCCAGCTACTGGCGGTGGTCTGTTCGGTGCCAGTCAAAACAATCAACAGCAGAAGCCCGGCGGTCTGTTCGGCAACTCTACTGGCGGTACTGGTAGCAGCCTGTTCGGCAACCAAAACAACTCGACCCAACAAGGCGGCTCTTCACTATTCGGGAATCAAAGTCAGCAACAACCAGCTGGCGGCAGCTTATTCGGCAATTCGCAGCCTGCACCGCAACAATCTCAGCCAGTTCCCGGTAGCTTGACTTCCTCGCTTCTTGAGGGCAACCCTTACGGCAACCAGTCCATCTTCTCGGGTCTTCCTGCCCCGAATGCGCCTTCTCCGGGTCCTTTGGCTACGCCTCTCTCGGCTAGCATGAAGCAGAAGCAGCGAACTCCTTTGCCTGTTCACCAAATGGTTCCTCAGGCCGCCAATCGTCTCGTCACTCCTCCCCGTCGACAAGGATACGGCTTCTCCTACTCCACCTACGGTTCCCCTGCTAGTGCTGGTAGCACTCCTGGATTCAGCGGAAGTCTGCTGGGCGCTGGAGCCTCCAATAACAGCTTCCGTGGAAGCCTCAACGGTGGCAGCTTTGGCCGAAGCTTCAGCAAGAGCTACTCCACCAGCAACCTTCGCAAAACCTTCGATCCGGACTCGAACAGTGTCTTATCACCCGGTGCTCTGCAGGTCAGCAGTGGACGCAGCACTGGAAGCAGCCTCAAGCGCCTCACCATTGACCGCAGTCTCCGTAATGACCTTTTCACGCGTCCGGCCAGCGCATCGCCTGCGCCCCTCACGAACGGCGATGACGCTGCCTCTGGAGACAAGTTGAAGAAGAAGGTTAGCTTTGACTCTTCCTCTCCCACTGTCTCCGGAGACGAGATTGTCCCGGTGGAGACGAGGAGCCCTGAGCCAACCCCTGCTGAATTGGGCTTCTTACGTTCTACTCGCAAGAGTGGTACGTTGAACGGTATTGACAGTCACCCGGAGCAGCCCGAGATGGAGTCTGTTGGTCGTGATTTGGCCGTTGTGCCCGAAAATGACGAACCCTCCTCTGCCGAAGCCACTGCTAAGCGCATGGCTCCATTTTTTCCCCACGGTGACCCTAGCCCTGGCGAGTACTTCATGTCTCCTTCCCAAGAAGAGCTGAAGCAGATGACTCGTGAAGAGCTGAAGCATGTTCAGAACTTCACTGTCGGCCGCCAGCACTGTGGTCAGGTAACATTCGACGTGCCTGTTGATCTCACCAATATCGACATCGACGACATCTTCAATACTATTGTCGATATTGGCGTTCGCAGGATTACTGTCTACCCTGACGAGACCGTTAAGCCTCCTCGTGGAAAGGGTCTCAATGTGCCATCTACTCTCTGCATTCAGAACTCCTGGCCGCGCGGTCGTGACCGGAAGAAGCCCGCTCCGATTACTACGGGACCGCTCCTCGTCAAGCACATCGAGCGCCTTAAAAGAGTGGCGGATACTGAATTCAAGGAATACGATCCTGAGACTGGAACGTGGATTTTCAGCGTTCCTCACTTCACTACCTATGGCCTCGACTATGATGAGGATGAGGAAGGCGAAACCCTTGACCAGAGCACCCTTGCTGTGGGCCCTCCTGACAGCGGTACTCCAAAGGCCCACCGTGACCACCCCGTCAGTTTTGAACAGTCTACGACGTTCTCCATCGACGATTCATTCGTCGGTTCGATGGTGGGCGTTGATGACGACACATTTGACTTCAAGAAACGCAAGATAATCCCTGGATCTTTCGGCAGTCAGGCTGAGGACCAGGACATGACCTCTGAAATCGGCACCGAGTCTTTTTTAGAGGAAGGCTCCACGGGTTCGGCTACTGAGCATGATGACGACTTTGTCACTGAAAGCCAGGTATCTGGCGACTCTGTAGTGGGATCTGATGAAGACCAGGAGATGGACATGGCGGGTTCCTTTCCAACTCTTCATCGTTCCGTGGAGCAGGACGACGACCAGACCACCTATGGTGACCTGGACACCACCCAGCCCATTCTGAAGCCTCTTGGCACACCTCCAAAACCTCGTTTAGATCTCAGCGGTGACTGGACCGAGCAATTGCAGCGAACAATCAGTCCCCGCAAGCAGAACCGCGACGCTCTGCGTGAAATCCAAGCAAGTGCCTTCACCAATCGTCCTCTCCTGAATGACGGATCTCCAGTTGAGAAGACATCCTCCCCCAAGAAAGGTTTCACGAATAGCATCGACTTGATGAATTCCTTGTTTCAGCAACAGCCGAGAAAGCAAGCTGCTCCGTCTCCGCTGAAAGCTTCCCAGTCCCAGCCTAAGGCTTTTGAGGTTCGCTCCCCTTCCCTGATTTGCTCTTAATTGCACCCACCCAATTCTCCCTATCCTTAAGCACCATCGTTAGCCCCATTGACGCCGATCGTTCTATTCACTGTGATTGTCTTGAATTTGTACCTAGCATCTGCACTACCCGTTCCCTTACCCAGATAGTCAACCAGCAATTTGAGATCCTCGGCTAAAATCTTTGTTTCTTCTTGTACAGTGGCCATACAACAAACAGCCTAAATCATACGCGGATGATACGACAACAATGGACCAAGCTGATGCTGACTTCCATGACTGTTTCAAACCGCGGTGGGGTCCACAACAATCCATCATCTGCGTCAAAAACGAAACAGGCGATACCATCTCTGGCATTCACAACCGCTGGCAAGACTGCTTCACGGTCTTCGGGGAAGACAGAGACATCACAGTCATGCAAAGCATTCTTCCTGATCAGGTATGCATTCACGGCAGCGTTCTACTCGGAAACTTTCACTAATTACATCCATAGTCCAAAGGGCCGGTCCTTGACGTCCAACGCGTACAATCCACAATTCAACAGATCGATGGAATCCCATTAGCCCGTCTGTCCAAACCCGACCTTGCTCAATTTGCTTTATCCCCTACTGCCAATGAAGAGCGACTCATCTGGCAGTTGACGAATATTTTGTTCAACGATGAGCTCGAAGATGATATTTCAGCTGGTGTGCCTCCCCAGCTACGTCCTCAATTCGCGCACCGAATCAAGAAGGACCGATTGAGTCGGCTTTGGGAAAGCATCATTCGAGAGCGCCATACCCATGCCCTCGAACGGATTCGCTCGCCCGAAGAGCGCGCCGTTCACCTTCTTTGTTCTCACCGCATTCAAGAAGCATGCAAGGTCCTAGTGGAAAGCCAGAATCTTCATTTGGCCACTGTCGTTGCACAGATTGGCCGTGATGCCACTTCTCGTGGTGACATCGCTAATCAAATTGAAGTGTGGCGCCAAAACAATGTCTTGTCCGAGATGACCGAGCCTGTTCGTGCTCTTTATGAGCTCGTTGCTGGCAATAGCTTGTTCTGTGATGGCAAGACAGGCGGCGCGCTTGAGGATCGTGCTACTGCATTCCTTTTCACAGAACGATTCGACCTGGATTGGCTTCAGGCCTTCGGTCTTCGACTATGGTATGGCATTACCGAAGATGAGCCCCTTGAAGCAGCCGTTTCAAAGTTCCTCAAGGATCTCTCGACTGGACAAGAGCCTGCATTCCCTCGCCCGGCCCACGAGGCTCATATCAAAACATCTGTCCAGCCTGGGTCCGATACCCTTGGTCGTGAGTCTCCTCTCTGGGTACTTCTGAAAGTGTACGCGGCTTCAAAGGGCGAGACCTCAATTCCCGCCATCGAACTCCCCGCAGCTCTGCTCCCCGAGTCGCTGTCAGGGGATCTCTTGAGCAACCGTATCTCCTTCCAGCTCCACCATGTCCTCTCTGCTGTCGTGGGGCAAAGCGAGTCAATCAAAATCAACCAATACCAAGCCGATCGGCTTGTATCGGACTACGCTTCGGAACTCTTATCCGCTGGGGAGATCGCGTTGGGTCTGTCTGTCCTCCTTTATCTTTCTCAATCTGAGGAGCGCAAACGGTCTTTGCAAGAGACACTTGCTCGGTTCGGAGCCCATCTCCCTGCTCCCACGATCTCTGAAAGCGCCGAATCCGACCCTCTGTGGGTGTATTTCACGGAGCACTTACAGCTTCCTGAAGCCTGGATCTGGGTCGCCAAGGCGCTCCACGCCCGTGATACTGGCAATGCTACGCGTGAAGTAGACTACCTCATCCGTGGCAAGCATTGGAACGATGCCCACGCCACCTTCTGCCGCATCGTTGGACCTACGGCTATCATCTCTCGCGATTACGATACTCTCGAAAGACTCATTACCGGTTTCGGAGAGACTCCCGAGCGTAAAATGCGTGGCTGGGCTTCCGGGGGTGGTATCTATGAAGACTTCCTGCGCTTGGTCACTGCTACTCGCGGCCGGCGTGATCCAATTCGTCTAGCTCGCCTCGTCAACGCCCTCGTTGCTACCGGTGACAATGTCCGCAATCATTCCGGCGTGGAGGGTCTGGAAGAGCGAGTTGCTTTCAAAGAAATGAGTCGTGCGGTGGCTAGCTGGATCACCCACGAAGATGTCCACGTGAGTTCTGTCCCTACTACATAGCTTAGGCATATCAACTAACCTTTCTCCAGTCTATTCAGTCCTCAACCATCCTGCGTTTGCCTCTTACCGGGGATGCGCGCATTTTGCAAACTGTGGAGATGAGCCGCCGCTACTTCAGTGCCATTATGGCTGGTGGTTTTTAAGTTATGGATGCCAGCTCGATCTGATTTTTTTCCCATTTTGTTTCCCATTTCGCCTCACGTTATTTCTCTAAGCAAGAAGTCGTTTCCTATGTATTATCAACGTGAACATGTATTCTACTTTAACTGTGTTGAAACCAAAATTATTTGACCCCCTGAAGGCTTTTTCATTCGTAGCGTGATATCTACCATCCGTAGCCTGTAAGCCATCGTCGTAGCTAATTTCTCATTTTCAATGGTACGCGAGCATGTCTGCTAATCTTATGTGCGTGTCAAATGCCAGCAGATCGACCACTAGTACTCCGAGGTGTCGATATCTCACTGGTGGCAACATTCCGTTACTGTGGACTTGGGAAGGCTTGAACTATGCGAAGTTCCCCGAAGTACCGGCGATAGGTAATGCCTACCCTAGAGTGTGGAGATGTTTGACGACATAAATGCATCAATTTGCTACCGACTGTACATGAAAAAGGAAAACCTAGACGCGACAGGAAGGGGATAGAACAGGGTAAGGAAAAAGGAAATATAGAGACAACCCCTTCACAGGCTGGACATGGGATATTACCGGCAAGCAAAAGGGGTCTATGAGGATCTAGTCATAGAGAAGCCAACCTGTTCCTGTACGGGATTTTTGGAGCCAAGAAGGATGAGAGAGATGTGGGAGGTAGAAAGAGAAGAGGCTCAGGAAGGAAGGCTTTTACATGCCAGGAGAGATCAGCTTGCCCTCAGCACGGCTCTCAGGCTTCCAGCCACCAGCAAATGGGGCGGAGCCAAGCTCCTTCTCGTACTCGCGGATGCGAGCCTCCAGCTCGGGACGGAAATGGCGGATCAGTCCCTGGATGGGCCAGGCGAAAGCCTCACCTAGAGCGCAGATAGTGTGACCTTCAACCTGCTTGGTGAGCTCCTGGAGCATGTCGATCTCGCGCTCGCGGGCGTTACCGGTCTCCAGACGCTGCATCATCTTCATGGTCCAGGAACTGCCCTCGCGGCAAGGAGTGCACTGGCCACAAGACTCGTGCTTGTAGAAGCTGGAGAGACGGGAGATGGCACGGATGATGTCGGTTGACTTGTCCATGACGATGACGGCAGCTGTGCCCAGACCGGATTGGGAGTCCTTAAGAGCATCGAAATCCATGAGCTGGTCGTCACAGATAGCCTTGGGAAGAACAGGAGTGGATGAGCCACCGGGGATGACGGCAAGTAGATTGTCCCAGCCGCCGCGGACACCACCACAGTGCTTCTCGATCAGCTCACGCATAGAGATCGACATCTCTTCTTCGACAGTGACGGGGTTGTTGACGTGGCCGGAGATGCAGAAAAGCTTGGTACCGGCGTTACGCTCACGACCGAATGAGGAGAACCAGCTGGCTCCACGGCGGATGATGGTGGGGACGACGGCGACGGTCTCGACGTTGGTGACAGTGCTGGGGCAGCCGAAAACACCAACAGCAGCCGGGAACGGAGGCTTCAAGCGGGGTTTGCCGGCCTTACCCTCGAGAGACTCGATCAGCGAGGTCTCCTCACCACAGACGTAGGCACCCATTCCACGGTGCACGTAGACATCGAAATCGTATCCTGAACCGCAAGCGTTCTTTCCGATGTAGCCAGCCGCATAAGCCTCGTTGATAGCCTGTTGCAGAACAGTCGCTTCGTGATAGAATTCGCCACGGATGTAAATGTAGGCGGCATTGGCGTTCATGGCGCGACCCACAACCAAACAACCTTCAATGAGCTTCTGGGGATCCTTACGCATAATCTCACGGTCCTTGCAGGTTCCAGGCTCACCCTCATCGGCATTGATGACCAGGTAACGGGGTCGCGGGTCCTTGTCCCAGTCCTTGAAGTTCATGAAAGACTAAAAGAAGCATCATTATGCGTTAGAAAGACGTCGCGATGAGTCTCACCGGCTCGATTGCAGAGCGGGGCGTAGAAGGACTCAATTGGTAACATACGTATTTCAAGCCAGAAGGGAAACCGGCACCACCACGCCCACGAAGACCCGAAGCCTTAATTTCGGAAATAAGCTGTAGAAGAAGCATCAGCAAAGTCATTCGTCTACTCCGCCCAGTCCGGACTTTGGGGACGGCGAAACACCCACCCAGTCATCGCCCTTCAGAACAATATCCTTTGTCCGGTGCCAATCACCGTACTTCTCTGCCGACTTCAGATCCGCGCCATGGTGTCCGTAAAGATTGGTGAAGATGCGGTCTTGGTCACGCAGCCCGCCATGATGCCGCACGGGAGGAGTCTCTGAGACGGTCGCGAAGGAGCGGGCGGCCGCCCTTGGGTACGAAGGGAGCGGGTGGCGAGGGAGGAAAGGAAAGAGTTGGAGGGAGCCGCCGCTCTGGATATCATGATGACGGATTGGAGCAATGCGTGACAGCACAGGGTCAAGCGGTCATGGGAAGGGAAGGGGGAGAGCTTTGGTGGTCATTAGCAATTCCTGCATTTGCTGAACGATCCGCCTTTACATGCATCCTCATTGGCCAGATGTCATGTGATCTAGTTTAGTCATCGTATCCGGTTTAGCGCTGTCATGACGCGCTTTCCTGTTTAGGCGAATTTATATTGAGTACACCCAACAGCTTGACTAAATTATATGTAGGGTGTGCAACGTTGATTATTGGCCTGGGCGATGTTTCGTGGATCACCACTTGCCAGGCTGGGTGACTTAGGGCCTTCAACGAAAGCCACTGAATGGACACCTCATGTACCGCTTAACAATGGCTTTTGGTACTGCAGTCGATAGTTATTTATTTCATTCTACAATGTTATCACTCTCGCGGTACATATAAAGCTGCCTGCTTTGCCATTGCAGGGTCTTCCACAAATACCTGTAGGGGCTCGAGCGGGATCAGTACTCGCTCGGCATCCCCTACTGTACAAGCCCATTGCAGCCATTGCGCATCCATCCACTCGGTGCTCTCCGCCAACCATGTGACGCCACACGCGGCGGCTCCATGAATAAACCGCTCTTTGTTGGCAGAAAGTGCGTGAAGAAATTGTTGGCCTTGGCTCTCAGGTTGATCATTACTAGCATCCAGCGGGTACTCCGAAATGAGAAAGTCGACCCATCGAGTAAGTCGAGAAGACAGCATGGGTCGGGTCTGTTCCGAGCGAGCAGTAATAGCCACGAGGCTAATCGCAAGAGAGAACATGACTTGCGGATCTGTAGCCCAAGGCCCGCTGGCAATATGTTCCGCCCAGTATGTACCACAGGGACCCTGTAATTCGGCTGGAAGTAAAGCAAAAAGCTCCATTAATCGGAAGAGTTCCCCATTCTTCGGCACGAGAGATGGCCGTTCTAAGATACGAACGCGGATTTTGGAGAGAGTTTCGTCAGGAAAATAACCAGGAGGGATCTTTGACATATGCTCAGCCAGCAAGGCTTTGATGTCTTCCCAGCCCTCTCCCCGTCGATGTTCACGCGCACGAGCCAATGTCCAAGAAGTGATGACGAGGGCAGTCTTATCCAAAGTGCTTTGACCGTCACGGTAGATCTTGGCAAATGTTTGTTTGAGGTTCGCGGGTTGGTCTGGTAAGTCCTCTCCTGTGGAACGAAGCATGGCAATATGCGCAATTAACTCGAAGCTAACCTGGGCCAATGCAGCAAGTGTACTTCGGCCATTGCCATATTTATGCATAATAGAGATACCTGACTCATTGATATCCACATCTCGACGCTCACGATCATTGCCCTCCATGACAGTCAAGGCATTGAATAGTGCTGGAGAGATGATCGAATGTTCCATTGGCCCCTCCGGTGCCAGGAGAGGGTAAAACACGTTAAAGATATAGTAATGATCATCCGTGTTCTTAGTAGCTTCGGGGAACATCATTGCTTGACGGGCTTTTGCTTGACCTAATGGGCTGTCAGATTTGACGCCCAATTTGACGATGCGGTAATCGGTTGGATTGTTTGATATGCAGAACCCATAGTTCATTAATACTGCGCGTGCCATTAATATCGGTAACGGTGAATTGATTTCATTCTCAGTGTATACGCACGCTGCTCATTGTTTCGAGGGCCATAGTTGTTGGAAATCTCCTCGCCGGGAGAAATATCCTCTAACATGATCATTCCAATATCTTCTTCGCCTGCTCTCCACTCGACTTTTGCCAGAGGCCGGTGATTAGGAAGATCGATAAGTGGAAGAAGTACAGAAACGCCTTCCTCTGGAAGATCAGCCTGTTTTACTGCGCTAGACAGGACTTTTGCCGAGAAAGCCCGCGAAGTGATGATTGTCCAAGCCCAGAGATACAGATCCCTACAGATCCAAATTAGCACAAAATGGACCTCATGCCTCATGGGGCTGCATGTCAATCCTTCGCCAGCAGACCCAGATAAACTTACCAGGTATATTCCTCCAGCCCCTGGAATCCTGACTCCTCCAACCTCTCCATACAAAAATCAAACTTTTGGTCCCAAGTCTGGAATCTCTGAACCGAAGCATCTGGGATCCCAGTTCCTTGAATCCAATCTACATCCTCCTCTTCAAAAAACAAAGGCGTAGTCATTTGACCTGGTTGTGGCAGCGTCCTGAGATAAGGATACCAGAAACTGTCTTGTCCACGCAAGAACTGACCCATCAGGAAAAATGCGGTCGTTTCCTCGCGCCCAACAGCATCGATGAACGAGCTTGGCAGCTCAATCCCGTGCTTCGAGAAAGAACCCTTGGGTGAGCTATACCCGATCGCATTAAAATAGGACATTGTTACACCTAGCGGCGTGTTCACGACTCGGGTGTCCTTGCTAATGGGTGAGGGCCAATCGCGCTTCACTTGCATGTGGACGCCACGAGAGTCATCATGTGCGATGCACACGCTATCTGCGAGGAAGCCTCCATGGCTGATGACCCAATTTAGTAAATCTGTGTGGGCTTGTAGTCGATTTTCTGGGCTCCTGGGTGGGTTTTAGTATGCGGTTCCTTGAATTCGAATATGTACGTTATGTTTTCGAGAATGCTGAACGTGGTTCAAGTTCTTGCACTTACTCCGCTATTGAAGCCATAATCGTCAAATTTGTAAAAGTCAAGGGAGGCTTTCTTTTAGTTATTCGCTGGGGAGTACATGAATGACGAGACCTGGAGGAGCGATATCATCCGTGAAAGATTTGGTGGGAGGTAGGCGATCCCCGACCCACTTTTCCGCGCCTCAGTGGTTTGGCGCAATCCGCTGTACTTTATGTGCAGCCTTGAGACCTCACCAGTATACGATTTAACGAATAATAAAAAAGCATTTACTAGGGATCTTATATTGAAACTCGGATCTCAGTTCTTCTTCCCCGAATATCTTACAAGACAACCACCACCGGTAGGTAAGAACCGCAGGACTCACCCCGCCATATGCACGCAACAACCCGCAGATCGAAAAAAGCACAAAAAGCTCCATGCAAACTCGACATCATCAGAATGCAGTTTCCCCAAAGAGAATACTCCATGATGAATACTATGTACAGGTGCCGTGCTGTCTGTGAACAGCCCGGATGTAAACATCCCCAGATGGCAAAATATGGAAAGAAAGATAAAAGGACACCACAACCCATAAGATTCTTCCTGGTAAACCCACTCATATGCACTAAGATATAAGAAGTGCAAATAACCATAGGGTCAACGAGGGCAGGAGGCGAAGAGTAGTAGGCTCTGTTCTTAGTTGGAGGTAGACGATTTGCGACCTGGAACCAGAATTTCGACCAGGCCGTCATCTTCGCCATCACTGCTATCATTGTTCTCGTCATCAAAATGTGTGCCCAGGTCTCGCGAGCGGCGGAAGCCGGAGTATCGGTTTGGCCCTGTTAGGTTAGAGTAGCCCAACGATTCGTTGATTATTGCATCCTCCTCTTCATCGGACTCAATTGTGCCAGTTGCACTGGGCCCGACCATTTCGCCCATCTCATCCTCATCTTCCTCAAATTCTAGAGGCACTCGGACTCGCCGGCGAGTGGATTCTCCTTGACCTTCCCCGCCATCTGATGAACCGCTAGACATAGAGTCGGGTGGGCTAAATCCAGATTCGGGAAATGGGGAGAATGTTTGATCTCCGCCACCGGAAAAGTCTGTGTTTGGGAAAGCTGAGCTAGCGCCTTCTGTATCGTCATCAATACCAGCGATGACGAAGGGGTTGGTGGACCATTGGGTGTTATCGTGGTCTCCATCTTCCTCAGTACTCTCAGCAGCCTGTTGCTTCTGTGCGGCTAGGCGAGCAGCTAACTGACGTCTAGCTCTGGACGGACCGGTACTGAGAGGCGCGGGGGTGGAGGTAAGATAGGGATAGGTTGGCTGGCTGAATTGGCAGATACCTAGGTAAATTATGTTAGAAAGGATGGGACGGCTTCGGGGAACTGGTATAAAGACTGTGGGGAAGAACGACAGGGGGAAAAAAATAGGAAAGAACAGAAAAAGATATAAGGGCAGGACAAGACATAGACCGAGAGTGCTAAAGACTGGTTTGAAGAGAAATATGCCAAAAACAATTTCATGCAAACAGGGGCAGAGAGGGAATAGATCACGCAGTAATATTGTGCGGTTTTATCGACAGGGGTATACCCACCAAGTTATCGGATTCCCCCTGCTCAGCAAGACCAGTCTCCCGATCATCCTGATCTTCTAAATCTTCATCTTCGTCGTCGTCGCTTGAACTGGCAAACCCACTCAAAAGAGAAGTACCACCACCACCAAATGCTCCACCAGAGACACTTCCTTGGTTCAAGTCAAACCCTTGGAAAGTAGACCCGCCAATACCCCCGTTCAAACCAGCTTCAGCGAGCGCGTTGGAGCTGCTGAATCCCTGGCCTGAGCTAAGAGAGGTAGCTTGGCGAGAGCCAACAGACATATCAGGACGCACACCACCTAGAATGGCATTGTCACGCTCCCGGGTTTCGGACAGGGTCTGCTCAACGTAATCGATCCACTCTGGGTTCAAGACCGACTCCATGACAGACCGTGAAAGAAGCTCAGGAGGATGGCGTTCACTGAACTTGACGACTTCCTCAGCAACAAGAGTGAGGTGGCCCATGTATCCGAGACGGATTTGCTTCGTGCTCTGGGCCTCATCGCTGCGCTTTTGACCCTCAACAATCGCAGTGGTAATGTGTCCGACTTCGAACACATTGATTGCGAGAGCTCTATTGTAGCCTCGCTCCATCGGACCATTGAAGACTTGCTGCACGACGTCGTACACGACGTTGTGGAGGAAGTTGTTCCATGGAAAGCGGAAGAAAAAGTCTAGTATAGTAGGAACCACCTTGTTTTCGACGAACATGATCTTTAGGTAATCGCCGACAACCGGTCGCCCATCTGTGTCGTATTGGATATACTGCTCTGCAGGATCCTCTGCGCCTCCATCATTGGCGCGTTCCGTTTCCTGGGCAGTTTCAGTAGCAGGGGCGGCATCTTGGTGACTAGTTGGCTTATGAGAAGACTCCATGGGCCCCTCTTTGGTCACAGAGAGTGGGAGAGGCACGTCGTCCGCCTTAGGTGAGACCAGTAAACCACCCTTCTCATCCTGAGATGGTGACTGCCTGTCCTTCTCGAGTTGAATCTCACCTAGTTGTTCAATGATACCGGCGGTCGAAGGAGATTCGGACGAGGCGGGAATGTGCTGCGGAGAGGTGGTGGATGATGTTTCTGTTCGTGAGGCTTCTTGAGTTTGAGGAACTTCTTCCAACTCGGGACTGCTCCCTACTTCCTCGACGGTGGCAGTGGGTTCAACTGGAGCTGATGTAACAGCATTACCAGTTTCTTTTGCGGGTACAATATCGCCAGAGGCGGCAACATCTTCAAAGCCCTCCTCCTCACCCGCATGAGGCATGTGTGCACCCTTGATATCCTCCGGGGATCCTGAATCCAAAGCGGACCCATTTGCAAAGTCTGCCGTAGTATCATTGTAGTCAAGGCCAGAGTGGTCGTCCCGGTTGGGGCTAAAGAATCCTTCGCTGATCAACCGTTCACGCTCCTCATTGCGGTGCTGAATATACTCGTCACTGCCTGGTTCATTCAACAGGCCCATATTACTGCAATGCAAAAGCTCTGCCATCAATTCACAAGTCTTGAACCTATCAAATCCGAGGGGCTCAATTTTACCACCCCAGGCGGAGCTCAGACGGCCGCGGTCGACTGACTTGAGCTGGTTCCCATCATGAACGGCATGCTTGGAACTTTGGATCAAAGCCATGAAATTGGGAATATGTTTGGCAAACAATCGTAGAAGGTTACCAAGGTAGATCGGATCGTAAGGAGTAGGCATCGAATCAGGACCACCCAGGTGCTCTGGGTCATAGTCGGAGTTGTTTTTGCGAATGACTTCAATAACAATACCAACACCTACAGTCAATGGGTTTCCGCCCTTCAGCATTGCGTCAATGAGTTGCTGTATGCACTCTGGAGAAACCAGTTGACGAGTAAGGCTGTTTGGCCCAATGCAAGATTGGTCATTGGGAGTCGCGTTCGCGGATATGGTGATGATGGCCTTCAAGAAGTCACCGGCAGACGTCTGAACTGATCCAGGGTGGTCCGGAGACAGAAATGAGAGGAGCGTGGGAATGAGATTTTGCGATTGTAACCAGTCCACGGTGCCTTGGCCGCCCTCGGCCTTCTCCAAGCTAATGATCTTCAGCAGGAGGTCCATGACCATTGGGTTGTCGACATGCTGCAAAATAGCCCCAACAATTCCATCCATGTTTCTGAGAAGCTCTAGCATCTCCTCCGTTTTCTTATCCAGCAAAGTCTCGTTCACCTTGGTGAAGTAGCTGGCTTGCAAGGAATCCAGAGGCGGCGACCGTCTGAGAAAACCCCAGAAATCGCGGACGTGGGATGGATTCTCCATAAGAGTTTCGAGGATGGTCCAAGTCTCGGACGAGAGGATTTCACACGCCACATAGGCATGCTTCAAGCGAGTCTTCTCGACCTTATCCAGATCTTCCGGGTCCAAGACACTCTTCAAAGGGTCGGACTCCTTTTCTTTCTCATCCATGGCCTCATTGCCAGCACCTGCTTGCGCCGGGTCTGCTTTTTCACCTTTGGGCGCATCTTTCTCATGGTCGTCGTTGTCATCATTTTCTTCGTCGTCATTCACTAGGCTCGGTGCAATCACATAGTCCATAAGGCGTTTCAAGACATGGTCTTCGCGGAGGTATTCTATGAGTTTTGTATTATGCTGTTTCAGCTCCTGGATGACCTCCGGCTCATCTAGGAGTTCTTCGAGAGTAACATCGGGCTTGTCGAGAAGGGTATCAATGGTGGAGATACTCGCATATCCCCCAAAACGCCAGAACATGATGGAGTATATAGCCTAAGAACGATTCATGAGACGTTTCAAGTCGTGAGTCTCCGAAGGGTCGTAAACGGAGGGGTCTATGATACACGTATCGTGGGCGGGTCGGATCGGATAGCTGTCGCAGGACGATGTACCGATGCGTCCGTCAATGCACACCGAAGTCGTCGCAAGTGAGGGGTGGATGAGTTTTCAACCGGTCACACTGGAGGGGTTGGAACCGGAATCGGAAAGAAGAAGGATTATAGGATGAAGCGAGCCGGGCGCTTTAGAGCTGCAGTTAGCGATGAGTTTCAGAATGGTTGCATCAGTCATCCTAGCGATGGTGTGCCGCCGAGCGGGCTTGAGTTCACGGGATCGGGGTCCACGAGATGATGGCAGATCATGTGGAGACAGAAAGCAAAGGGCGAGAGCTTCGAATGGGAACTGGAACGAACCTCCGATACAAAGAGAGGACAGGAAATCTCAAATCTCCGTGAAGGTTGGACGGTAGCCAAGATGAAGAGAAGCAAGGTAGAGTAGAAGTGGTAAAGCAGAGCCTTCGGCACAGTCCATCCGAGGGGTAAGAGGTGGAAAGTGAAGGTTGGATGGAGAGAGGTCGGAGTGCAGGGGCGGGTTTAACACACAGAAGCCCACACACTTTTGTAGTAATCACCGCGCGCGGGGGATCGCAAGCCCGACCAAGAGATAAGGGATAAAGCCATTATGCTGCTCTGCGAACAGCGAGAGAGCCTGGATTTATTTCTCTGAATCTACGCTATCCTGTTCATTGTCTCCTCATATCTACAATGCGCATCCCTCAATGCGCTTGGCGCTGGTGAATGCGCCCTCGGAAAGATGTTCTTGAGAAATCCACGTTGGAGTTGGTCCCTGCAGAGTTGGGGCCGCTGACGACCTCGTGCGATGCGGGCCATGATGGGCATCGCCGATGGCGACTAAATTACGAGGGGCCTGTTTACCGTCCCAGTGGTTTAAAAGGTCCGCAATTTTCGAGTGAGAAAGTCTCGATCTTGAAGAACTAGAAGAAAGGAGTAAGGCGAGATCGTGGGGGGTCTAAGGATACTCGGGTCCCGCCCTATGCCCAATGTACCCAAAACCTCCACCTAACACGGTCCAGCATGGCTCGGCTAAGATCGCAGATCAGATAAGTGGTGGCTGGAATTAATAAATCGAAAAAAGAAACCCTCCTTATTCGCTATACGGGGTAGAATCCTCCTTTGGATGTTCTTATTTCAACCTTCTCCGGCTGGATTTCGTCGCCTGGTTTACCTCAGCATTCAGTGCCTCAGGCCACGTTCCACTGACGTTGGCATCTCCGCATTATCAAGTCCAGCTGATCGCTGCCTGTGACAAGGGCCGATCTCCAATAACATCCAAGTCTCGATTGATTCGAGCTGTTCAGGTCCTACGAGAATCGAGACATACCCGGTGACGCGTCTTCATATCGCAGAGCTCCATCCAGCTATTCTTCCTGCCCCTCTCTGCCCCTCCTTTCCTAGCCACCACAATGAATCGTCTATTTGGGACCAAAAGTGCGGCTCCAAAGCCAACGCTGGATGGCGCAATCAGCAAGGTATGACCGAAAATCGTGAAATGAAAACCAAATTAGAATTTCCTTGCTGATTCCTTGTTCCCAGGTCGACGACCGCGTCGCCAGTATCGATGTGAAACTCGCCGCGCTCAACTCCGAGCTATCAGCCTACCAAGCCAAGCTTGCCAAGATGCGAGACGGCCCCGGAAAGAACGCCTTGCGTCAAAAAGCCCTCAAGGTGCTACAGCGGCGTAAGCAGTACGAGGCCCAGCGCGACCAACTTTCGCACCAATCGTGGAACATGGAGCAAGCAGGCATGATGCAGGATAACTTGAAGAACGTGATGACAACCGTGGACGCAATGAAGACTACTACCAAAGAGCTGAAGAAACAGTACGGCAAAGTCAACATCGATAAGATCGAGCAAATGCAGGATGAAATGGCCGATTTGATGGAGGTTGGAAACGAGATTCAGGAAAGCATTTCGCGCGCCTACGATGTCCCCGAGGAGGTGGATGAGGCGGATTTGGATGCTGAGCTAGAGGCGCTTGGTGAAGAGTCCATGTTCGATACAGGTATAGGCGAGGATGCCATGCCAAGTTTCCTACAAGACGAAGTTGCACCACCACAATTTATCGATGAGCCACCTGAACAAACGAAGGTCAAGGAAGCTGCGGGTGGTCTTGGCTAGAAACTTCGTTTTTCTGCCTGCTCATTCATACTGGCTACAGGCTACGGAGTTGGTTCGAGTTTGGATTTTATACACCTCTACATGCCAGTATCGGCTACGAAAAGGCTTCTTTATGCGAGATCATAATGAATCATATGCAGCATCTTCTTTTGGAGTGAATTATGTACTGCTTTAATATGTAAAATAAAAGACGCTTGTCAATCTCACCATTGAGCATCTTAGAATATTGGCATGCGGGGTTCTCAATCAACTTGCCTTGCCCAATCCCACGAGGACAAGTAGAGCCACATTCATCACAGCCATCAGTAGCCATACTAAAACGGCAATGATCGAGACAAATATGTTGTTCCGCATAGAGACATGCTCCAATTGTACCTCGCCCTCGCTATCTCGCTCGACGGGAACTGACATGTACTTGGTGAAGCAAGTAAACCAGATAAGAGGAGCAGATACGAAAGGAAGAATGACGCTCAAGACGACTTGGCTGGCAGTTAGTGTTTTGTCCAGCCCCTCCTTGCCCACGGCGGCGGCAATGATGATACTGGGAATAATGCTGATAGATCTCGTAATCAGTCTTCGGAGCCAAGGCTTGATGGACCATCTCAACATCCCCTCGCTGACCATTTGTCCGGCCATGGTACACACAATCCCGGCAGAGAGGCCTGACAGCAGAAGCGCCAAGGCAAACACTAGTCCAGCGCCTGGTGAGATAGAAGATGACAGCAACTTATGAATACCAAAAAGGTCGGCCGAATCACCTCCGGGGACATTGTAGAGGGCGGCTCCGGCAACGATAAGAATTGCACTGTTGACGAAGAGCGCGAAGGTGAAAAGCGACAGTACTAGCTCGATGATGGAGTACTTCAGACAGCCGCGAATCGCATGAATAGATGGTCGATATTCGACTTCTCCGCCATTGCTTCCCAGCGGCACTGTAGATTCGACGTACCCTGTAGTGACATCGAAGTCCTTGAGGCGGGATTGTACCACTCCGCTGCCAAGGAAGAGGGAATGGGGCATGACAGTAGCGCCAAGAATGCCACAGCTTTGATAAAGTCTCCATCGGGTGTTAGCTAAGGATTCTGTGAAACGCTGCGGGGGGTTATGGTAGGCGCTTACCCTTCTGATTGAACGATAGCAGAGGATGGGAGATATCCGCGAAACACCTCTCCAACGGATTGATCTCGGATCAAGGACAGCTGAATGCAGAAGCAAATGACAACTGCAAGGACAAGGCCCATAACGAAGAACTCAAACAGGCGCAACCCCCACATGGATCCATTGGGACGCCAGAAGAGCAGCAGGAAGAAGACATCCACCAAAGTGATGGCACAGCCAGCGACTAAGGGGATATTCCCCAGTAAGTTCAATGCAATTGCCGATCCGATAACCTAGACGGAGCCATAAGCGCAATTCTAGAATCCGTTTGGGAGCGAAACATACCTCTGCGATATCGGTCGCAATGATAGCGGCTTCGGCGAAAAAGTAGAGTATATAAACTATCCAACGAGGGAGATGCTCACGACAATTTTCTGCCAGATTGAGACCCGTGACGGAACCTAGCTTAATGCAAAGCGACTGCAGCAGAATTGCAAAAAGATTGGATAGAAGTACTATAAAAAGCAATGCATATTTGAAATCAGCACCGGCGGCAACGTCGGTGGCATAGTTGCCCGGGTCGATGTAGGCGACTGCAATGAGAAACCCAGGACCAACGAAGCGACCGAATTTGATTAACACATGCACAAGCTGTGTCATATTATCAGAAATGACAGTTTTGAAAGGACGGCGAGGTGACCCGCTGGCTCTCGGGGTGGTTCATCCCCGAAGCCAGCAGCGGTCACTTCGCCGTCCGGGGACTTCTCGTCCCCAGATTCCGATTCTGGCAGACTTGGGGGTCTGGGTTCGACAGATATAGTGTCGCTCCCTATTGCATTCCCAGCACCAGGCGTCTTGCGATGTGTCCGGGAGTTAGCCATGCCGTTGAAGTCGTTACAGGTGGTTATATCTGGACTGAACGGTGGTGGGTTCTGGTTCCACGCCGGGTTCTTAAGGGTGTCATCTGTCCGCGAGGGGCAATTCATGTTGGGCAGAGGTCAGCTTCGCTGAGGGCGTCGAATAGAGTCAGAGATGCTTGTTGGACCAGGATGCGGCAGGCTTTTCTTCCTCGGATGCTATGCAAGGACCCTGTGCGTGGTTGTCCGGAACCGCCCGAGGTCGATCGTGCAGAATATGATGGAATTAAAGAACGTTTGCCTAGGGCGGGTCTTCGTCCAAACCTATCCAATTGCTCACCGCATACGCTTTGCAAGCAAGGAGAAGGCCAAGAAATTCTGGCCCACCGAAATTCTGAGCAAATTTGTGATCCAATGCGCCTTCAACTCTCGTGGGCGTTGGATGAGAGATCGCGGGGATACAATCGAAAACGGCAGCCCTGGAAGTGGGAGGTTCCGGTTATGGTAGATCATAGTTACGCCCGCGTTCCAATGCAAATGTGGAGGTTTCAAGGCCCTCTTCATTTCTCGATAACACTGCGCCCTACATCTGGGGTAGGACAACAGTGCTGTCAGAGCGAGGTTGACGCATTCTGGACGCGCGAGCGCCCTTTTCAAAGAAAGGTTTATCCCAGCGCCAACATCGGTCAAAGAGTCTGGTGGATGTGGCTATGCTGGTATTAGGGCCACCACGAGAATGATGTCAAGTATAAAGAGTCCAGACTCATGAGATTGAGCATAAGCCCGGTGCGACGTGTTCACACTGATTATGGGGATCCTTAGCCAGAAAGCTGGATCCCGCGTCGTCATTCCGAAAGGGTGTCTGACGTTTTTCAAGAGTCGTCCACGCAGGCTCGGGGATATACATGATATCATCTCACTCAAGCGAAAGCAGATAGCGTATTTACCCGAGGCCCATGTACTGGGATGACGAGTGCCAGTTACTGTATAATCCACAAAATTAAGAATAAGCTAAGTATACACTACTAGGGAGTGCGTCAGGAGGCATCGGAAGTATACGCGACCGGATATAGATTAGCCGGCAGATCTGCAGTCGACAGTTGACTTGCCATCAACAATAACAAGGCCTAACAAAGATAAACAAAAGCCCCAGAATCGAAGATCTGGACAACGGCTCAGGTGATAGGAAATAGAAAACTTGAAAGGGCCATCTGCAAGATGACCTGTCTATGCGCGCATGAGGCGCGATCATGCACTGACCGCCATTGCCCCCAAATGGCAGCGTTGCCGGCGCAACCTCCTCCACCGCACGTTGTTTACTCCTCCACCCTGTCATCCAGCCAACCCCAGGGATCGCCTTGCTGCGCTAGCTGTCCCAGCCCAAGGCAAGAGTGGAAATTGGATCCTCAATGTTGCCGTGGAAAGACACTCAAAATCCCCGGTCTCCCATTGTTTTGCCCTGGCCAGCTCTTCTCCCTGCATTGCGTTTGTTCTCGTCTTTTTGCATTGCGATTCTCTTCTCTTCTTAGGCAGCTTCAAGAGGCTTGCCTGTGCTTCTTTTGTTCTTTTCTGATTCAGTTGCGTTGAAACATCCCGTGAGTCAATGCTGTCTTTACCCATGCCCTCGACAATGTTCAAACATTAACTAATAATTGCCTGTAGTTGCTGGTCAACGGTGATAGCAATGGCCTCGACTTCCGGTCCTCAAATTTTCGACGATGCTGCTCGTCCCCCCACCAAAACGTCTGTGTTCAAAGCCATGATTTCGTCCAAGCATCGTCGAAATCAGTCAGTTGACGATGCCGCACCCCGCCAGCTTCCACCCCAACTCCCTCAGATCCAACCCAGCGGCCCGGTCGCTTTCCCCTGGACGGAAACGCCTTCGCCAGCATCTGGCCATCTCCCATTAGCTGAGATTGTACCAAACCGTGGCTCCGGAGAGAACTATACAAAGCTGTCCCAGACGGGCAATGAGAACAAGGCTGTCTTGCATAAGAAGACTAAAAGCGCCGTTTCACTCAAGTCACTTCGAAACTACATGGAAAAGAAAGAGAACAAGACGGAGGATCCCACAAAGGAAAACTCGCCCGATTTGACTCCGAAGAAGGCTAAATCCGCCAACAGTCTTTCGGCTATCCTCAAACGCTCCCAGCGAGACCGCAAGGATGGCTCGAAGGAAGGGCGCGATAAGGAAAATCGAAGTCCATCCGACCTTGCCGATAGTATGCCATCTCCGGCTTGGGCCCAGGACCACAATGCTCCTCTCCAGCAGTCATCCAATGGCTCCAGGCAAAACTCAACCTCGACGGCCGACCGGCGCCGAAGCGTTGCTGAGGAAGTTTCGCTTTATACCCCGAGAGGATATAGCCCCGCTCAGCAACGGAATTTTTACGATTACCATCAGCCTTCTCTAGCAAAACCTGGAGAAGGAAAGTCCAGGCCCAAGTCAGAATCCTTAGTGAGCAATAAGAAGTTGAAGGAGCTTGCGACACCTACGCTACGCACGCCAGTGGTGAATAGCAACGCAATTGAAAAAGTGGACAGCACTTCTTCCAGAACTCAACGGTTTGAAGCGCCCCGGAGAAATTCCGGCCAGAGCGTTCCTTTGTCTGCGCCCTTAGAAAAGCAGAGAGACAAAGAACCTGGCAAAAGGCTCTCGCGGGTTCAGGCGGCTATTTCTGCTTTCAATGCCAAGGATAAGGAGGTCGACGTGCAGAGGCACCTCGACTCGAAGAATGTCGAGAGTGAATTTGAAAAGCTTTTGGTGAGGCTCTTTGGGAGCATCCCTACAACCCGAAGGAAGCTCTAACAGAAATGCAGGATGCAAGAAACATCCCCCACAATATGAGAGACCGAATGCGTTCCCTCGATACTAATATCAAAGTCGACTTCATTCAAAAGTCAGAGATTGTGACACCCCATAGCGCGGGAACATCTGACAGTCGTCGGGGCCGTGGAAAGGAGTCAAAAGACGACCAGAAATCGCAGGACCGTAAGGGCTCTCGCTCACGCTCTCGAAGTCGCGGCTTCACCTTTGGCCGTGGTTCCTCTTCCTCTAACAAGAAGACGCGTTCAGAAAGCAGAGGATCTAGCCGTCCTCGGTCTATTGACTTGTCGCAGCCTGTTGGTGTATACACCACTCTCCATCCAGGTGGCTCAACTTTGTCTGTAGGCGAGCCCACGGCTGTGGATACTGCTGCGGACCCGTCCGATTTTGTTCACTACCTGCGAGAAATTCAGAAACCAGAAATGGTAGAAGTGGGCAAAATTCACAAGTTGCGTCTGTTGCTGCGGAATGAGACAGTTGGCTGGGTGGACGATTTCATCGCTGAGGGTGGGATGAATGAGATTGTTCAACTGATATATCGTATCATGAAGATGGAGTGGAGGTAAGAAACAATGGCAGCGGTTTCTTCATGATGTAACTGACAATCTGTCCAGGGAGGATCACGAGGATACCCTCCTTCATGAAGCTTTGCTCTGCCTGAAAGGTCTTTGCACTACTTCGAAGGCCATGGCTCAGCTCACTCGCATGGAAGGAGAGCTTTTCCCTGCTCTGCTTAAGATGTTGTTTGATGAGGAGAAGAAAGGGCCCAGCGAATTCACCACGCGCGGTATCATTATTAACCTCTTATTTACCCAGCTCGCTGCTGTCGCACCTGAGGATCCACCCTCGACGCGAGCCGAGAGAATTCTGTCTTACCTCCGGGATCCTTCACCAGACGACGAGAACCAGCCCGTCTCGTTCATTGCTGAAATCTATCAAGCTCGCCCTTATCGTGTCTGGTGCAAGGAAGTTACTAATACGACGAAAGAGGTGTTCTGGATCTTTCTTCACCACCTGAACGTTATTCCCCTCCCGAAGGTTGATCAAGCAAATCCTGAAGATCCTTTCACAGGAAGACCTTTGCCGAGTCCTCGAACCTTCAGCGAGCGCCACTTCCCTGCTCCTCGTCCTCCCGTCCCAGCTGCTCCGTACGTGGGCGGGGTTGAATGGGATGCTACCAACTACCTCGCGGCCCACCTTGACTTAATGAATGCAATCATTGCTTCTCTGCCTACTGTTGATGCTCGTAACCGCCTACGTGGGGAACTCCGAGCGTCCGGATTCGAAAAAGTGATGGGTGGCAGCTTGCGCACCTGCAAAGAGAAGTTCTACTCAGCCGTCCATGAGTGTCTCCGCACATGGGTTGCCGCTGCCGTCGAGGATGGTTGGGCATACAACCTTGTCCGTGAAGGGCCTCCCCGTCCTGGTGAGCCCGGGTCCCCCATCAAGTCACCTAAGAAGGTTCCTGGCAGCCCGAAGAAGGGGCTGGTAGACGACAAACCCCCCCAAGCTGGAACTGGCACTCAATTTCCCAGAGAGCTGTTCTCCTCCCAGCGCTGCTGCTGCTTCAAGTGACATGCGTGGCTGGATTTAAATCAGCTCAGGGCTACTTTGCCTTGACTTGATTTTTTATGAATTTTCTTTCTTCATATGTTTTCTCTCTTCATTTTTCTGTCCAAAGTCTGCTTCCACTCATCATGACCTGGCGTTTACGGCTTTGAATTATGTGTTTTCTTCTTGTTCCCTTTTTCCGTTTCTGTCCGGTTTGAAGTCCTACCAACGGACTGCACCCCTTTTGGTCCTATTGAAACCGGTTCTGTCGGAGTTCCTTTTCCGTTTCCACCTTTCGTTGGAGTTGGCATTTGCGGTGTTGTTGACATTTACGTTTCTATGTCCAGATGAATTCCTGGTTAACACGATGTGATGATGACGAGTTGAGAATCGGGGTTCCGGTGGACAAGCGACTGTCCTTGAAGCCACCTTGATATTTCACTTGGTTTGTTCATGTAGATCAATGACAGATACGAGAACTGAATGATAAGTCATTGAACTAGTCTATATTCTAGCCAAATATAGAACTTCAATCGCAGAATCCTATTTGTGAAATTCCGCCCTTTACACCCCGGTTGCGTCGAGTCGCGATAGAATGACTCGATTACCTCTGAGTCCATTTCTCCGTCCAACCAGAGTGCTCCGACGTGGAATGGAGCTGGACCCTTCCATGCTGAGTCGTCTCTGTGAACTCTGTCACACAAGCCAAGTAGGGCTACATCCACATCCTCAAAGCATGCTCCAGTATCCCCATCTCCACTATCAAGACCACTGTACGACGCGAAAGAAGTGTCAACAATGCATCTCGAACCAGAAGTGAACGGCCTCGAAACACTTGAGCAGTGGAGCCTTCTGAGGACAATCCTGGTCAGATATAGGAACTCACGATTCCTCGATATCGATATCTTAAATCCGATATCTGCTTCATGAAAGACTATACATGACTGGGGCTTTGCATAGTAATCCATAACAGAGCAGGGGATACTATTTCCCAACCAGGATCTCTCCAACTTAAATACACCCGCGTAGGATTTACCACAAACAACCCATGATCAAAGGGTCCCCGGTGGTCAAACTTAGGCTGAGGATATACGACGGAGCGGGGCGGACTCAGCCTCCGAGTCCTTACTGAAAGAAGGGCACGATGCAAGGACAATATAATGTACATTAATCTAATACACGCCCAATATATCTGGAGGTACAGGAGAGGAGTCTGTTTTTATCCCTCAAGTCCGTATTCCTTTACTCTTTTTCATCCGACCGCTTCGCTGGACCGGGAGGCGGGGGCGAGGAGAGATACTGCCCTTACACTCGAGAAAACACTCTCACGGATCTAGAAAACATACATCAGCATAAGGTAACAACGCAGGAGATATCAGAGAGGGGCTCACCCCGTCGAACGGCGTATCCTTGGTATCCCATTCCATGAAAAGCACAGCGTAGATACCAACAACTATAAGCCATGAATTAGCAACCCGAGCCCTTCACACCTATTATGCTAGGAGAATCTTTTCCTCCAGAGGACTCACATCCAATGATGATCCATTGAGCTAGGGTTACCATCTTAATGAAGTTCGGACGCGCATATTTGAGCGCCGCGCGCCGGCGGTACTTCCGCTCCAGACGGAACTGGTGCTTTTGCGAGAGCTTTGACATATCCGGCGGCCATTTTCGTTTGGGCTGGTATTGGCTGTAGGGGTCGTCTTCGGGGTAGGGGTATGGATGCTTTTCAGAGGAGAGGCGAAATGGAGAGGACCTTTGGATCGCGGAGGGTGTGAAGCAGGCGGGAGAGGTCTGGGAGAAGGCGCGAGTGGTAGGAGATGTAGGATTTTGCTTCTAGAGCATTCGTTAGTTGATCTTCGCTGCAGGATACGTTGGCGAGTGGGCGGTACAGAGAGGAGACATGGCTGTCGAGCGATTGGAGCCTTGAATGATGCGCCCGGGATCGGAAGAGCGCGCTGCACCGGGGCGCCTGCGAATAATTGGCGGAACATCAGAAGGGATGTATTGTGTGTCGAGGGGATGGTGGCGAAGAGCGCGATAGCCACTGGCGGTCGTCAGAGTGCAGGAGGCTGCGGCTTTGGAGAATTTGAGGTGTCGGGATCCACCTCTCCGCAAACCCCCCGAACTATATACTCCGTGGACCTTGCTCTTGTCGGTTGAAGATCCTCGCAGTCTTCTTACCCTATTACGAGCATAAAATACGAGCACTGCTACTAATAATCCTCGTGAACGTGGGGAGGCTTGTCATTACAGCCGGTGAATCCAGAGTAAGGATTGAGAGTAACGTATACATCTAACTCTCATCCGCTCCGAGACTAACAAGTCAAGATTCGTTGGAATCGTGCTAGTGATACAAAGTGCTAATTTATGTTCTCCATGAATAGCTCTTCCAATCATCCCATCTCGTTTATGGTCTCTCATAGGAAGTTTCTTTCTTAGTCCACAATAATTTGACACGATTACTGAGTAATTTATCGATATAGATATATACGCGAAATGCCAATACACCATCTGCCAAATTGGCTTCGCTAGCAACCTTAGTGGGCCAAGGCAATACCACTTCAGCTTTTGAGCAGCCTCAGGAGATTGGTCTCGGCAAGCGTTTGTGATACCAACGTTCTCTGGGTACTGTCAACGAAACCAGTTCAATGTGGTAGACTGAAGTGCCAGTCACTGTTCCAGAGAACTTCGTCTCCAGGAATACTCGGAACAATCGGCCCAAAAACCTGTGCAGCCACTGCCAACGCAACCCTAACCGGGACAAGAAGCAACGCACATTGTACAAGTGTGAAGGAGGCCTTGCCATCCAAGTCGAAGCATAAGTGACCAGACTGGCAAGGTACATGCTACCAGGACCTTGTCCACACTCATTATCAGGATATGGGCTCAAGGTAATTTGATTCATAGAAATTTTGTCCTTGCAGCCACCACAGCGCCAACTTTGTTGTCGAAGTCCAATGGTATTATCAAGTACTCTGAAAGGACTACCAATTCCGAGCATGATGTACCATAGACAAGAAGCATCATGGAAGTATTGACCAACACTCACAAATGATGCAGCATAAGGCCAATATTTAGCAAAGATGAGAAGTTCAACTTTATGAATGAAGCCGTGCGAAGTCAGGTATAGCCAAAAATCTGAAGCCATACATTAAAATCATCAACCTCGAAAGTACTAGTTACAGCACAACCTTGGAAACTATCCCATGGAAGTGCACCAGCCAAACTGTGAGAAGTTCAACCATCCGTCCAGTATAGAACAGCAAAATTCCTACGATGATCTCCACCATGATGATGGTGTCGGGGATTCGACTGGATGACTCGGAGTCTTTCTGTCTTGGCTGCCGTTCCTATTTTCGAGGCCGGTAGTCAATAACACCAGCTGCTTCCCAGCAGCGTGCAAAACCGACGGTGTTTCACGAACGATATCATACCGATTCATCACACGGCCTAGTTATCGGAGGGTCTCTCTTTCCGATTGTCTTCTGAGCCATTCAGAACTTAGAGAAATATGTGGTCGGTCATATTGTTCGACCGGCTGGATATGTGGGGCGACAAGGCTGTCCCAAAAAGGGAATTATTGTCAGCTTCTCGGCGTGCCCGCGTTTCGAACCTCAAGACATCCGAAACAGGAAATTAATGTCAGTCGTATTACAGTAGATTGTAGATTGTAGTTTGGACATATCTATTAATTTAGTAGGTGCTCGGGTATAAATCAATCGACTCCTCCGGGCCACTCTTCAGAGATATCATCAAATCAAGAGCTCCAGCTTGTTAGACTATCAAAATCTCCTACAATGTCTCGATACGCCAGCGCTCATGCGAACCCCAAGGGCCCTGGAGATGCACGACCAACTGCTCTTCAGATCATCCAGGATGAATCCATGGAAGGCAAGCTCGCCGGCAAAGTCGTGGTGATAACAGGTGGAAACTCCGGCATTGGTCTCGAAACGGTTCGAGCGCTTGCGGCTACTGGAGCTTTTATCTACGTGACCACCCGGGATGTTCCCAGAGCAAAAGCTTCCCTGGGAGACATATATCAGCCCAAGCAGGTAAAGCTTGTCCATATGGACCAATCATCCCTGGCAAGCGTCCGCGAAGCAGCAAAGTCCATTCTGAGGGAAGTGAACAAGATCAGCATTCTAATCAATAACGCCGGAATCATGGATGTCCCGGAGCTCCGGCACTCCAGAGATGGATATGAGTTGCAGTTCGCGACCAACCATCTCGCCCACTTCTTGCTGTTCCAGCTCCTGAAGCCTGCTCTCCTTGCTGCCAGCACACCGGAGTTTCAATCGCGCGTGGTGATGGTGTCATCTTCGGGACACCGTACACGTGGTATCAATGCTTCAGATGACTACCATTATCAGAAGGGCGGCTATGATCCTCAGTTGGCATATGCGCAGTCCAAAACTGCAAATGTCTATCTCGCCAACGAGATCGAGCGCCGCTATGGTTCACAAGGGCTGCACGCAACTAGCGTCCATCCCGGCATCGTCAAGACGAACATCGCCAGGTTTTGGCCGGATGAGAAGATCCAAGGCCTGATGCAAATCCCACAGGTGCTAAGTTATGCGAAGAGCCCGGAGCAAGGTGCTGCGACCACTGTCTGGGCTGCTGTTGGTCACGAATGGGAGGGTCGAGGAGGTCGATACCTGGCCGAGTGTGCAGAAACCGAGAAGGGCCCCGAAGCAGGAGATATGGGTGTCCCTCCGAATTTGTATGTGAGCCATACATACAAGCCCGATGATGAGGCTAGACTCTGGCGGGATTCGTTGGAAATGGTAGGCTTGCCAAAGGAGGAATAACTGAAATTTAGTAAGGTCTCATAGTTCAATACTGTATGTACATTTTTCTGTACTGTTGAACATCAGACCATTCTAGCAACCGAACACTGCATTCTTTCTGTTGAATAGTAACTCTGCATGGTTACTGGGAAAGCTCCATAGTTGCCGTAAGGACCTAGGTTCCCTCGGGCCCACATGAAAGACAACGAGCAGCGACGTCAGCACTTTCACATGCGCCCCATCGCACGTGACAGACATTTTGATTGATCTGGGGGAGGCCCCGGATATGGAAAAGCAATAGTCCGATGGACCTCGGCATTTTTGGCCTCGCATTAGCAGCGGCAAGCTTGCAACAACGGTAATACTACCGAACTCCACGGGGTTGGATTTATAAAAGAGTGCCCCATCTTTCCTGGTGAACTTCCCCTGTTTCTATCCCGCATTTCAGTCCTTTTTGGTATCTTCACACACCTTTTACCTTCATACCGTTTAATCTTTATACACGCTTGACGTCATGTCTTCAGGTTAGTTTTCGATCCCACCAGACTGTTCACACATGAGAACGTCATCTCGGACCAGTATACTGATTACCGAATGTTCGAAATTTTAGCCCAACAGCGTTTGTCCCAGGTCTCTTCCCACTTCAGTGGAAAGAAGGGCGCCGCGGGTATCACCGAAAAGCACCCCGACGATATCGTCGTCACATGTGCCCTGCGCACTGCCTTGACCAAGGGTGGCAAGGGTGCATTCAAGGACACAGCCGCCGCAGATCTTCTGGCTGGTGTCTTCAAGGCTGTGATCAACAAGAGCGGTATCGACCCAGCTCTTGTCGAGGATGTTGCGGTGGGCTCAGTTCTCCCTCCTGGTGGCGGTGCCACTGAATTCCGTGCTGCCGCTCTCGTTGCTGGATTCCCCGAGACAACCGCTGTTAAGAGTCTGAACCGTCAATGCTCCAGTGGTCTTCAGGCAATCGTTGATATTGCCAACGCTCTGAAGGCCGGCACCATCGACGTCGGTATCGGTGCTGGTGTTGAGAGCATGACCTCCCAGTACGGGTAAGTACCTACTCCCTTGGACAGCCGAAAAAACCATATGAGGCTGACATTTATTTCCCATAAAAATAGTCCCGGAGCTGTTACCGAGTTCTCCGAGCTCCTCGAGAGCCACCCCGAAGCCGCCAACTGCAAGGTTCCCATGGGTGTCCTGTCAGAGGACATGGCCAAGGCCCGCAACGTCACTCGTGCCGCCCAGGACGCTTTCGCCGCATCATCATACCAGAAGGCCGAGGCCGCCCAAAAGGCCGGTCTTTTCAACGAGGAGATTGCTCCTCTCGAGGTCAAGTGGACCGACCCCAAGTCTGGCGAGGAGAAGACCATCACTGTCAAGGCTGATGATGGTGTCCGGCCCGGCATGACCGTCGAGTCCCTGGCCAAGATCCGTCCCGCCTTCGCCAAGGATGGCTCCATCCACGCTGGTAACGCTTCCCAGATCTCCGACGGCGCTGCCGCCGTTCTGCTCATGAAGCGCTCTACTGCTGAGCGTCTGGGTCAGAAGATCATCGGCAAGTACGTTGCTGCTAGTGTTGTCGGTGTTAAGCCCCTGCTCATGGGTATTGGCCCATGGAAGGCTATCCCTGTTGCTCTGGAGAAGGCCGGTATTACCAAGGAGGACGTTGATATCTACGAGATCAACGAGGCTTTCGCCTCCCAGTGTGTGTGGTGTATTAACGAGCTTGGTTTGCCTGCTGAGAAGATTAACCCCAAGGGTGGTGCTATCGCCTTCGGACACCCGCTTGGCTGCACCGGTTCTCGCCAGGTCAGCACACTTCTGACTGAGCTCAAGCGCACCAACAAGAAGGTCGGTGTCACCAGCATGTGTGTCGGTACCGGTATGGGTATGGCTGCTGTCTGGGTTGCCGAGTAAAAGAGGACTCGATGATCTTTCATTATGCTATTTGCACAGCGGCTTATCTTCCATTTATCTATATCCAAAGATTTCTTTCATGTATTAAATACCTGGATACCACGAGAGAATGAATTTTCATATTTATTGTTTATCTGAAATCCGTATACCCTGGCTATCTCGGGTTTCTGAGCTTGATGGACAGATATTATACTGGGCCTCGGGCCGTCTATGATCGAAATGTCTTAAATGCCTCAGTCACAGTCATGCCCTGGCTTACGGCTTCCTTGGCCTTATCATCCATGCTGATTAGTTTCGGAATAGTCTCCAGAACTGCACTTAGCAGGTCCCGTGGAATAGCAACTACTCCTTCCAGTGGGTCACAGAAAATGATGTCACCCTAAGAGAAGTTAACAGTAAGCCTGACGGTCAGATGCAAGCAAGATGTGTAAATACGTACTGGAGAGACGGTTATCCCTGCGACAGAAATTGGCACATTTCGTGCACCAGCTTGAGCCTCTGCGCCGGTGCCAACCGTCGAAGTAGACCGAGCCCAAATCTATGATTCATAAGTCAGACCACGAAATAGATCCTGGCGTTTTTCTTTCTCGAAACTCACAGGAAGCCCCGTTGCTTGCAACTCGCGCACGTCCCGCACCCGGCCACTCACAACAGTGGCTTTTATACCCAAGACCTTCATGCGCGCGGCCATGATCCCGCCTGTAACAGCACAGTGCTGCTCGCTGGGTTGTTCGATGACAACAATTGAGCCGGCATTAGATGGATCTTCGGCGGCATAGTCACCGGTGTAGTCTACCCAGTGTTTGCCGGGTGGAAACCCATGCCTCTCAGGGTTCTCGGCGGCGATGGCTGGCGGATTATCGCCTTTGTTCAAGAACTTAAATGTCGTTGCAGGAGCAGCAACCTTGCCTGTTGCGTCGTTTCTTCCGAGTATCGGGGAAATTGGAACTGTCTCTGTTAATTGCCGTGTCTTTAAGGAGAATGTGTTCTCGAGGCCAGATCAAGAGAATAAGATGTTATGCATGTAGAGAATATATGAAGCGGGTTCTTACGAATATCAGCTAGGAATCCAGCACGAGGGGAGTACCTTTCGGTACTTTCTGGAGTTTAAGTAGTGCATCAGATACCTAAGCGAAGAGCACGTTATTACGAACATTCATCAAATGTTTGATTGAGCGTAGGGGTATAATTTTGGTGCTTGACCAAAGACCACATACATCACAAGCTGTGTAGTTGTCAACTAAAGTCGCGAGTTGTTCATTCAGAGACGCCATTGCGGGGATGGTAAGATGGTACGGAGGAAGGGAATCTGCAGTGTAGGAAAGCCAGCCGCGTGGAATGTGACAATGTGGTCTTCTTGGAAGGTGGGAAGTTGTCAAGATGGGAAACCTATAATTGATCCCAACTCAAGAGTTGCTTCTTGTTCTGCCGACCGTTCAAAGCACAACCCAAGGACTACCGGATATCGGAGTCATGGGCCCACTGGCACCCGAGGGTATCCCCGGTCGGTCCAAATCCGATAATTTCCGTGACTTGGGAATCTCTCCCTTGGAATACCAGTCGCGCTCATATTGAACAACTTCAGAATTTGTATGCAGGCCGTGCCTGATAGAGATAGATGTAGGTACCACCTCCGTCGTGTCTCTATGCTTGAGAGCATTTCTCAATTCCCTGCTTTCCCCTTCAATGCAGCAGTAACTTCGAAATTTCCAAAAGATCATTGAAGACAGTCTTGGAAGTAGTGTCCATCAACATACTGCGTAGTGAGAGTAGCATATGTACCTCCCATAGTAACCAGTCCTGCGACCTGGATGGCGTGAAAGCTGGCCTCACGAGTTTGTTTCTGTGCCCAATTTTGATTTCACCATTCTAGCATATTATTTTGCGTGTATACTGAGAATTCAACGACGCTATTAGGCCGTGAAGACTTCTGTTCCAATCGGCACACGCAATTCCCTCCCTAGAAGAACGAGGCAATCGCTGATAAGGGCGCCAGCAGAAAGTCTCACCGCCTTTAGAAAAAACCATCCGAATCTCACCGCCCGTTAAAATTTCCCAAATCAAGCAGACCAAGATCTTTCAGCATCCAGTTTCAGCAGCACACCAGCCATGAAGCGAAAATTGGATGAAAATGATGTTCCGTCTCCGGAGCCTGCGGGTACTGAGGAACAGGGCCTTGACTTCGAAGCCCTTGGTCTTGACCCGCGTCTTCGTCAGGCCCTGATTCAAGAAAAGTTCTCCAAGCCCACTCTTGTTCAAGAAAAAGCCATTCCGTTGGCCCTCGAAGGAAAGGATATTATGGGTATGCTATTTGCTCTACATCTTCAGCTACCGCATACAAGTGCTAATAACAAATAGCCCGTGCAAAGACTGGTTCTGGAAAAACTGCCGCCTATGTTCTTCCCGTCCTCCAGGCTATCTTGCAGCGAAAATCCGTTCGTAACCCAGTTCATTGCGGTAAATATTGAACCATACTAACCGCACGGTTTCAGATTGATCCTTCGCTCAAAGCAACTACTGGTCTCATCCTCGTCCCGACTCGCGAATTGGCTGAGCAAGTGCAAAAAGTCGTCACATCTTTCACTGCCTTCTGTGGAAAGGATATCCGATCGATCAACCTGGCGCAGAAAGTGTCGGATGCTGTGCAGCGAAACTTGCTTGCCGATTTCCCCGATTTAATCATCTCCACGCCCACTCGCGTCCTGGCCAACGTCAACAACTCCGCTCTGTCGCTTGAGAAGCTAACCCACCTTGTGATCGACGAAGCTGATTTGGTCCTGTCTTACGGATACGACGAAGATATCAACGCGTTGTCGAAGGCTATTCCTCGGGGCGTGCAGACTTTCCTTATGAGTGCCACGCTGACCTCGGAAGTGGACACTCTGAAGAGCCTGTTCTGCCGCAGTCCGGTCATTCTCAAGCTGGAAGACAAGGAGGAGAAGGGTGCCGGCGTCAGCCAGTTTGTCGTCAAGTAAGTATCCTCCGACGAACCGTCAAATTCTATGTCTCATACAATTCATTAGGTGCGCCGAAGATGAGAAGTTCCTCCTCACGTACGTCATTTTCAAACTACAATTGGTCAAGGGCAAGGTCATCATCTTCGTCCACGACGTGGATCGCTGTTATCGTGTGAAGCTTTTCCTGGAGCAGTTTGGAATCAAGAGCTGTGTTCTCAATTCGGAGCTACCCATCAATTCCCGGGTACACGTTGTGGAGGAGTTCAACAAGGGCGTTTATGACATTATTATTGCAGCAGACGACACCGAGGCAATTGGAGGACCGAAATCCAGCAAGAAGTCCCACGAGGCCAACAAGACCGAGGAAGGGGACGCTCAGGAAAAAGAAGAGATCGGAAGCAGTGAAGACGAGAACGAAGAAGACGAGACCTCGGGCAGCAAAAAGCCCCGACCAGAGAAGAAACGCAAAATGAGTTCGAAAGACAAGGATTATGGGATTTCTCGTGGCATTGATTTCCAGAACGTCGCCTGTGTTCTGAATTTCGACCTCCCAACCACCTCCAAGTCATACACCCATCGCATCGGACGTACCGGTCGCGCCGGCAAAGCCGGCATGGCCTTGTCTTTTGTTGTTCCAGCGGACTTGTATGGCAAACACAAACCTACCCAGATCTCTAGTGCCAAAAAGGACGAAACCGTTCTTCAAAAGATTATCAAGCGACAAGGCAAGCTCGGCCACGAAGTGCGGCCGTATCACTTCGAAATGCAGCAGGTCGATGCATTCCGATACCGTATGACCGATGCCTTGCGTGCCGTGACCCGACTAGCCGTCCAGGAAGCGCGAGCCCGTGAGATCCGACAAGAGCTCATTAAGAGCGAGAAACTGAAGCGCCATTTCGAGGAGAACCCTGACGAACTGCGCCAGTTGCGCCATGACGGCGAGCTGCGGGCTGCTCGTGTCCAGCCGCATTTGAAGCATGTTCCTGATTATCTTATGCCCGCCAAGGGCCGAAAGGGTATTTCAAAGGAAGACGTGGGTTATGTTGGCTTCAAGAAAACCAAGGAGAATCGCATTCGCAAGGCTAGGGACCGTAACCGGGGCAGGGGAAGAAGTCCAGTGGCAAGGTCGATCCCCTCAAAACATTTAACCGGGGACGCAAGTGAGAGAGGGCTAGTGCAAAATTCATCTTATGATACCATTGTACATTTTTACTAGTTATGCAGAGCCCAGAAGATTATCCTTGACGTTAATCATGAAAACTTTCTTATCAGTTCCGTAGAAACGCGGGTGTGATCACTGAGTTGGACGTAGAGCGACGTCTGATCAATCCGTCCGCACGACACTTACCACTAGCAGTGGTCCATTATCCACCGGGCAGAGCTCAGTAAATGAGTGTGAAGTGTATTCCAAGTGTAGGTATTTTAAGACAAATTGAAGGTGGGAAATGCAACCCTCAGAATCCTACGGGTCAGAGCTTTGCTTATTCTACTTCAACAGCTCCGAATTTTTAATTTTTAATTTTTTTTTATTTTATTTAAAGAGAGTCTGAGCTTGGACTCGGAGAAAAAGGTACGTCGGAATATCCGAGAAGCTCAGCTCACAATTCTCCTCACCAGCTGCCGGTGCTCTATCGATAAGCCCTGACGCTCTAGTCCTCTATTGGACAGTACTTTCTTGTTTCAAATTCCCATTCAGCCTCAGGGTCCACGGCTCCGGCCCCAAATTTGCTCGCAGATGTAGTTTCAAGAGGCTCTTAAATTTGGAAGTATGGGTGGTCGATATTTGAGTGACTCATCGTTGGATGTAACTAACTAACAAGCTATTTAGCTAACTAGTGAGTTAGTGAGTTAGGTCCACTAATTAATCTTCAATACTTAAATCCCTCCAAGTCCCACTCTCTTCCATTACTAGTATCACCTCCCTGGGCCTCAACGTATTCAACCAGAACAGAAAGCTAAGCATCAGCTTTTGGCTATCGATCTCCCGTCCCAGTCGATCTGCACCCATGAGCGACAAACAGGATCAAGACTTTCCTCAGTTCTCTCGACTTCCAGCAGAGCTGAGATTGGCCATATGGGCTTTCTGCCTTCCGTGTCGCGTGGTTGAAATAGATCAGTTTCAGCATCCTCAAGGCCCGGCTGACTTCTGCAAGACTCCTGCTGCTTGCACATGGGACCAGACAACCAAAGTGAATCAGCGTCGTCTGCCAAGAATCAGCCAAGTGTGCCATGAATCGCGTCAAGTTGCTCTAAAAGCTGGAGAGTACCACGGACGAGAGATGCCCCTAGATACGGAATGGGGCTGCGCCCAATTACAAAATAGGTTGTGGATCGATCCCGTTCGAGATTCGCTGCATTTATATTGGGACCCATCTCTTACGCATGACTATTGCTGTCCGCTAAAAGGTAGTGCCCTAGATTACCTCGCATATAGGGCCGCTCAAGCGCAGGGTGGCTCTTTCATGTTTGGTTATCTGCGATGCACCATTGATAGTCATGAGAAGTTTCTCATGATGAAAAAAAGGCTCAGGACTCTCCGGAAGCTGCAGAATGCAGCTGTTGTCATGCGTGTCATTGTAATACATATGATGATCAAAGACGCTGGGAAAACAGGACTCTTTGGACTTCTCGGGGACGCACCTGTTCAGATCGTGAATGTACACGACACGGAGCGACAGGATGCCTTTTATGGGCTTGCCAAAAAAAGCACCTACGGTCAGTTCACAACAGTCCCGCAAGACTTGAAAAGAAAATCACCTCTTGTAGATCAAGCCGCTCTGGAGAGAAACTTGCTGCATCTCTATGGCCCTGAGGGTGCGGCCACGCTGTCTTCGCTCTATCCTGCAATCATGTTCAGGCTTTGTACGCAGTTCTGCAACCAGCCATTTGCGAGGATTGATAATCGGAACACCTGGGACTCTTGATGGATTAAGGGGGGCCATCGATGGAATTGATAAGACAGGAAGCTTAGTTAAAGTAGCAGACCACTTGATCTTTTAAGTCCTTCGCCCCCTACCTGATTCTAGATGACATACACAGAAGCTTGTAAGGGCTTAGGCGTGTCTAGCTGCCCAATGAATGGGTGTTTTGTTAACATATTTATGCTCAAAAGTGTCACGGTTTGAAGTTACTGGAGTTAGGAAAGAGACTAGGGAGAACCTATAGAAATATCACAGTGAGATCCATTCTCCCGGCTATGCTATCATGTTTAGAACCAATACGACGATCAGATGGACAGCTCAACAAGTAATAATCCTCTGCTAGCTCTGTTGACTGTAAGAAAAGGTATATCCTCAGAGAAACATGAGGGGCAAGGGGAACGTGAGAGAAAAGTAACAGGATGCTGTGCTGAATCTCTCACATCCTAGGGCTCTGGACAACATACAGGAGACGCCTACTACAGGTGTCGAAATTGACAGTTCTTTTGATGGAAATAGCCCTGGAGAAGGTTCTCAAATAATACTAAGGCGGCCTAGGCCAGGCGGATCCTGAGTCATAGTGCTAGTGGGGCCGATGAACTAATAAATCATGGGCCAGGTCGAACTTCCCTGGAACTTCGTCCCAGAAACCCTGTAAATACACAGGCGACATCCCATGCCGAAGAAGCATAAGCGAGTCTACGAAGTAAAGCCTGCCGGTACCCCGCATCATTCTCTGTCGACAAACAGAGGTCCTCGAAATGGCCAAAATGGGTCCTCAGAGACCCGGTCGGTCAACGATCTCATCTCTCACTTGCGCCGCACCCAAATAGCCTCGAACTCCGACACCCCTCAAATCCCGTCATCGCCCCTGATCCCCGTCCAAAGATCTGTACATCCTGCTTTGCGCCACCATCTCTCGCTTCCAGACTCTCCACAGCCTCGGCCGCAACGCAATGGCACACCTATTGGTGAGCGTCCTCGGCGAGTAGCCCCGGGCCCTCGAGCACCAGAGAGCTGGCTGACTGCTCGTGACCACAATGCGGAGATCGCTATGCGCGCCGTAGATGAAACGACTTCCAGAACTCGCATGGGTCACATCCATCGCTTCCCCGGCGCCCGGTCTCTTGGTCCGAGCAGTCTAACCCATCAGATGCTAAAACAGCTCAGCGAAAATTGGCCCAAAATGAAAGAGGAGTATGGTGTATACCTTTCCCTATTGCCAAACCACCTGAAGGCTTTATTGTTTAGCTATCTGTGCCAATACAGCCCCGCCAATTCATGCTGGCACGAAACACTCAATCCGTTCTATCCGTTGCTTATCTCCAGGGAGACCGCTTACGCCACCAAAAAACATGATCCGGAGTTTCCAGCGGAGCAATGCATCTTTGCAGATTCCACCTTCACGCGACTGGATCTCAGCTGGGCAATTGAGCACGGGGTGTCTTTGGCACAACTGCACTCTCAGCTCGCGCTCCAGCAACCCCAGACGCATAGTTCGGCGGATATCGTTCCAGAATCGTGGGACGAGATACCTGCAGGATCAGGCTCAATACCATCTCCTTTGTTCCCTAATAATCGGTTCCAAGAACTCAAGTATCTATTTCTGGCCCATCCTGGAAAACGGGTGTCGTGGAATTCGCTTCTGCCGGTCTTCCAGCATATCCCAAAGTTGACCCATCTATCACTGGCCTACTGGCCAGCACCGAGTGGCGCAACTCCTCACGGTATTTTCTCGTCCGCAGTCCATCCGACGAACGGATGGCTGGCAGATCCCACCAACGGGGGCTGGAGCGACGAACAGACCAGAGATGCCGCAACTTTACGCGAGCTGTCGCGCCTGACCTCTTGTCTTGAATGGCTTGATCTTGAGGGCTGCACGGAATGGATCAGAGCGCTGGCTTACACCGGCATCGACCCCGACGGCCGCCCTATCCACTTGGATCTGGTGGCCCAGAGTGGAATAGGGGTTGGCGGAAGGTGAAATGGATCAACCTGTCTCCAGGTCCGAGTCCAGAACGCAAGGTCAGATTCAAGGACAACGCAGGCCACTGGCACGAGAAACTACTTCAGAAGGAGGATGATGTATTCCTTGCTCGGTCCATCGTGGATGGCATTAACAAGATCCGTCGCTCAAAGAGGGGACCTCGGATCGAAGGGAATGTTGAATAAGAAGGGCATTTGACGCATAGTGGACGAAATACACGCATGGAATTATCTATAATGCTAGTGAAATCCATGAAGGCTTCTATGCCCTTATATTTATACAACTATATACAATCTAGAAATACACCGAAGCAAGGAGAAAGATCACACATCCCGAACCCAGGAGTCGTCCTTCATGTGTCCTTCTCGCTTCGAACCTTCCTCCAGCCACGTCTCCACAAGACCCTGCTTAGGATCTTCATCCGGCAGGCCGCGGGATCGACGGACGTCTAGGACGAGGTTGCGGATTTTCATAGTAACTTCTTTTCGCAGTTCGACTGCTTCTTTATCATTCACGAGCTTCTCACTCAAGACTCCAACGGGTAAGTCTCGCGATTGAGGATCGACTGCCTCTATCCTGGCCTTTAATTTCTGCCAGCGAGACCGCACCTCGCCGAAGGTTGCTTCGGTGTCAACCCTAGAGCCAAACGTGACGTTGACATTCTTGCCGACTCGAGGGAGGAACCGAGGGAATTCGCGACTTTCATGCATAATCTGGTCGAAGCCCTCGATCCACATCGGGACAACGTCGGGACATTCTTTCGACTCGAGGATTAGTCGCGCAACACCCCACTTGAAGTAGCGCATCGTTTTGTTGGGTGCCTGGTGGATCTTCCCCTCAGGAAAGATGTGCACCCACGAATATGAGTTTTTGGCAAATGCAGAAGGTGCCATATGCGAATCTTCGCCATTTGTTGTATATGCGACAGCTAGGTCGGAGAATGGGTCAACGCAAACGTTCTGGAGGCTCCAATGCTGGCGTTCTGGGGCGGCGGGGTGGTGATCGACTGGGAATGGTCCTTTGGACAGTAACCGAATGGCTTCGGTCATAGCAGGCTGACCAAGACCACCGAATTTTGAGTGCGCGAGGCGATGAGTGGGGAGGACTTGGCCCATGGTGAAGAAGAGCGACAGCGGTCTAAAACAGGAATGCCCAGTTAGTTTCTTTAGCTCCTGAGGAATTGGAACATACAAAACCCACCTCCCCTGGAAGCAGATATCATGGCTCCCAAAAGACCACCGCTTGTTCCAAAAGCGAGTTGGCAATAAACCCCAGATCAGCGGGTCGTCCATGCTAGTTTTCCCGATACCATGTTAGCCGGCTTGAATCTCGGGATGAAGCGACGGCCTTCTATTGAGTATATGTCGTATACGTACACGCTGATATGGTTGGAAACTTTGGAGAACAAGACACATTAGCATACTTTTTTTTTTTTGGTGCTGCATCGTGATGACACCGGGAGACGTACCTGTTATTAGGCCCTTCGTCCTTTGCGACGGGTCGCGTCGAGAGTCCAAAAGCTCAGTGAACTCGTCCAGGCCATTGACCTTCGAATAGTTCAAAGTCGACAAGAATGCGCGAGACAGCCCGGCCACCCCCCACATGGTCATATTGGAGGCGATCCGCCATGGGAGCGAAGGTGCGTCGGCTGTTGCGTCAGAGGCCATGATGGTGCAAAGGTGCAATACTAGGGAATTCCCATAGACTCAGCCCACAGGGCTCGACCTCGCGAGAGCGACACGGAACTTGAGGCAAAGAACGCCTTTTCAGGCAGCGCGACGTAATTGTGTCGGAAGAGAAATTGATTCCCCGGCGAATCCATTTATTTTTCGAGATCACATGATTGAAGCCGGGGTAAATACTCGGTGCCACCGTGCCACGCTACGCCAATATAAATTTGTTTGGCCTCTGCTATATAGACTAGCACTTTATTTTTCTTCCATCTATGAAAAATGAGCTCTATACCTTCTCAATTGGCTGAAAGGACAGCGTGGTGAAATGAAGTAAATGGAGCATCAACGGCCCCGCACGGGCCAATGGCATCTCCGTCTTCGAGCACGATTTTCGCCGCTCCACCTTCTCTTTCCCTCAGCATCGCCATGTTCAAGCCAACACAGTCCCTGTTCTCGGGTCTTCTCTGGTAGGCTGCCTTTGCGCTCGGACTTGCTCATTTAATTTACTGACTTCCTCTCCTTTCCATCTCATAGGAAGACCCCATGGCGTCTGTCCTCGCCCCAGAAGGCCCGGCAGCGCAAGCGCCTGCGCAACGTCGACAAGGTTGTCGATACCGTTAGTGCAGCTCTCGCGCGTCAAAACCAAACCACCAAGGCTGTCGAGAGATGGTACGCCGAGATGCCGCGGGAGGAGGAGATGCTTCCCAAAGACAAGTACACCATCTTCGACAAGAAGGAGAAGACCTACCGGAAGAGCATTCACAGTATGGCGAGCCCCCAGGATTCATTCCTCACCCTGTCCTATGAACCTTGCTAATTTCTCCATTCTTTGTCTTTCCAGAGTTGCCCAAGTGGACTCGTGTCAGCCAACGGGTGAATCCCCCTGGTTTCTAGACTCTCCTCTCCCTTACGACGAATACCCTCCCAACGGCTCCATTGTGCGAAACAATTCGCTACCTGTATAATATTCCATTCAATCCTCGTCTGTGCCCATGGCAAGACTCTGCGCCGGCCAACGCGGGAAGGATAAGGAAAATCTCCGGAGTCATCGGAACTTGTGAGAACGAAACCACATTTACCGCCGGCTGCCGTGTCATTTACCATGTTTTATTACGAGCGCTTAGACTATTTGCACAATTCAAACATTATCAAGCTTATTCCACGCTGCTCCTTTGGTGTGATAGAGATAGGACCGCAGGAGCGAGGTATCTAAGAATATCAGACATGGAAAGATCGATGTTGACATGCGGCCTTCGCGAGAACGAATGAAGGGGTCAAATGAGACTGTTGAAGATAGAGATCAGTCTGACCGTGATAACGCTTCAGCACCTTTGCGATTCAAGTTCCCCGACACACGACGGCAGTATCCATTGACATTACTCGCAATCTCCTTCAGGCGATTGCGATGTGCGCGGCCCTCGTGTATGGCCTTATGTAGGCGATAACCTCTTCGGACACGCTGCCAATCGTCCAATTTTTCTTGCCATCCGGCGCCTCCTTCATACCAAGCACCCTTCTGCTGGCTTGAAATCTCAAAGCCCTGGGGTGGTTTTGGCAACATCCAACAAGCAGGATCGATATGACCATCCGGGGGCTCTTCGGCAGAATCTTCGTACAAATCCACATGAGGAACAAGATCCTGAATCCCGGAAATCTTTCTGTACCGGTTGACAGCAGCGCGCCAGGAATCAATCCGGGGCGTGTGTGCTTTCGTTCTCTCGGGAGTCGGGTACTTTGGTCTTCGACTCAGATCCGGCATTGGATAAGGCACATTATAGCGCGGGTCGCCCTGCATTCTTCTAGCGTCTGTCGATACCCTTGAAACGGGGTCGTATACGAGCCATGTTTCTCTGTTCAGCCAATGATTTGCTAGCAATGCGAAATGGTAGGGCTTTTGTCCTGGCGTGGTTTCGTGAAACACCCACACTAGTTTCCGATTCAGCCTGTCCATGAGTCTGATCTCCCAGTCGCTGAGCTCAGGCAAAGGCTTTTGCTCTTTTTCTGTTGTTGGACGGGTTGGAAAGATGTTTCTTTGGAACTCTGCAGGCAGGTTCTCTCGAAGTGAGCAGATCTCGGTCGATTTTCTGGAGAATGCTGACTTTGAATCACGTACAGAGCTCCATGGATGCGTGGCACATTTTTGGATTTGATTATTTCGCGAGACAGGCGACAATATAGCGTCAAGTCTACTGCCGCTTCTCGTTGACCCATACTGCACCAAATCGGCTGCGGTATTCAACATTATAGAGCGATCATCTAGAGGCTGTCCGCTGGGGTACGCGCTTCGGCGTCCTTGGAGGGCATTTTTCTTTGCTCTTCTCATGCTAGCTCTGTCAGCCGACTCAGATATGAGACTGGCCATGATATCAGTGATGGGAGTTCCAGGAGGGCCGGACGAGTCCCGCAGATCGTACAAGAATGGCTCGCTCGCTTTGACTTGCATCTGTGCTGCCCATGCTCGGTACTTCCGTGTACGCCTATGGTGGATTGCTGGTGGGAGAATTGACCTTTCATTCCCACTGTGCATAGCTGAGCCTGCGGCGAAGGAAGACCGAGAACGTGCTCGACTGCTGTACTGTCCATCGAATGATCGTATGCGGTGCACCTCGCCGATATTTGTCCTGCACCCGAATGTACCAAGACTTTGCCTTGAGATATAATTCAATGCCACGTGAAAAGGGGCCCCCTCTCGTGATATCGTTGAGGAACTTATATTCAATCTTGCGTCGGCCCAGATGGCACTACCAAGTGTCTCCTCAGATGTATCCCCGCTCAGCGTCAGGAAGTCGCAGTGAAAAGTATTTGCAGAACACCGCATGGCCTTCTCATGCGAAGATTCTGGCATCGGGATGTTCGGGATTGGTCCAGATATCAAAGCCCCATGGACTTCAACGGGCGGCTTTGGATCCCATATATCACCTGCGGTTGGACATTCATAGCTCATCAGATATTTGGGCAGCCACCTCAATGGCTGGCGGTTGCGCCTTCGTGCTTGAAGTGCTTGTTGGTCGGGGTCCCACCACGCCCATTGATAATCCGCTCTCGTCGTTTTCCACCTTGTCCATTTTTTGATGAAGCTCCAAATATTTCGGAAAATCTGCTTGTTCCTCTCGTGTGTTTCCAGTCTGACCCAGCCATACCAGGTCTTCGCAAAGCGGGTGTTCGGGGATTTCCCTTCTCGTAACACCTTATGTCGATTAAACGAGCGAATAAATCTGCCAGTCTTCCAGACAAGCACGGCCAGCACAAATATTCCAATAGTCCCAGCAAACAACTCGCCGAAAACGGCTGGGTCGATGCGTGCCGATATATCTGCTGGTGGTGATGGTGGCCCTTTGGCTGGGCTGGGTGGTGACGGAATGAGTGATTGGTTCTGGCGAATGACTAGCGGCGCCATGCGTTAGATGTTTTGCATTCCATGCGAGACTTAAGGACCGGAAGCAGGAAGCATGTCGGGTCCTTCATGAGTCAAGGTTAAATTTCTTGTTTACATATTGCAGAGTACGAGTACGTCAGAATGCTAAAAGGAAACCACTCTGGACGCTCTTTCCGCTTGAAGAAGACCGGGTGATAGTCTATACTGTGGTCTATTTACAGTTTCTAGGGCGTTGATTCTGAGACATGATAGCTTTGCACATGGCTCTCCAACGTCCGATTAAGGTTGCGGCAAAAGTGGCTCGTATAGACCCACGATATAGGCTCCATACCCGGAGGGCGAGAAATGCGAACTCCGATTTCCCAGTCTGTGGCCCTTCGGTGTCTCAGCCCCAAAAACCGCTCCTAAACCCGACTAGCGCTTCTAGAGTACCAGTATCATTCGCTTGGATCGAACCATACGCCGAGAACTCCGACTGACATGAGCCGTTCACTCGCATCAGTTTTCCGGCATTGGACCCATAATTCGTTGAGCCCAAATCCATCATGGCAACTCACGCTGGTTGGGGGCCGACGCGATATGCGACGGAATGTATCGCATCTCCATTTGTTTCAGCTATCAAGAAAGATGCATGTCTTATTGTATCAAGTAGATGTTCCTGCATTCGCAAATATTATAGCCATTTTCATTCCTAACTTGAAACCCTTGAGTCATGTCTCCATGGAAGGTCTCCATCGTGAGTGCACAATATTGAGGCGATGAATAAGGTCGCCATAAATAATTTCCATGACTGGCATCCCAACTTGTATGCCATCACTCGTAAGATAGACAAGCCTATAAACCGGCCTTTCTATGTGCTCTCTGTTGGTGAGAGTTAGGAGGACTGTCCCGGGTTACTCCGGCTGGTAAGTCTATCCATGCAACGACACCTTTCGGTGGAGAGAATGTAAACCTTTGCATGCAAGAATTTTGGGTGAGTTCTAGGAGGGCCATAAGGGCCACCGGTTCAACAGGCCCCCCCATCCCATTCGCAGAGAGAGGAACTCAACGCTTAGGAAGAAGATATGGTGGCACGAGCAAGGCGCACGGCAAACCTGTCAAGTGATACCCGAGAGTGGATGTTCACAGTCCAGGCTACCATCTTCGAAGACAACTCAGTACTCAACTATGCGCGATATCTCGTCCTCACGACCAGGCTCAAGGCTTATTGCTTCCTATCTAAGCTACGTCACTAATAGTTCGGTGAAGGTGTATGTGTCTGATCGCGGGTAATTCGCTCTTTCTTTCGTGTCTCCATGTGATATATCTTCATTCCATCCGGCGTCATCATAATCCATCTCACATTTTCACTAAGTTTCTCATACATACGCCATCTGTAGCTGTCCCAATATGGGAGCAATGCATATCGTTTATGGGCACATGATCCATGTTTAGGATGGAGTCCAGGCCGGCCGAGTGAGCCAAATGCGATCTATCATAATTATAGCTCAATCCTTCGCCGTCTATTAGACTGAAACAAGCAGCAGGCACACACAAAGAATCGGGTATGGAGTGCCGGTACATTCTCACATGAAAGACCCAGTCTTGGTCCCGGGAAACCCCATGTCCATCCTGGTCCAGCAACTAGCGAAATGGTGGACCATGGGACAATCATACAGTTCAGCCTTCGCCGGGGACTTGGGGACCATGTCAAGCGTGTGGTGATATCAAGAGGAATTGCCTTATTGGGAAGCCTGACGAACTATCACGATCCACACCGCCACATTACCACCAGCCACTCCTTGCTTCAGCCACTCAGATGACAAAGCCACCGCTGTTGATCATGTGGCGGTGCCGCTAACGATTCCTCTCTAACTAGTTTCTCCTCGGATATACGGAGTGCTGCCAGTCGGGGTCAGCGAAGGCCTACCAAAAAAGCTGATTGTTGGGAACTCTTCAACTGGCGGCCCCCACATTGGGGAGTTCGGAGCATCTCGCCCTTGTTCTCCCTGGATGCTCTGTCGCTTGATCTGGTTCGTCCTCTGTTGATCTTACTCTTTAGGGCCCGTTCACTGGAGCACCCCGAGCTCGGCCGTGTAGATTGCATCATGCTCATATCTTGATTTCTGCTAATTCAATTGCTCGGCGTGGTTCCACAGACGCAGCGTTCGCTTTAGGCCCGCCATGTAAACATATTGGATTTGAGATCTGACTGATGTGTATCGCCTTGGGCTAATGAACACCTCAATCTGGGCCTGCACCATTTGCTACTCATCTGGGAGAAAGCTTCGACAAGCTTCGACGGCGTCTCGAGCGCGGCTTCCAAGGGCTGTCACTTATCCTGTGGAATTGAAGATGACTAGACAAAGTCTCCAGACTAAAACTATTGACTGGTCCGTGTCAGATCAGCGCGGGTGGATCCAAGGGCTGGGAACCATTAGGGTGGGACATATCATTCGAACCAAACACCTTAATTCCCTCGGGAGGGCTTTCCCATACTTTAGCCTAAGGAGCCTACTAATGAGTCTTAGCGTCGAACGTAAACGTGCGTGCGTTTGGAACTGCATCTCCGTACGCCCGGAGTGGATTCCGGGCTCGAGGCTCAATCTCGACTTTTCAGGGCTTCGGAACCTGCGGCTGAGACAGCTGCACGGCCGGAGAACCGTGGCTAGAATGAGCTCACCCCCAACGGAGTATCCTGCTCTTCTATTCACTCAGGCAACAATTTTCCCTGGAAAATGTGATTTGAGATCCAGCGGCACAGTGGCAATATAGCGGCCAGGTAGACGAGGAACGTAATTTTCGGTCGGATCCGAGCCCCGGGATCGCCGATAGGTTGACTTTTGTCAGTTCTTGGGACCAATGAACACCACGAGTGTGCCATAATTGACCGTTAGCAGTGGCTTTGCCTCACTTTGAGGAAAGGGGGGGTTTCATCCTGCAACTGAGATTTTGCGGTCTGGTGTTACCCCTCTTTGAGCAGGATTCCCACGATTCCTTCGTCAACCCTAGTGGGCCTTTGACTCGTGGGTTTTAGCCCAAGGTCTGCCGCCAGGATATGATGTGTGTACAGGGGCCCATCTCGGTGAATCCCTCCTTGACAAAGTCGAAGCGACTAACTCGTCGCCTACAGAGACATGACCACGGCTGCCACGATGCGGATGGTTTCCTCCAAAAAAAAAAAAGGAAAAAAGAAAAAAAAAGCTAGCGGGGACTAGATGTTGAGCATCCAGTGGATCCGTGTACAGCACTATTGGAGCAAAGAGACAAAAAAGGCTGCCACTTCCCAAAAACATCTCCGCCACACGAACGTCGATCTTGCATGCCAAGGCATGTCAGTCGATCATCTCGGTGCGAGGAAAAGAAACTAGTGGTGGACCTAAGTGGTTGCCATCTCATGCACGGCCCTAAATCGGATTTTCCTGCAGGGCGCATCTTCGATCTCTCAGATCTACAGTCCGAGACGTGGCTACAATGCGTCTAGGCAAAATGCGTTCATCACGGAAGTGATATTTTGAAACTTGATGTGATCAGGGGAATCTCCACAGTTTGTGCTTGTTCTCTCACAACGTGCCGCAGCAAGGATTCGTGCAGGCTACAGGACCGTCAAGTCCACTTACCCCGCCGAATCGATGATCTGTTCCCTGTTCCGTTCGATTGTTTTCAGGTAAATATTGTAATCCATCCTTTTTCGGTTTACAAATCACCTCGGCTCTGTAGATTTTTGCCCTGGATGCGGGCGAAATTGCGGATGCCTTTACCGTCCCCTTCCCGGGATTCTGGTCAGGTTGGATGCGGTCATCACCTTCAGTGGCAAATATCCAGTTCCTGGTCTACTCAAACCTAATCTACGCTTTGATGAGGTCCACTCCGGTGATCTGTCTCAATCCTCAGCTGCAGAAGAAAAAGGTATCTGGACCCTTGGCTGCATCTCATCACTTGGCTATAACTACTTTGTGCTCTTCCGTCAAACGTACGATTTCCATATGCCGTCAACAGCTCTTATACTTTCACAGGATTGGATTTCCTACACTCTCAAATTCATACAATCTCTACGTGATCCCATCCGGGCTCTTATTCGACCTTTACCAGTACTTTCCTTGCTCAAACTCTATCGTCGTTCGACATACTTCGCCTGAGCTAATTATCTCGGTCAACTCCCGCGAAGTACCTACAGACTGGGAAAACTTTGGGTCCTGAACTTGTCCCGGTGGGAATTGAAAACAAGAAGGGCCGGCCACACTCCCAGTTTCTTCTTCTTAAGTGTGAAGCAAGAAAAAAAAAGAAGGGAAAAGAGAAAAAAGCCCCTTCCTGAACGCAATGGCCGCGCGTGAATACAGTCTTACGTTCGAACTCGGTCCTCCCGCCTCCGTGCAACCAGGTTCGCCCTTCACCCTCCCAGTTATAGTGGCCGTGCGCCCCATTGGCACTCCGTCCCCAAATACTCACCTCGTGGTAAACCTCTCTTTACGCGACGAAACAAGCACCAACGCCGTCTCTGGCTTAAGCGGAAATCTCACAGCCAGCGTGCGCAGCCGCAGCGAGTCGTCGACCGGCGGTTACGCCAAATTCAGCCCCCTGATGCTCCTGCGACCAGGGAAGTACCGGCTGCGGGCGATGCTAAGCTCTGCCTCTGTCAACGGGGTCTTTACGAAGGAATTGGTTGAATCAGGTGTCATACATGTTGACGCGGCTGGTAGTCCTGCCCAGCGACCAAGTGGGTCAATTTTTTTTTTTTCCTTTTCTCTTCTTTGTCCGTGTCTAAGCCTCACATCGCTTTTTTTCCTCCTTTTTCCTTCCCCTTTCTGGCGGATTGCAGCCCGCTCGTCCATTCCGGCTATCTCTTGCTTCGATTGGGCCGCTTGCTGATCCCGAGAATTTTTTTCCCCCCTCTAGCTCCCAACCAGCTGGTAACTTTGGAACGGCTTACGAATGAAAACCTGGATATCTCGCCCTCAGACATTGCGGCGTGGCAGCGTGCCTGATTGGCCCCGGGGGGGCAGCCATTCGCAACCCAGGTAACTGGGTGCTGTGGGGGTGCTGTGGGGGAGTTAGATTGATCTGTGTCTTGCGTCCAATACTTGTCTCGTGATGTTCTTAGAGCCCTCTTTTTCTGAGAACCATATAATTGTCTGCTTTGGTCTTCGTGGAAACCACGTTTGTGGATCCACTTGCGGCTGCGCTGCGTTCTTTTGGGAAGACCCTGGGGGGAAGATCACCAGGTATTGCGTTACTCTTTCTCTATTAGTAACTGTGAAGTCATCTCTCCGGCTTCACCTTCGGCCGGTACCGGCCCACGTAACTTCTTTTCCCCGGAGCGTTATGTGACTTCTATGAGGACTAGCCCCCTGCATTATCCTTTGTACGGACATATTACATGCATCAGAGAAGTATCCGTGTTCAGTAGTCATTTATGCAGCCGAACTGCCATATATTCTGGTAGACAGGTACACCACGTGGTGAGTTCTCCGAATAATCTCCGACATTAAAGACCTCGCCCGTCAAAAGCTCCGTCCATTGGTGGCCCCGTAATTTGACGTTGCATTGTCATTCATTTCCCCTTCATGTGCCCTCGACACCCGCTTGCTCGAAAAAAATCGGAAGATGGAATATCATTACCGGAGATCAAGGGGTGAGATCAAGGCCATGTCATTAAAAAACCGTTTATCCGCGGAAGCGTGGCGAATGTATTTAGTGGAGAAATGATCCATGGATGGCTATAGGCCCAGGTGGCGCGCTAGTACTAAATACCAGTCCCGCGTGAAGAAATCAGGGTTTAAGAAATGGTAAGAATACGGATACATGGAATGCTTGCCAGTACCATCTTCTGTATCTTCTCTACTCGCGGTGCAACCCATGTGCTAATTCCCCGCCATTGCGAGATCGAAATGAAGATGAGCGGGATCAGTCCGGCAAATGCAGTTGATCGCGCACTAGTGGCGAATAGGGAAGTCCTCTGCAGTCGGTGGAAAAAGGCCACCTGCGCACCTTCCTGAAATACACACGTCTAGACCATTTCATACAAGAAATTCGTGGCCATGGTATTCCATACAGCAATTTTTCCCCCAATCGCTACAATGCCTCTCTTTTAAGATGCACGGGGCACAGGCCGCAGAGCAGGTGCTATGGACTAAATGGGAACGGGAAAGTAGCGAGAAGCGACACCCGCACCTAATCGCGGTATCTCATGCGCCAGTCAGCGCTAAAGAGTCTGTAGCGGTGAGTTACATCGCATGGTGAATTTTCGCGTAAATTAGGGCCCGGCTACCCGGATATTAGCGTGGAACGGGTGGGAGTTGAGATTTGGGGGCCGTTTCAAGGTTGAGATAGAAAAAAAAATACTTTGTATATGACTTTTTCAGCAAGCAAGCTCCGCTACGTGGGCTCCGTGAGGCCCCTGGGTGAGAATAGAGCCTGGCTCACGAAGACGACTGAAATACGACAATTCTAGGTATAGACAATAACGATGAAGGAAGAGGAAGAGACAATTTGATACGGCCGATCAGCTATAAAGATATACTCTCTGCTTCCACCCCTCTAAAATGAATTTGACCGAAAACGGCCGAGTGTCATTGATAGAAAGCCGTTGGGGACGAAAGTTTGAGCTCATCTAGAAAGTCCGCGGGCCTTCCAAAGAAATTGAAAACTGTGTGTACTTTCCAGACAAAGTGCCTGATGCCGTGGCTTGTTCCGAAAGAGGGTAGCATCGCATAATGACACAACCTTGAGCCGGTCCGTGGTGTGTGTCTGGTCGAAAGCAGCCCAGCAGTTCATTGATTGGGAGAAAGGTATCGGGTGACACAGTGCCACATGCGGGTCATTTGTCCCTTGCGAATGTCCGTAGGAAGTCAAAGAGCAAACCAGACGGAAACCGAGATTGGAGTAACTCATGAAGAGCAACACTTCGGAAAGTAGAACCGCGAATGGCAATTCAAAAGTTTTTGTTTCGAAAAAAGAATGACGCCGAACCCATTCAGCTCTCCTTGTCGTGGTGGCGAAGCTTCTCAATGCCATCGCGAACGGTGTCACGGACACTAAAGCCGCCGAAAAGCCAGTCATTGGAGTGACGTCCATAATGGTTGACGGTTCCGGTGTAGCGACGGTAGTCATCGCTATGCCTGTGAGTCGGAGAGGCAGATCGCTTGATAGGAAATTCCCCCTTGAAAGAGCGGGGTGAGCCATTGTCGGCACTCATATCTGCTGATCCGCTGTAGTGGTCTTGATCAAAATAGGAGGCATCGGCGTTGCTCCGTGGAATGTCTTGAGGTTGAGCCATCGATTGATGGCTTCGGGGGATAGTGATTGGTGTAGGAGACTTCGACTTGAATCGTTTCTGCTGGAGCTTCGCGGTGATGGGGTACGACAGTCTAAAATACTTCTTCTCGTCGGAGCGTTGTGTGCTGCGGGAGGAACTAGTGGTGGTCGATGTTTGAGATAAAGAGCGAGTTGGACAGTTTCCACTCTGGTGAGACTGAGATCGCATCACTTGAAGGAATAGGAGTCGCGGGCTCTGCAGGGACCGGAGAAAAAGTAGAAAAAAGGGGTGGGATTGAGTGCTGACGAGGGAGTATCGGAGGCTATTTATTGACCCTCGAGCGCAGCTTTCTCCTCAATTCGGTTCCTCCTGGGGATCGTCACAATCTCATAGGGCAACCAACCACATCGCAGCGCAGTCGCTTCAACCCCTGCTCTGTGAGCGTGTCGAAGAGCGCCCCAAGCTCAAGAACAGCCAATTAACCCTCCTGAATCGGTTCCATCGGGCGGACCGGGCCTGAGTTCACCAACCGGAGCAGCTCAAGTCAATCCGCCGCCCCACTTATAAGGTTAAGCGGGGCGTGTGTGTCGGTGAGACTCGCACAATCACGACCGTCCACGGTGAAAGGAGGGAATAACGCCCGTCAGGACAGCCAATCCCATATGTTTCTGCCTTGGAGCCTCCTTCAGCACGAATGGGGACCCCGCAGATACACCGCAGATACACCGCAACAGCTGGTCCCAAGATGTTCTGCTGCCATGGAAATTGCAGGGCATTGTGATTAGTCTATTTACCAAGGCCTGAACATCCCTTTCTCGCTTTCCCTCGACTGAGACCTGACCAGAAAGTGCTGCTATCAGCCAAGCATGTTGCCGAGTTTAGGCAACCAGCATTCAAGCGGAAGATCGTGACCGCCACGCACCCAAGTGCCCCGTTTTCACACGCCAGCTTTACTAAGGCACCGACAGGTCGCAATTCCTTATCTCCAGCCCTCCAATGAGCCTCGGGCAAACGTGAGACACGCTCCTTCTAGCGGCTTTCCAGAATGCCTTACGGCCGAGGGCCGATAACTATGGGTTTCGGCGTTGACTCACGAAACTCCCCCCACTTTCCCTCCTAAAGGGGTATGATGCAACTGGCAGATGCGCTAGCGACCCCGCAGGGCGACGGCACTCATCCAGGAGGCTCATAGCACGCCACAGTGTGCCGGTGTTTCGCCATTACGCGCAAAAAAATAGCTCCTGGGGAAACCAGGGAGGTGCCCTATTATCTGAAAACACGGGTCATGATGATGCTCTGTCCGGGCAAGGATCTGTCTTTCGTTGCCCCATAACGTCATTGGGCAAATCACCGTTGAGACACGCGTTGGGTCTCAATGTAATTGCCGAAAACGAGTATGACCGGGCTTCGAATTGTGGAGCAAGATTAGGACAGAAGAGCCGGCCTGCACTAGAGCTAAGACTACGACCGATACAAACGGCTTATCACTTCACTGATTCGAAACAATCCCATCAGTACTGATACCCGGATATGAATCGCAAGATATTGTTGTTGGCCCTGTCCAGCTACGAGAATAAGGTTCATAAGTGGCTAAATCAAAAGGTCACTTAACTAAAGAATTCCAATCCTTCAATATGCGCTGGCTCAACCTCACAAGATGGCTATCCATCACTAGGGCTACCAAGCAAAGTTCCTCGAAGGTAGCGGCATTGTGAAGGCGCAAATCATCTTTCGGGCTTAATGTTGCGATAACCCTGCATCTCAAGTTCCTCACCACATAGACACCGTGATCTTTACGTCAACCCCCTGAAGCCCACAGCGAGCTATCTCGAGTATCCAAACGCCACGGACCCCCACTGACATGGGTACTACGTGGTCGCAGTTCTTCCCGCCATCTCCAGCGCTGACGGAGGTCAATCTCCCCAGTCAGCGGCAGAAGGTCTTCATCGTCACTGGTGGATATTCCGGCATGGGTCTCGAGCTATCTACATTTCTCTATCAGAAGAGCGCCAGGGTTTACATAGCTGGGCGGTCCGAAAAAAAGGGATTAGAAGCAATCAGGTCGATCAAAGCCACGAATACCTCGGGAGGGCGAGCTTGTCTTTCTGCCCCTCGCTCTCGATGACTTGAGCACTATCAAGCCTGCCGTGGAGATCTTCACGGCAGCAGAGTCCAGGTTAGACGTCCTGTTCAACAACGCTGGGGTCTCCAATCCGCAAATACGAGCGCAAACTAATTTTTAGAGATGAATATTGGCTAAATGCGGCCCAGTAACAGCTTCGCGCATCTCTAGTGACATTGGTGCGGCGCCGCTGGCTTGTCCAGGTCTGAAGCGAGACAATGCTTTGAGTACAGTAGGGCTTCATCTAGTACTCCCTCTGGTCTGAGGACTTCCCTTGGTTTGAGCTGCTGTGTGCATCTCTGTGTCTGCCTTGTTACTGTTTCAGTATACTCACTGCCAGTCGTAGGGCTTCCTTCGTTGGGACGAGATGTGTTTTTGCTTTCGGACTATTCCGTCTTTATATTTGACTCGAAGACTCCATTTCAATAAAACCTCGACATATCATAAGTTTTCAGTCCAAAGGATTTGAACACCCGTTTCCGCTATAGGGCAACAATATTAATCTCAAAATCCTCATCGTCATGCGCCACCCGTCCAACAACCAACCTGGTCAGTTCAGCCAGCATCCCTCCAGCATCAACCCTCCAATGCGACGCAAGATGCTGCATAAAGTCCTCCACCGAGTCCGAAATCGGCGCAGGCACACCGAGCTCTGCCACGCAAAAAATGCAGCCAAATCCACTACTTCTTTGGGACAACCCTTCCTTCTTAGCCATGTGGCTCTTTGCAAGAAATATCCAACGGTACTTGATTCCCGTTCCAGGATGCACGTAGACGGTTCGGTCGACCCGGGCCTCTTTCTTGGGCACCGGCGGCGCAGGCGGCGAACTGAAGAAGCAGCAGGGACAGCACCATCTCTGCCGGTACCCGTAGAACCCATAAGGCTCGCTATTATAGAGGAGCCTGCCTGTTCCGAAGCTTAGCTTCCATGCGCCTTTGCAGAAGCCTGCGTATTTGTTCTCCCTTCGGGGCGGCCAGTATGGCTTGTTATAGACCATGGGCGAGACGGTGCGGGCTAAGGATAATTTGGAATGGATGGGAGGGCCTATCTTGTTCCAGGCAAGGGAGGTGTGGGACGTATTGGGGGCAGCTGGATCCCGTGAAGGCGGCACGTTCTCGCGCACGGCTGGATGCACCGGAAGGTTTCCTCGCCTTTGGCCAACGGCCTCGCGAGGAAGCTTGGCGTCGTAGCCTAATATTCTGCTTGGATCAGATCGCTTTTCATCTTTTCGTGGATCAATTTGAAGATCTCTCAGGCCTCTTGTGATATCCAGCCCGAAGGTCTGTTGGCGGTACCGTTTATAAGGAATGTCTGACCCATCAGGGATCTGGAGGAGACTTTCGTACGGTGGTGGCCCCGGAGATGCTGTGGCAGAGTTGATGGAGGACTTGCTGCCATTGAGAGAATGTATCTTCGACAGCGGGCTAGACGGGTGCACTAGCGCTGGAGTCCTTTGCTCGGGATGGGTACTGGCAGGTTCATTATCCAGTTCGGCGATACCATTTGGTGGCGGTAAAGCGCCTCGCAAGACTCTGAGGGCTGGAGGGCCAGGAGGTAGTGACCAACCATTTGAGCTCGGGTGGGCCAAATAACCCTGTTCCTCGTAGTATCTCATATAACAAGCCATGGTCGACGAAGGGTTGACGCGGATAGAGTCTTTGGAAACAGGCAAGGGAGCCGAAACGGTCACTGCGATGCGATGATAGAGTTCCTGGAGCACAAAGATCGTGCGAGCGCGTCCCAGGTCGGAGGCTAGCAGAGCAGCGCTGATATCAAGATTGACATTCTTCTGAACAGACGCCCGGAGGGGGCTGAGGAGCTTTCCCTGGATCTTGACCATGATCTCTTCGATTTGCTCCTGGCTTGCGGTGTCTCCCTCCTCGTATCTTTTCCCCAGCTGGGCTGCGTTCATGTTCCAACGAGCCAGAATCTCGATTCGCCCGAGTTCTAAAGAAGACGAGAGACTTTTCTCAGCGTTCTGGCCGCGACGATGCCTTTTCTTCTTCATCGCATGGAATAATTTCGAGCTATCATTATACGCGGCAAGGACGGCTGCGACACATGCCACGACAGGAATTGCTTGCGTGCCGGTCATCTTTGGCCCAGATTAGATGAAATAACAATAGCCGGAACTAAGGCTTGGAGCCGATCAGGATCAAGCCCCGTCTATAAAGAAAGGCCTGGTCCATTGGCGGGATAGTTTAAGCCGGAAAATCTCGCGCGGCATAGGGCACCAAAGTAGCCCTCTCCCCTCTCGAGAATCCATTTGAAGTAGCAGATTGTGGACCGAGGCTGATGCTCGAGGCCTTTGACCTGGTTAGGTGCGCAAAGATAAGAGAGGAAGACGGGAGGCCCAGATCACCGGGCTGTCATCAAACAAAGACTTGAACAGGGACTCCTCCACATTCAAGCCAGGACCGCGCATAGGCCCCTGACCATCTTCTTGGAAACAACCATTGAGGCTGAGCTACACCACGAAGAACGAATCCCCATTCGCGGCTCATCCCGACGGCCGATCCCGACCCAACGAATTCCCCCATGAACTATGGATTTTCGTACTGGGGCAAATGTGACCGGATGCCGCCATGATCCGAGTGGTCGTGAATAACCCACGATTGCCCAGTTGGTGTTTTGTGAAGTGACATATGGGGCTTACATAGGCCAGATCAACCAAGATTATATCAGCTAGATCGAGTAGCGTTCGAAGAACGCCAGCCCTTCAACGCTCGGTCATGTATATATCAGCTATTAGATTGGCTCTGGGGTCTGCTCTGGCCTGGGGCTCATTGGCCTTGCTTAAGCTTTCTTTGTCTAATTTGCATCTAGGCCACGGTAGTGCAGCAATGGGAACTCGCGCCTATCCAACGGCACTCCTCGAAGCAGTCGTAGTTGGGCAAAGTGCTGCCGTCCATAGTATTACGAGTAGTTGGATACACACCTGAGCCATTCATGAAGGTAAATCATGCACCTCCATGGGCTAAGCAGGGACTGCCAAGAATTAGGGCACGCAGGTCGTTTTGCGGCAGGGTTTACCGAGGAGCAACTCTGGTCATCTATTACGAATGGAGCTGATTATATCACGCACTAACATCGAATAAGCTAATGTATCAATTCAATATCTTAAGTTACTACTCGGCAATCATCAACCCACCCTATGAATTTTTTCGCCCCCATCTTTATGCCAAGTCCAATGCAGGACCTTCGTAAATTAATCTTGAAGAGCCTCGTATCGCCCAAAAAAAAAATGCACGTGTATGATAATTGAAGTCCTCGGGAAGAATCCGCCTCCCCGTCATTCCTCCTGCAACGTCCAAAGTCCCACACTGGGCTCCTTCCAAGACCGTGGCTGCTCCGAATGACACCGCCGATGTCTCCGCTCTGCCATGAACTGGGGTGTAGCAAGGATCGGTCCCGCTGCACGAGACCTCTCAACCACCACGACCGGCCGCGCAGACCACCGAGGCGGCATCCAGCCAGAAATCCGAGACTGATCGCCCACCGTCATCATGGTCGGCATCACAAACAGCGAACGAGTCTTGTCCAGTGCAGGACGGCGGATCAGGCGCCGGAGCACACTTCTATGCACGTGCTTCCGGGAATCTGCCATTGCGGAGACCGGGACGTCGCTCGGGCGGAGGCCTTGGATAGGACGAGACCAGAGACGATGCGTTCGGGAGGACTGGCGCACGATCCCTGCCATCTCGGCGTCGTCTCCGCCGGGACCGTCTTCTGTAATGGGCGGGATGCTTGCAGCCTGTTGAAAGGACCATGACGGGTGGCGTGGGAGGTCGGGGGTTGGGTTGAAGAGACGGAACTCTGCGCTTGATGGTGCGCGCATGCACAGCTCGGAGCCACAGTGTGGCCAGGAGTGGTGCCTCCTGTGGTGGCGGATCGTATTGGACATGTTAGGTAGAGATGGAGGTCGTATGGAAGAGGTCGTATAAAGTGTGCTTGAGAGAAGCTTCTTATCCCGCCTCCATCATGAGTCTCTTTGGTCTTCTGAGTCGTTGGACTCGGCTTTGATCCACGTTGAGGATAGGGCCAGGTAGATAAAAAGGTATCTACCTAGCAGATAGCAGGATTATAAATGCGATGGTCCTCCACCCAGGTTATCGCACGTGCTGGGCGTCTCCATGTATTGCCCGGGTGACTTGGCATCATTTGGGGTTGGCATGACCCTGGGTTCCAAGCTTGTTTCTCAATTTTGAGGACTTGGGAAGAGTGGGTAAGTGGGAAGTTACCTAGGTGAACGCCAGATGATGTTGTATTTAGGCTCTTGGTTAGCACAATTCGACAGAAGATATATATATTCTGGCAAGCCCTGGATTGACCAACTGGATGGGGTTGAAGGATAAGATGATCGGACGACCTCCAGCTACTTCCTTATCTACAGCCCAAAGAACCCCCCAAAGGGAGAGATTCTTCAAACCACATAGACGCGGCGACACCTCACTGGCAATGGGCGTTGTGGAGGCGAGTCTCAGATCTTTGGGGATGACCGCCCGGGGTGATTGGGTCAAGCGGGCGCAAACCGACCAGACGCTCCTTTGCGGGGCCTCATGACCAGAGGACCTGAGCACGAGATCGGAATAAAGATGCTGACTGAACCGGAGCTGGCTAACAAAAAAGAATGGATTAAAGGCAGAACTATAATTTTGCTAATCGAATGTCTCCTGGGAGGGCGACAATGTAACGTTGAAGATCCATCCCTGAGGTAGTGACAGTGCTTGACATAGCACAAAATGGAGCTCCTTACATCAACCAACCCCAAGTGGTCGAGTGGAACTCGGCTAACATCTTCCTTGGTCTAGTGGTGATGATTTCCGCTTGTCAATCTGATAAGCGCGGGAGACCGGGGTTCGATTCCCCGAGGGAGAGATTTCTTTTTTGTCTATTTTTTGTTTTATCTTTTTGTTTTCCAGTTCAGCTTATGCTTCAATTGTTCCTGATTTAATATTGAGCAGCCCTACAGAACTGCAGGCTTGACGGGCGTATTAGTCTGCCGTTTCTTACTGCCCAAGAACGAGCAAGAACAACGGCGCACAGGTGCAAGGATGTCTGGGATCTGGACGAAGAGAGAGCTCAATGAGCTAACCCCTTTCCCAGGATGTTTTCGTAGCAACTTGAGAAGCGCAACTAACCTCAGTACTGTAGATCTGGCGAGGGTCTCACCTTCCGATATATCGGCGGAAACCTGGCCCTGGTTCACCCCTCAAGTAACTGGCATTGCAGATTAAAGCAGCAGAGGAAAGGGCACACCGATTTTAACAAACTGACTGCGAGAATCTTTCGCTCTATTTTTTTTTTTTCTATTTGGATCAGAGGGGGATGCTGGATTAAATAGAATGAATTATTGCCAATTGTGAGAAAGAGAGTCTACTCGTCAACTTGAAGAACCTAATTCCATGTCACTAGTAGCCGCTATGCCGCTATACCCTCATAATGAATCCAGCTGAAGACCTGAAGAAACATCACTTTATCATAAGTTGAGAAAACGGACCAGCCGCCTGGCCGAACCCGCGCCAAGAATTAATTGAAGGTGGAAAACCGTTCTCCCGCCCGCGAGAATATTCATGAACTCAGTGCGATCTACTACCGTGTAAGCAATTCGATTCAACCAAACCCACGGACTGACTTACCATCTGCCCTCTGGAACGCAATCGTCACAGCTCCTTCCCGACCTGCAGCGGAGTCTTTCGGATGTTTCGCAGTAATATGGAGCATATCCAGGCAAGTCCCCCGGGCAAAGGGTTGCTTTGGAATGTTCACCGTGTTGTCCTTGGACGCCTCGGCGCAGCCCGGGGGAAGGGCCATGGTGATCCATTTATTAGCAACACTGTCGTCCCAGCGGGCCGCAAGCTGGAGAGATTTCGTCCGACGCCAGAGCTGGATCTCGGCATACCCCTTGTTGGACTTTTTCCCAAACGGACTTTTGCTCTTGGTGGTTAACGAGACGATCCGGCGGGAATAGATCAGATCGTGAGTTGGGGCCAGAGCACTCAGGAATGCTTGAGGGACCGACGAATCGTTGAACTCGATCAGGACAGTCGCATTCCTCTTGTCGCAATGGGAAAAGCCAACTTCATGATCGGCAGGGAAGAGCTGCTCGACATGGGTGGAAATATAGTCTGTGTATGAGGCAGCGGGGAACCGGACGCTTTGCGACGAATTGGAGTAGTCGAAATCGGCATTACGGTACAGATAGCAGACCTCGATGTAGCGCCACGATGTCTTCTTCTGGAGAATTGTCACAGCCTTGTACTGCTTGTGGTCTGTGTTGGCATCGACCACATCGTAGATGCGGCCGGCACTGAGAGGCTCCGACCAGGAGAAGACCGGTTTGAAGTTTATATCCAGCACCGCCTTCTCGAAGTCTTCTGCCCCTTTCTGGCTTCCGAAATGCAAGCTCATTCCGATATTTGGCGCGCTCGAATCATACATATGGGAGTACAGGGTGTTGTAACTTCCATCGGTTTTATCGGAGCGCTCCTGCGTTGTATCCGACCACTTCATAAGGACCTGACGCGACATGTCCTCGCGGTGGATCTGGACTCGACTGAGCGGCATCCAGAATTCGATGCACCGTGGGCTTGTTTCAGCTGCAGATGGGCTGATAACGACCCTGCGAGTATTTTGCCAGGCTTCCGCAAACGATTTCTCGAGAATTCGAACCTCGCCTGATTTGATAATCTGAGGAGAATTCATTGGTTTCATCCCAGGGGCCTTCAGCCGCTCCCAGACTTCTACTGAGCCTTTAAAAACCACGCTCTCTGTGAATTCTGGGGAATCAATTGGTTCTCTCTGCTTGACAGCATCGAAATAGGATTTAGGAATATTGATAAGAGCACCGAGATCCCCATCAAACTGGAAGGAGATGGACACGCTCATACTGTCAAATTTGAACGGGATCGGATCTGAGGCTTGAGTCCCTGGGAACCCAGTCAGAATGGCATTTGACAGATTGATCAGCGGTGGTAAGTCTCCCTGCTCAACTAGAAAGAGTGAGCAATTGGCAAGAGGCCGTTGGGAGGGGGAGGGGGCGCGCTGGGCTTACAGTCACGTTGCAGGCAAAGAGAACCGCTCTGATTACAGATAATGATTTTCGGCTCGCTCTCACCGTCCTTGGTGGCCAAGAGAAGCAGATACGGTGCGCCTCGAGTGCGCAGGCGAGAGGTTTTGGCGCCAATTCCTGCATTGACGAATGTGCGGTAGATGACCCTTTCCTCTTCAGTACCGCCATCCTCTTGGTTGACGGTGATCCAGCGTGCATGGTCATGGCCCCATCCTAGCTCAGAGCTAGCTTCAGAAGTTTCCTCTGGCTGAATCTGCTCCAGATCTCAAGATTTTGAGAACGGAGGCTGGACATGTCAGGAATATCCACACTTGTGTATTGTTCAAGTTCTTGGTTGATGCCCTGAGGAATTTTAGTATGTAAAAAGCCACGATATCACGTATCAGGTCACTCACTTCGGAGAGATCTGATATCGATTTGCGATTCTCATCTGTCAGAAGAGCGGGAGAGCTCCCGTCCTGAGAACTATATCGTACAGTATGTATGAGGCTTTCAGGAGGTCAACATATGCTTGGTTCGCCACGTATCTGGACTCCAGGCCATTCGAGCCCATGCTTCCTCGTGCATTGACATACGCATGTCTGCTGCAGTTGACAAGCGTAGCCCGTGCCTTCAAGAGCCACCAAGTAGCAACACGAATCCAATCTCTCGTGATGAGGCGTCTGACTTGAAGCTCTTCATTGACGGATGATTGGAAAGCGCGGGCAACTTCCGGGTCTGGCTTGTGGATCTTATTTTGAGGCACATAGCGCAGAGGTCGCGCAGCTTGTTCCTGAAGTCGGACCTGCTGAAGCTGCTGCATGACACTACTCACAGCCTCTGTCACGTTATTTGGTCCGAACTCAGTGACAGAAGAGTCACTGCCTTTTCCGAGACTCTGTTTCTCTTGTACCTCAGAGACATCGTCCCAGAATGTCCTCTCTAGGGAACGACCGTCAATGGACCCATTATGAGATCTCTCTGTTCGGCCCAGGGTTGAAGTTGAATTGAGTCTTCCAAGCAATGTGCGAGAGGAACTACCGTCATTGGCAAATAGCGGCGAGGTCGGCGAAATCTTTCCCCACGTTGATGCATCGGATGCTGCTATAGTTGATTCTGAAGAAGTGTCGATAGGCCGAGGGGTTCCTTGCTGTGTTGATATTTGTCCCAGGGAGGGTAGTCGAGGTCGCGGTATGCTGACTCCCGGGGCTTCCAATTCGCTGATGCTCCCTTTGATGCTACTACCTTTCAGACTTAGAGGGGAAACCAATGTGTCTGTATCGCGGGAGGCACCAGTCCCAAGAGGCGACATGGCCTGCTCATCGTCCTCAATTGCTTGAAGCATCTTTTTCTCCAAGTGAAGGAGAGCGGTGCTAGAGGGGCAAAAAATCTTCAATTAGCTTCTTTTAAATCGGGCGGATAAGATCGAGAGCTGCCTACTTATCAATAGAACTCATGCATAGGCTCAGAGTGGAGGTATGCACCATGATTTTGGATTTGATCTCTTCGATCTGGGGACGCTGCGTAATCCATTGGATTTCCTGCCAGAACTTCTTACCCTCCACTAGAATCCCCAGCTCACGATACCTGTTCAAAAGAGCCGTCAATCGCTGAAGGGTCTGCAGACAAAGGCTGAGGCATCGTCCCAGAGTCGATCTTCGGGCGTCATTCATCCGCTCAAAAAATGCAGTATTTGAGCTGAAGTCGTCACTGAGCGCGCGCAAAGCGCCCTGCAAAGACCCAAGCTCTGTCACTAGACCGCGGAAGCCATCTGGCGCATCTTTGGCAATAGTCCGACACCGACTGTAGAGCTCCCATGTGATCTTGGTAAGCGTAGGAATTTCGAGCACCCCGAAACTTGTCGACATGATGAAATGAAAATAAGCAGCCCGAATGGGGCGGAAAATGGCTTGAGGATCAGTTTCGCCAGCCTAAGCCTATGACAGAGAGACGACCAGGGGAAATGAATGTACCGCAAGTAGCTCTATTCATCCCAACCTCGGAGTGTCTGTGGGTTCAGCGTGTCCAGCACAACCAGGACGTCTTGCTTGATGGTTCCAGGGAAATGATGTAAATGGCCCGAACAACACACACCTCGTAAGCCGGAGTAAGACTGAAGCGGTTGGCGCGATCCGGTAAACCCCGATCCACAACTTGAAGTCTTGTCTGATATGTCTGATGCAATCCAGGAGAAACCTCACTATGGCAAGTTATATCGAGCTCGCACGGATGAAGGAAGATGAAGAAAACGGTGCTTATCGTGCACGTCCAGTTGCCCTTAACAAGCTGCTTCTCTTCCCCATCCAACACCCGGATTACGCAAATTGAGGTGCAGATCGGGGGGTCCAGAAAATACGAACAGCCAATCCGGGGATTATTTGGGGGCGGCCTTGTTTGATCACCGGGTCCCATGCCCCAAGGTCGAAGGCGAATGCAGGATAGTCTCAGCAATACATGGTTGGGGCCACCGCAGGCTGTGCATCACGTCGGTACACATCAGCCTGGCATTTACTGCCTCCATTGTCGGCGCCACCCGCGGGTGAAGAGGAATCAGGGGCACACGAGGTCCTAAGAAACCCCCCCCCCCTGGTAGGATGAAGAGGATTTCCAGTGTATTCACTGATAGTAAAGCAGATCGGAAACCCATGAAGTATACAATTAGGAGGAGACTATGGACGTACCATGTGTTTCCTTGTCACAATAAAGTCCGGTCGTACATCGTATATGAAAGTAGCCAGATACTCCGTCGATGTACCCGTGCTCCCCCACTCTCCACAGCCCCAGGCTTACTCGAGGTAGGGGGTATACTAGCATGGAATTCCCTGGACAAACTCCATCCGCACTGTTCATCCATATACCTTTGACTCGGTGGCTCAGTTAAAAAATAACGATCCACGATTGATCAAAGTCTCGAACCATTCGTACAGACCCCAAATCCCACGCGGCATGCCACCACGACACCTGAGGCAGTGACTGTCGATCAGCTCCACAGTCCCCAGCCCTTTAGCGCTCCCCTGACTCGGAGCACAAGCTGAGCAGAAAAAGCTCTCAACCGAAAACACCACCCCAACACCAAACACTGCGGGCAAGCAAAGCAACAATGGCGTCCCCCGAGGCATTCGCCCTCGACATCCCAACCCTCCTCTGCCTCAGCTTCGCCCTCTCGTTCCTCCCGCTCGCCTACATCTTCAGCACCCTCCTCCCCACCAACTCCCTCCGCAACCGCGTCCTCTTCTTCTGGCACGCCTACGACGCCCTCACCCATATCTTCATCGAGGGCTCCTTCCTCTACGAGTGCTTCTTTAGCTATGCCACCCTCCCACCGGGCTTCTCAACACCAAGCCCGCACTTCCTCTCCCGCAGCGACCGCGTCTATGGTGCCGCCTACGGCACGGGCCCCAGCGCGCGGCTGTGGCAGGAATACGCCAAGGCAGACCACCGTTGGGCCGTGGCCGATGCGGGCGTGATCTCGCTGGAGCTGTTGACCGTGTTCTTGGGCGGACCGGCCGCGGTGTACGTGTGTTACCTGCTGTGGAGGTCGAGCAGCGAGACGCTGAGTGCGCGGGCGCGGGGCTCGGCGAAGGCGACGCTGTGGCTTGTGATGACGGCGCTGGCGACGGCGGAGCTGTATGGTGGGTTCATGACATTTGCGCCGGAGTGGTTGACTGGGAGCGAGGCTTTGGCTACGCAGGATCCGGTGTATCTTTGGCTTTATCTTTTCTTTTTCAATACGCTTTGGGTTTGGATGCCTATTTGGGTTCTTTGGGAGGCGGGGAAGGAGCTTACGGCTGCTTTTGTGGTCAAGGAAGTGCAGCTTCAAGAGAAGAAGGATTGAGAGAGAGAGAGAGTAGGAGGGGGATCTCGAATGGAAAGAATAGTTGAAAAGAAGGGGGGGAGGGTTGTTTATACTTTTGAGACTCTTCTTCGTGGAGATCAAAGATCAAGAGGGGGGTTTGGAATTATGGGATTGGACCTTTTAGCGATATAGTTTGAGATACCTTCATATTTAATAATGACAGAATGCTGTGTTACTAAACGCATGCATGTCGGGGAGCCAAATTGGTCGCTTGAAGATTCTATACACAGAAGATACAATGATATAGACAAATGATTTGTGAAAAGAGAAATGAAAAAAGATTCACGAACAAAACGCCTTCATCCAATCATTCATTCGTCGTCAGACCCTGTCCACTACTCCTCCTTCGGCTTCTCCCAGAACCAATGGTAAAACCTTCTCCATTCAGCCGCCTCATCCTCCACATAGTCACCCACCAGCTCCGCCGTCTCGTTTACTTCATCCCCTACAGAGAGATCTCTCGGTCCATAGATTCCATGGCTTTGGTTGAATCCTTTCGCTGCAGCGGCCGCATCAGAGGTCATATCCACAGCAGCAGCGCCGGTGTAATTCTCCAGCGCCTCGCCAGCTTTCTCTCGTACGGACTCCGCAAGATCGCGCGCTCCTTCACGCGCAATCTCGCCGTATTCTTCGGCTTGTTCCCGGGCACGCTGGATCAGCTCATCCGGACTGGGATACCGCCTGCTCAGAATCAGCATCAGGTAATACATCTTCACAATAGAAGCGTAGACAGCGTCCTTGGCGAGCATGGTGAAGCCGTGCGAGAAGAAGCCTTTGAGTACTTCGCGGGGAGACCGGCATACAGTGCGGATATGCCTTCTTTCTTGTAGATTGCGGCGACGGTTTGGAGGACCTTTGGCGTGAATTTTGAAGCTATGGGAGAGTCCGTCGATTTCTCCGACGACGCGAGCGCCTGCGATCTTGTCTTTGCGAGAGAGATCGGGTACGTCATGGCCGATGCAGCGGCTTTGCTGGTTGCTGCCAAGAGGAAGGTGATGAGAGGTGAGGGCTTATCCCGCTTCGCGCGGGGAAGGACGGCATATTTCAAGATCTCGTTGAGGAATAAGGTAATAGATGGGTTGAGGGTAAGGATGAGCGCAGCGGAGTAGCCGGACCAGAATCCTGAGATGCCCTTCTCCTTGCGGATCTGAGCTGCAATATCCGTTGTTGAGAGGTCCTTCGAGCCTGGGCCGGTCTTGCTCGCCGAGGTCTGCTTTCGCGTTACGATGTTCGAGAGCGGGGTTGTGAACAGCTTTGAGAAGGAGCCGGCTATGACGCCGATAGCGAGCTCGTCCCAGATGGGAAGGACGATGTTTTTGCTCTTTGCAGCGCGGGCTGCGCCTACACGTGAGACTATTCGGCGCTGTCGGACGATGGTGTAGGCGAGAAAGAAGAGAAAGGAGTCTGCGACTGATTTGCAGGTATCTTGGGCTAGACCAGGATAGAACCCTGCGATGCCCTGTTTCCCGTAGATCTTGTATGCCGCATCGATGATATTTGTGTATTCCTCTTCGTCAGCACCGGAGCCTTCCTTGGATTTCTCCTTCTTCTGTTGCGTTTGGAGGCGCGCGACGATGACATTAAGTGGGTAGACGACAACATTGGAAATGGCTGATCCAACAGCGCCAGCGACAGCATTACCTAGGATAGGCAATGCCGGGCCACGCAGAGCGGCCTGTTTCCAGTCTTCGTTGGGGTCTTTGGCTTCCCAGCGGTAGGAAGGATGGCAGACATCCTGCACAGACGGTGGAGTTAGATTGGGGAGGGGGGGGTTGGCCGTTGCTTGGAGATTGATTGCATACCAGCTGGGACTCATATGTGAGCTTGAATTCGGCCATGATGACACAGGAAGAGGGGAGAGGAAGAGGGAAAGCCGATTTCCTGTTGGCCTCGCTATCTGCCGACCGTACGATAGTTATCAGTTGTGAGTCTCGAGTGTCAACAACAGACTGTTCCACGGCGGGTCTTCAAAGGATCGGGATTCTCGTATCAATTCAGAGAGACGTAAGTGCTATATAGCCAAAAACTAGGCCAACGATCCGCTCATAAGACATAAATGTCGCCATATATGGCATGACGATGTAGACGCCTTCGCCGAGGTTGAGGAGAATGCATTACATCATGCCGATCATGTGCTCCGCACGAGGAACTTCCCTCCGAAACCCGGTCTACAAATCTTCCCAGCTGATACGACTCGGTCTACTCATTCGTCTCATATTACTGGCGACGATCAGGAAAATGGGTGACTTGAAAGAAAAAAAACAATCCATTGCGACTCGAGGCCATTTAGTAACTAACTTAGAACCTGAGAACCATGTAACATTTCCCTACCCTCGTGAACCCCGCAGGTAACCCATAACCGTTCAAACCAAATCGAATTTAAAAAGATCAGAGATAGAGCAAAACCATCACACCGTGGCACATTAAGAAATGGAAGGACAAGCGCGAATGCGACGTTTCCCCATGCTGGAAGAGAGCAGACATAGTGTCGTCCAAGCAGGGTCGCCAGCGAGAAGTAAGCCAATAAAGGTAAATCTAACCACCGAAACCGTACAGGGTACGGCCCTGGCGCTTGAGGGCGTAGACAACGTCCAGGAGGTGACGGTCTTACGCTTAGCGTGCTCAGTGTAGGTAACGGCGTCACGGATGACAGACTCCAGGAAGGACTTGAGGACACCACGGGTCTCCTCGTAGATCATGGCGGAGATACGCTTGACACCGCCACGGCGAGCCAGACGACGGATAGCGGGCTTGGTGATACCCTGGATGTTGTCACGCAAGATCTTACGGTGGCGCTTGGCACCACCCTTGCCGAGACCTTTACCGCCCTTGCCACCTGGTGATTGGAAGTTAGCGAGGTATTCAAAAGCTTAATACGGGATAGGATATCAAAGTGTGTAGCGACGACAATATATGCAAGGGACAAGTGAGGACAAGTGAAGTGGTAACCTGAGAGGATGTATTGGGATGACCAATTTCGGCTAGCGCAATGGGACTTTGTGCCTGAGGCAAAAGAATTTGTCGCCACCAATCACGTGCCGTCAGGGGCATCACCACATCTCCTAGGCAAGACGAAGAACACGCCAGCGACGGCGACCTCACGTCCGAAAATGAAGGAAATAGGATTCAATAGAATGATAACTTACGTCCGGACATGATGACGATTTAAAAAGTGATGAAATTGATGGGTTGTGGATAGATATTCGAGATCGACGGCTTGGTAAACGCGTCGACGTGGTGTGGCGTGAGAGGATGAAGAGGAAAAAGAGGGAAAAGGTTGTGGGAGAGGGGGGAACAGGGGAATTAAATACGGTGGATGACTACGCGTGATTTCGTGGGTGGAAAGGATGAAAGGGTTAGGTAATCGGGCTACGGTTTTACATTCTGCAATGCGGCGGTGATTGGCAGGCGGGCAAGCAGGTAAAAGGGCGTTATGAAGGGCTGGATTGGAGCTGGTCTTGGGAAGCTTGGGGCTGCCCGCATTTTCCGTCACAATCTATAATGAGTCACGTGGCGATAGCAGATAAGGTCCCGCGCCACTCGGAAGTATGGGCCCGCCCGTTGCATACTCGCCTTCCTACTATGTACGAGTATACTGGTCCTGTGTCTCTTGGCTTCAATTCTATTTCAGGCTATAGTTTGGCTCTAGTAACGGATGGATTGACCTGGGTCTATGTTTAAGAGTTGTTCCTTATCTGTATCTCTCAAATCGGGTACATTATCCCAGTACAAACTTTCGGATCCTCTACGGTCGACCAAGCCCAGCTTGGATGGCTAGTTGCAACACAGCCCTACTGATTTTACTAATGGAAGCTTCATATGTGTCAAATTCGCATTTATTCATGTTCGTTATCGTGCCAGGACTTTGTCACAGCCACTTGAAACGGTCGTTCATATCGTTCATCGTGGCGCGCATGTAGTCAAGAGAGAAACTGTCTCCGAAGAAAAGAAAAACATATGAAAAGGCAAGGAAAATCATTAAAACATAAACAAAACGCCTCAGAACACCATGCATAAGAAACAATGTAAAAGCACAATGCATCGAGAGCGGAGGCGCGCGGAGACTAAAACTTTTTTTCAAGTGAAAAGTGAAAAGCCTGCCCGTAGGCAGGAAGAATCGAAAAAGCCTCGACGATGGAAAATCTGTTTAGACCGGCAACGGGGTTTGGCGGTAAGAGGAGAGCGAAAATTCTGTATCGTCATGATGGGTCATGACCGTCCGTCAATGCGATAGTATGACCAAAATCTCTCGGCAAATAAACTCGCGTCGATGATTGATCTCAATCCCAAACCAGTCCGAGTCCATTTCTAGCCATATCGAAATAAGCCCCGACGAGAGGTTTCCGCGGTTTATTTATCATCGCAAAAACCAACTCCGTCAGGGATATTTACCAGGGCCGTGGACAATTGATGGCGGGTCATCGGAATCACGCAGTCCGAGACACGATTGGTCGAAAAAGAGATCGGCCAGCATTGTAACAATTATTGTGCACGAACGCAAGCAGCAAAAGACGGAGTCGAAAAAGTGTCCATCCACGGGCCCATCCCAGATAGAGACACGTCCAACTTCCCTTCAACGATAACTGTCAACAGGTTGATTCAAGGCGGGTGGTCGCAAGGAATGGATAGCCGGACTCAAAAGAGGCTGTCGAGCATTCCATGTCACTCACCCTCTAATAACTGGGGACGACGGAGAGTCACTCATAAAACCATTTTGCAACGTCTTCTGCTGGTAAGGGTAGAGGTGGGACTTGGGCGATGGCGAGGCGCGAGGCGAGGTGCGGAAACTCGGCGATGCAGAACGCATGGATGCATGAGTATCACGCGCGGTCTCGACCGGGGGCGACGCCTGGGAAGCCGAAGAGCCAGGGGAAAGGGGTGGTGAGGGAGTGCCCGACGAATGAAGCTTCATCTCCTCACGAGGTACGTTCACAGTAAAGCTCTGCTTTGTACTGTCGGACTTGGGTGAACCATACTGAGGAGATCAGTTAGTGGGTTGCACAGGTTTAAAACCCGAGCCGAATGGATACTTACGAAACAGTACTTGTCGACCAACTCTCGGTACCCTGACGACTGGAGCCACGGCTTGGTAGAAACGGAAGGAGGAGACTTCGAATCTTTCACTGGGGAGCCATTGGTGCTGGTGTCACTCATGGAGGACTGACCTGGCGAAGGTCCTACTTTTCCCCCGACCGCATCGGCCGAATCGCTATCGGCGCTCCCAGATCGTGCACGGGCTGTGAGAGTTGTTCGGTCAAGCGGAGACTTGGTTTGCATAGCGGCGCTCAGAGAGGCACCAAAGTCGTATCTGTTACCGAAAGCCTGCTTACTGGGCTTTTCTCGACGTTTCGGCGGCCCATAGTTGTCAATGTCATCCGAAGGGGTTCGGGTCAATTTAGTGACCGTGGGCACGCTGAACGGATTTGAGAAGGGGACATTCTGGCTGGGCTCTGGTATATCATTGAACGATGGTGGCATAGATAGAGGCCGACCGCTATTCGAACCAGTGAAAGTTCGACTGCGAGGGAGTGTGGGGCGGCGGGGCGCACCCGATGCTTTTGTTGGGCGCGGTTTGGGCACCTTATGGAAACCAGCCTGAAAGTTCGAGCCATTATGGTTATCCCAGAACTCTTGACCGTTCACATTGTATCGAATACAAATGAAAAGGGTCTTCTGTTCCAGGTTGGTCTGATCGTTCAGCTTGATCTCAAATGAAAACCTATCGTACCCATCGTGGGCATGCTGGGAATGCTGATCGTGGGAGAAGACCGCACCGACTTCAGATACGGTCTTCCAGTGGTCAAAAGTGAAACGAGCAGCCACGCTCTTCTGAAAAGCGAGGTTGGCCACAGCCACTGATCCAAATAGCACATTCTTATCGGTAGAGAGAGAGAGCTTCTCCAACCGAACCGGGGCAGTTGGACGCGAAGACACATCCGGAAAGTTCATCAGCCGAAGCGCCCACTCCCATGATGGGCCACTGTTCTCCTCGCGACCGAATGGAAACTCGTGGTCATCGTCGTGACTATCCACTGGGGATGTCTCGGCACTGACGGCCAACGGTCGGTCCAGCTGCAGGAAGTGACGGATGTGCTCCAAGTGTGAGTCAAAATGCACGGCCTTCGAAATGACTGGAGTCCCCGGCATACTCGATGGTCGACGACGTGCCGAGGCAGGACGAAGTGCTGGGCGAACCAATTCGCCCGACTTCTTCCTGACCATTGGCGGCTTCGACGATGAGTCTTCATCGCTGTCGTCCGGGGAGCTTGTCAACGCCTCTTCATGTGGGGATGGAATACAGGACTCGGTTGCTGATCGGGAGTGGGATATCTTCCGAGCCTCCTTAGACAACCGCAAGTGGTGGGGTTTTACAATAGGTATGGCGATGACCGGTGGTGGGCGTCTAGTCGGTTGACTTGATGAGGGTTGAGCCTCTGCTCCCACAGCATCCGCGGGACCCATCTTCTGATCGAAGTGATCCTTCCGTTGTTCGATCGCCTTGACTGCAGCCTCCAGCTCCTCAATGTTGATTCCTTCACTTGGACGCGGTGACTCCTCGTCACTCGAGTTTGGGGCGGACTCCGGGGGCGAGATCACCGCCCCTGGTGGGATGCCGGCATTGCTTAACGGAGGCGGGGACTGACGGAGACTAGCATGAGGGTCAATGGGAGCTGGTTGTAAAGGCGCTTTGCTGATGGAGGGGCTCCTCCGGTGACGGCGGACATACGAGGTGGAGGAGTAGGATCGAGAGGTTTGCAGACGGGCCGAGGCCGAACGAGGGGCAGCAGGTCGTTCGGCGGCCTCGGGGCTAATATCACAGTATTCGATGTGCTGCGCGGGGGGGCAACTTCAACGGCGCAGTGTATGGCATCCGGCCGACTTGCGCTTCCCGAGACACAAGGGATCAAAGTTATTAACAGCAAGCTCGGACGACGAGATCTGAGCACTAGAATGCCAGTCCTCCTAGGCACTGTTGGTCAGTTTCATGGTCTCTTAAAAGTGCTGGCGAAGTGGCGAAGGGGAGCTCGACGGACGGGAGGAGGAACACGAGAAACGAGAGGGCAAGCGGCGAGGAAGCATACGCAGACCAACGGGCAGGATTGCGATGAGGAGGGAGACAATTGCAGACAAAAAGGTAGTACTGTCGATATGAATGGGCCAGTGGGCAGTGATGAAATACGTCCCAGGTACCACGAGGCAGTGACACGGTGAAGCGACCAGTCGAGAAGTGAATGAGGGGAGGCGAGGACCGAAACGAGCCCAGCAAAAGAAGCAAACGAAGAGCAAAGAGAGCTGATCGAGGCTTACCGGTTCAAAGCAGCATGAATGTCCGGGTATCTCGGCTGAAGGAAGTGGCGAGAGATTGCAGTGAATGAGGCGCGTCCAGTTAAGGAGTGGCCTTCCGCAATGCAACGTTAAAGAAGACAAGATGGAATGAAATGGACAAATACAAGGGGGAGGGGTGAATTAAGAAGTGGGAAGCCAGAGCTCAGAAGGCGGGATTGGATGATTATGGACAACGATCACCTCACACTGCAGTACCTCCCAAGTATACGCCAGGTAGCGATCGACCCACAATTGCCCAGTGATCCAGTTTTTCAACTGTTCACTTCTGGGATCTCTAAGCTCTGGGGAATCCCAGCTTCTCTAATATGGGGAGAGAAGAGCAGTGGAAAGAGGAAAAAGAAATCAGCATGGAGATAAAGACAGCATTATAGCAAGCAGGTTTTACGAGGTGGGTATGGGGGGAGAGCGTAGGGGCAAAAAAAAAATGGGGCAGTACTAGTGGAGCCCATAGATAAATAAAGCCGGGTCGGAAGCGCTCATTGGCAACGCCAGTGCGTCTGCTTTGCATTGGCTCCGCTCTGATACTACAGTCAGTGCGCCTCCGTATACCTTGGTTTATTGGCACGGGCTCCGTATGGTATTATTTCCGAATTGTCATTTTAATGACCATCTCCCCATATCTTACTATCACGTAACGCCTCGCCACCACTCTAGGTTTACCGTCAAGAAAAGTTACTTTGACAAGGGGAGGGGCTGATAACCCTTTTTTAAACCTTTTTTTCTCATGTCATTTTTGAATCCGAATTATCCGCAACATGTGGCGCATTGTGCACGAGGGCCTTGGGTGATCGCCATTGGAGAGAACGATCGAGACCCTCCCTTACGATACCGCCCGGAAATAGCCTACGATCCGACCAATTTTCTTGTGTTCCCTGTTTTTTTTTTTCTTTTTTTCCTTTTGATGTCGATTGGACTAGCTGTACTACTGTTTCCAATTGTCATAGAGGGTGTGCATCAAGGTGCAGCCTGGGGTTATTTTCGCTTTCTGCAAAAAATCAAAGAGAAATGGGGGACAAGACCGCGCAGAGTGGGACCTGGAACTTGGCGGGTGGGCGCTATCAAACCACCCAAGCCCCCAAAACGGTACACAGATCCTTATCAACCGATGAAATTTTTTTTTTTTTAAAGTATTACGAGGTCCGAGACCGCATTTGACCTGCCCATCCAAACTCTTCATTGGTTTAAGTCATCCTGAACCTAGATCCTTGTCTCTCTCCCGGATGTTGCGCTACATGTAGGAGGAATTTGATCAGAGGCACCCACTTGGCGCAAGTGCTGGCCCGCACCCCGGATTGTTCCAGCGGTATTTGGACACCGGAGGCCAATATAGGAGATGGAAGTGCACATCCGCCATCCCCAGGTTCCCATGTCCCCAGGATAACTTGCTGGAGTCCCAGATTCAAGATTTTCGTGGCTCTGGGTTCTGCATTCGATCGCAGGTTACTGGCCCACCATGGAACCGAATTCCGGAATCGAGGCCACCCCAATCAAGCCTGCGTGGACCTGCATTGCTGGATTACTCCAAGATAACCAATTTTTCTTTGATCTTTCGTCTTTGAGGAACTTGGGAGATAATGCTGATAAGACGGCTATTCCTTGATTCATTTGCTCTTCGTGGGACACGACACAGGCTTTTCTTCCGATCACCAAGCATAGGGGTGCCTCCGTGACATGCATAATGCAAAATTTGGGGATGATCTTGTGGTGGGTCGACAGAAATGCACTCCGTAGTTTTTTTTTGTCTTGGTCCACCCTAACGTGCCGTACAGCCCGGGGAGACCTGTGGCCGACCTGTTCACTATCGCGACTTTTTTGGCTTCTTTTTCCACTTGCTTGCAGAAGACCGGCAAGCTGCCGGTTTCATCGTATAAAGACGGCCGAGCCGTCATTCCTTGTCTTCCGGACTCATTGACCTCAGCGCTAGCGAATGCCCTAGGACGAATGCTTCGTACATCGCGACTATCAAAAAACGGGGCCGTGGAAATACCACGCCGATTCCCAGGCGGAGCAGCGACTAAATGATGTCACTCTGCGTTTGACAGGCCTGAGAGTTGAAATTTTCCTTGGTTTGTGCCCCCTTGGCGAGGGCCTGGCCTTCCCCCAAACGCATTCCATTCTGTCATGCAGCACTCGCTATCCCCAGAATCCTCCCCGTTGGGAGATGACGCCGCCCAAGGGCTGGTACATCGATAGTTCGCGGGTCCCTCGGAGCACAATCAGCCGCAGATATCGTCAGCTTATCCCGTTTCCAAAGACCCTCCCCCATCATACTGAATATCAAATTTATGCCAAACCCCCCTTTCAGTCGCAGCTATTGTTGGTTCTACTGAATGAATGTCAATTCCAGTGCTTCCCTGTTCTTGCCTATCGTTCTTGCTAGCTGTGATACGCTGTGCTGCGACTAGGTCCCATGGCTATTAGAGCCTAGTGGCCACATCTTGCTAATTAAATGCAATCGACAGGAGTGGACTCCGTACGGAGTACCTCATTTCTAATAATTGTTTTGTCCCTTTGCACGCGGCAAGCTGCTGGGCAACTGGATCCCGTGTTTCACGATGCTAGCGCCCAGGCGTTGGAAAATCTCCTCGGGAGGCGCATGTTCAACCATTTCCATTTTTCATGTCGCGAAAGCACGACCCCACCCATTCCCCAGGTACCTCCCCACCCCTTTTTGCTAGGGATGTACAGAGAACTACTGTAGTGGGTCAGACCCACGGCCTTTCTAGATCTGTTCTGCGTAGATACTGCGTACGAGTCGGACTCTATCTAGTATGTCAGGTAAATACTTTCAGAAACCATTCAATACACTTATCCCGATGCATTCTCCCATCGATCGTAAAATGTCTTCTCCAGAATGTTTCACTGGTGGCAGTAAACAAGTGTCGTGTCCTTAATGACGATTCCTCAAGGTTTTTCCTTGATTTGGGTCCATACGCTAAAGCCCAGATTGGCAGTGCCGGGGCCAACAAACCCGACTGGGGGGAACTCGACCCGCAACCCAGAGTCGAGACCATCTCCTTCGCGCTCATCTGACACAAGTCCTCTGAAGACTCAGCATCCTGCGTCGCTACTTGCATAAGGCTACTCCAGACGCTAATCTTCCCACCTTCTCCGTGCAGGGTGATCGACCGCTCACATTTCACCCCTCCCTCCGCTTGATGCCCCGCGATTGTGTGCTCTGTGCACTGTCTACAGAGCTAACCCGCGCCGAGGAATCTGAGATGCACTGATCGTCTCTACCTCGCTGATAAGAGCCGGTCGCGTCCAACCCTTTCACATCGTAAATCGACCTGTTTGCAGAAGGTTTCCCGCTACCTGCCCCAGCGGCAGGGGCGATAACGCCTGTTGGCTGCCCTCCCCCCTTCATCTACTCGAATGACGGGAACCCCTCCGTTCATTTTCGTCCGATATCGAAACCTATTGCTTACCTTGCTGCTGCTTTCTTGTTTTACCGTAGTGTACGCTTCTTCATTTATCGGCGACATCGCAAGGGGGAACATTCTTCGCTCAAGTGACAGGGCATGCCACCTGGCATAAGCTGTCTCGCGTTGATCACTCAATGGCTTTGCTGGATCGCGCCAGGTGCTCACCTCCAAGCACATAGTATGGGGTCCAGCCATCCTAGCATATACTAGTACCAGTCTCTAGTCCCCAGGATAGCTGAAGCGCCCTGTCCGCCTGCTTGGTCAGACGCTAACCACTGCCGCCAGCATGGGTACCTAGTACCTGGTGCGTGCTGTTATTTGGGTTGATAGCCAACGTCCCAAAAACATCCTGCGGTTCTATAAATTGGAATGAAAATTTCGACTCCACTGGGCGTATGCTGGCCCGTGCTGAGGAATGTTGCTTTCGCGAGTGGCAAGGTTACGATTAAAGTTTTTTTTTCCCACCCTTCATTATGGACGTTTACTTGTTGGTTCAGTCCAAGCCTCACACCGCTGCGATCGCTTACGATTCCCGTAGGATCATCCATATTTGGTTCACCGGGGTTGACAGGGACCAGAGGCCCGCGGAGAAGGAGGTTATGCGGGGCATTCGAGGCTTTTGGCTTGCATGGGGGTTTGTGGTGGCTGAACTTTGTATGGAGCCCCGTTCGGCTTCTGGTCGCCCCCGACTTTCCTTCCCCTGGTGGTCCGATCCGGGCGCTTGGAAACCGTCGTATGCTTGGCTGGTGCTGGCGAGACGTTCGATCCCGAGTCACAAAAAGTGCCACATGGGAATCTCGGGATTTGAAGCTCGTGTGGAGGCAGTGCACCTGTGGACATGCGACCGTGAGTACTTAGGACTGAACTTCAAGACACCTTAAGTAAGCCGCTCCATACGACCCGTGGACCCATGGATGGATCCATGGATTCCCTCTAGCTTCAGGGCCGTGTTCGTAGATATGCCCTCGCGGACCCTGCGGTAGAAAATGATGCGGGGTTGAGCTAGCTGTGTGCGGCTCCCCTTTTCATCCCTGCGGGGTTAACATCCATGATTTGCGATCACCAAAGGACCCGGTGAATAGGCTTCTGCTGGCCAGTA